TCTTGCAGATAGCCATTAAGCACCTACTTGATGACAGGCTCTACAAAAAATTTCATAGATATTGCTCGTTTCCAAACATTCATTCATTTACTTGCCGTTCATCAGTACCATTATAGCACCGTCGATTGATATTCCCACAAAACCATTCATGATTTTTGATATCCATACATCCATAGTCAAATATTTTTTGGTTGTTCAGGAACTAAACAAACATCCACACTATATTCACAGTGATTAAGAAATTCCCAAATAATGGGTGATTTTTTTGCCAGTATCTTTTTGGCAACACTGTTTTTGACAGATGACGCGTGAATCGTGTCTTGTGTCATTGTCAAACTTGTTCAGTTTGGTCTATAATTTAACCATGAATCGACTTACGAACGAACAACGCTTGCAAATTATTGAATTTTACTATCAAAATTCATGCTCGCTGCTTCCAATTTATGGACAATTTGGTCGGCCTGAGGGAGCTATTCGGAAGCTTGTGACTAAATTTCGAACCCAGTTTACATTATTGGACATTAAACCACCAACACGCAGACGTAGAGTGAGGACTGAAGAAAATATTGCGGCTGTATCCGCCAGTGTTAGTGATGACCGTGAAATGTCGATTCGCCGCCGTTCGCAGCAATTGGGCCTCTGTTACTCCACTACGTGGAAAATTTTGCGACAGGATTTGGGTGTAAAACCTTATAAGATACAGCTGGTGCAAGAATTGATGCCACACGACCTCCCACAACGTTTCCAATTTGGTGAATGGGCGCTGGCAAAGTTGGAGGAAGATCCACATTTTTATCGAAAAATTGTGTTCAGGGACGAAGCTCATTTCTGGTTGAATGGGTACGTTAACAAGCAAAATTGCCGCATCTGGAGTGAAGACCAGCCAGAAGCATTGCAAGAGCTACCAATGCATCCCGAAAAAATCACTGTTTCGTGTGGATTATGGGCCAGTGGCATCATTGGGCCGTACTTCTTCAAAGACGACAATGGCCGGAACGTAACTGTGAATGGCGAGCTACCGTGCGATGATAACAAACTTTTTTTTGCCCAAAATGGAAGAGCTGGACTTGGCTGACATGTGGTTTCAACAAGACGGTGCCACATGCCACACCGCACACGAAACAATGGCCCTATTGAGAGGCGAGTTCGGTGAACAGTTTATCTTACGTTTGGGGCCCGTCAATTGGCCGCCTAGATCGTGTGATTTAACGTCGTTGGACTATTTCTTGTGGGGCCATGTTAAGGCTAATGTCTACAGGGATAAACCAGCAACGATTGACGCACTGGAAGCCAATATTGAAGCATTTATTCGTGAGATACCGGGCGATATGTCGGAGAGAGTGTGCCAAAATTAGACCTTGCGCATGGCCCATCTAAAGCGGAGCCGCGGCCAACATTTACATGAAATAATCTTTAAACATTAAATTATATCGACCGTTCTATCGACTCAAATAAAGATTTAATCGTTTTTTCCAATTTTTTGTGTTTTTTTTTAAATCAAATCTTATACCTCTTAAAAAATCACCCGTTATATGCCTTAAAGCTACCAGCAAACCTAAAACCTGCAAAAAAACTACAAATTTGCCATATTTTTCTTTTTCACGATTACACATTCTAGGTTATATTTATATTAGACATTATTTGAATACAGCTGATTATTGCATTTCAGGGAGTGACACATGTGTGGGATCTGTCAACTCTTGGTACCAGTCACAAAACATATACTCTGAAGGTTTAATTCCATGCTATTCAATGACAACACGGTGACTTGTGTGGTTGTCAGCGGCCATTTTTTGAGGGTGCGACAGGGTTGCCAGATTGTGCATTAATATCCCGTTTCACCCTCCTGGTTCTAGTGGAGAAAGTTCCGCCAACCGTACAAATATACTCTACTATGCTTTATAAAACTAAACGTGGAATTTTTCCCAAAATCGTTGCACAACCACAAAAAATGCAAATGAAAATTTAAAATTATTTCCATGACGCTGCAAAATAGCTCCATCGGTACCTCGGGTTATACATCTTGACACTAGGGATGTTCGATACGATCCTATATTTAGAAGTATCGATACTTTTGCTTCCCATACCCGATATTCTGGATAGATATTTTTATATACGAAACTTGGGTGTATCGATACATTTCACGAGTATCGTCATCTTTCGATCCGGACTGTGTTAGAAAGAGTGACTAACTTCAGATTACTTTTCTTTGTTTCGTTCCGCTGGATATCGATAGGTAATTGTATTCCAATATTTTAGAGTATCGATACTTCCTAAAACGATAAGAATCGATACATAACGATACTTTTCGTGGGTCTAAACATCCCTAATCTTCACAGCTTGTCGTTCTTGTCAACTGGGCTGCAGGGTGCGGTGTTGCCTTTACTATCTTACTTTTTGCTAAAATCTTACGACAAATAAAAGCTTCAAATGAAATATTGACGAATATGAACGGATATGCATAGAATTTAGAATATAAATTCATATTGCAAATTTCAGATTGTCTATGCATGGACTTGAACCGGATTTTTCGATATTTTTACCGAAAAGAGAATATTTACCGATAACATCATTCTCCACGATTTTTCAAAATAATTTAAATATTTCCATACTTGCCAAAAAAGAGCTGAAACCAAAAATAAAGTCAAAAGTTAATTTTATGTAGTCTTTATAGTTTCACTCGATAATGTTCGATATACGAATTTCTATTAATGGAGTCAGAAAAGGACACATCCGTATGTCGAACATTGTTGATTCACTCTGTCGCACGCAGGGGCACACTTGAGCATGGGCAGAGCACCAACAAGGATGATTTGTTGTTTTCTATGATAGTTCTGTGTCTTTCTCAGGCACACTACTTATCAGTCAGCGTTAAAACACGACGATTGTTGAAAGCAACTTCACACTAACATATGTTCTTTCATCCATGTATATTTACGTTAAGGGGAGACCATTCATGATTTTTGATAACATCCATAGTCAAATATTATTTTGGTGTTCAGGAACTAAACAAACATCCACACTATATTCACAGTGATTATAAAAATTCCCAAATATATGCCTTAAAGCTACCAGCAAACCTAAAACCTGCAAAAAAAAAACTATAAATTTGCCATATTTTTCATTTTTCACGATTACGCATTCTAGGTTATATTTATATTAGACATTATTTGAATACAGCTGATTATTGCATTTCAGGGAGTGACACATGTGTGGGATCTGTCAACTCTTGGTACCAGTCACAAAACATATACTCTGAAGGTTTAATTCCATGCTATTCAATGACAACACGGTGACTTGAGTGGTTGTCAGCGGCCATTTTTTAAGGGTGCGACAGGGTTGCCAGATTGTGCATTCATATCCCGTTTCACCCTCCTGGTTCCAGTGGAGTAAGTTCCGCTAACTGTACAAACATACTCTACTATGCTTTATAAGACTATACGTGGAATTTTTCCCAAAATCTTTGCACAACACTTGAAAAATGCAAATAAAAATTTAAAATTATTTCCATGACGCCGCAAAATAGCTCCGTCGGTACCTCGGGTTATACATCTTGACAGTAGGAATGTTCGATACGATCCTATATTTAGAAGTATCGATACTTTTGCTTCCCATACCCGATATTTTGGATAGATATTTTTATATCCGACACTTGGGTGTATCGATACATTTCACGAGTATTGTCATCTTTCGATCCGGACTGTGTCAGAAAGAGTGACTAACTTCAGATTACTTTTCTTCTTTGTTTCCTTCCGCTGGATATCGATAATTTTATTCCAATATTTTAGAGTATCGATACTTCCTAAATCGATAAGAATCGATACATAACGATACTTTTCGTGGGTCTAAACATCCCTAATCTTGACAGCTTGTCGTTCTTGTCAACTGGGCTGCAGGGTGCGGTGTTGCCTTTACTATCTTACTTTTTGCTAAAATCTTATGACAAATAATAGCTTCAAATGAAATATTGACGAATATGAACGGATATGTATAGAATTTAGAATATAAATTCATATTGCAAATTTCAGATTGTCTATGCATGGACTTGAACCGGATTTTTCGATATTTTACCGAAAAGAGAATATTTACCGATAACATCATTCTCACGATTTTTCAAAATAATTTAAATATTTCTATACTTGCCAAAAAGGCGCTGAAACCAAAAATAAAGCTAAAAGTTAATTTTATGTAGTCTTTATAGTTTCACTCGATAATGTTCGATATACGAATTTCTATTAATGGAGCCAGAAAAGGACACATCCGTATGACGAACATTGTTGATTGACTCTGTCGCACGCAGAGGCACACTTGAGCATGGGCAGAGCACCAACAAGGATGATTTGTTGTTTTCTATGATAGTTCTGTGTCTTTCTCAGGCACACTACTTATCAGTCAGGGTTAAAACACGACGATTGTTGAAAGCAACTTCACACTAACATATGTTCTTTCATCCAAGTATATTTACGTTAAGGGGAGACGAATTTTTTTTATATCATATATGTAAACAGGCCGTAATCGATGTCTGGTCTACCTGGATCGAAGTTTTTGGTCAATGATTTCCGGCAGCAGCGATCAAGAAGTGGCGCTTATTAGGTTTCGGTGGATGGCCGAGTTCTGCCAAAAAGCCGTTCATTTCGGCTGGTCGGAGTCCAGTCCATCGCGGACTTCAGCTGGCACGAACATTCGTCAATAGCGGCAGCTGCTGAGAAAAAGCTAGGCTATTTGTTTAGGACGATACGACCGCTCCTTTGTCCCTAGGGAACAATCTACATGAGGCTTTTCGCAGTTCCACTAACCTCAGGTGATTCAATAATCGGACGAGGTTGCTTTGGAATAAAAAAACCTCACATCACATATCGTTTTTTTCTCCATTAACAAGTTTTTTTTTTCGTTTTCATTTGGTATAATAAATGACTGTCTTGAATTTTGAGTCATTCAAGCCTCTCATTCGAGTATATTTTTAATCATATTTTATGTGTGTGAAAATGTTTTTATTGCAGATTTACCAGCAGCAGTTGACCGAAACCCGTACAAGAAGACAGGTAGAAATCAGCGAGATTGATGGTCGTCTAGCGGAGAAGTATGAAGCTAAGTTACAGGAAGCTCTGCAGGAGCTTAGGGATCAATATGAAGCTCAGATGGCCAATAATCGGCAGGAAATAGAGATGCTCTATGAGCAGAAGATAAAGAGTTTGCAAAACGCTAATGATAGGTGAGTTTTTTTACCCTATTTTAGTAAGTACTAACACTAGCAACGCTTCCTCGTGCAGCAAGTGAAAAGTGGACGTTTCTATTACTTCCCACGCCTAGTGCAAAAATAAAATTTTGCGTGCTTTCTTCGGAAAATGATAGTTTTTATAATATTTTTTGGGACACACCATATCGAATAGTCTGAAAGGATCTATAAATATTGTATTGTGTCTAATATACAGGGTGTTTCAGTTTATTGTTGCATAACTTTAAGATTCGATAGAACTTTTAAAATTAATGCATAAAGTCTATATAAACATGGGTCGAAAAATGCGTGGCTTCCGAAATACAGGGTGTTTAAATTTACTTTTTAAAATATTTTTTTTTTAAATATTCCGAACAATATTTGATGTATAACAGTGAAAATTGGTATACAAGGGTTTTTTTGGTACGACAAAACGAACCATGGGCATAGTTTTACTGAAGCCGCTGAAGGGCGCTCTCTACTGTACCTGTAGTGTGTTAAAATGACCGAAAATTTTTTTTAGTGCGATTTTTTGCTTTTTGAATAAAAAAACTGATTCTTCGCACTTTTATGCATAAAAAAGCTCTCCTGTGAGATTTCGTTATAGTTAGCCGTTTTTGAGATATTTCGATTTTTAAGGTTCGATGCATTTTCAATTATTTATTATAAAATAACGTTAAAAAGTCAGTATCTCGATAATTTTTAGAAGTATGCCGGGCCTGCAAATATTTTTGAAATTGCAAGCAGAATAAGGTTAAACGTCAATTAGTTGACAGTTAGTTTTGTTGTCTGTTGAAACCTGAAACGTTTTTTTGCAATTATGAATGCATTTAGTTTCTTTTACCTGTTTTTTTTTTGTATTTGTATGCCATTTTTATTCTCCAATCAAGAGTTAGCGGATATTCATTTTGTGTATGGCTTTGTAAATGGAAACGCAACAGAAGCAGCCAGAGAATACGCACGAAGATTTCCAAACAGACGACATCCAACTCGCTCAGTATTTGCAAGAGTGCATCGTAAAATATTTGAAAATGGTTTTGGAAATCTCCAAAGGGATCAAAACATAAATGTTCGTCAGCGCAGATTTACCCGTATGATTCTGCGTGAGTTTGATAGAGATCCGACCACAAGTGTTAGGAGAGTTTCTGGTGCCTTGGGAATTTCAGCAAGCCATGTTCACCGTGTTCTTAGTAATGACCATAGACGTCCTTACTATTTGCAACCTGTGCAAGGACTACAGCCAGGGGACGGAGAACGAAGAATCACATTTTGTCTGTGGATTCTTGATAGAACTGATAATAATAGGGAGTTTTTAAGTAACGTTTTATGGACCGATGAGTCACGCTTCACTAGACGTGGAGTGGTAAATTTTCAAAATCAACATATTTGGTCGCATGAAAATCCGCATGCAGTTCGGTAAAGAAATTTTCAGCATGAATTAGTGTGAACGTGTGGATTGGTATCTACCGTAATCGACTATTTGGACCCTACCTTTTGCCTGCAAGTTTAAATGCTGCGACCTTCTTGGAATTTTTAAAGGCTGAACATGCAAATATGTGGGATGATGTTATGTTAGATTTAAGAAGATTGGCATGGTTCCAGCTTGATGGTTGTCCAGCTCATTATTCGAGAATAGTTAGAAACTGGCTGGACGAAAATTATCCAGAAAGATGGATCGGCCGTGGAGGAGCAGTCGCCTGGCCTCCACGATCCCCTGACCTAAATCCATTAGATTCCTTTGTGTGGGGATTTCTAAAAGAAAAAGTGTACCAGACTCCCGTAACCACAAGAGATATGCTAATAGACAGAATCAGGAATGCATGTGATGAAATAAGGTCTTATTTGAATAATGCTATACCACGTTCGATCATTCGTAGATGTGAACTGTGTATTGAACGATTCGGTTTACATTTCGAGCAACTACTTTAGATTTTGTATGTTTGTCCTAACTATCCAATAGCATTTTAGTTGTAAATAATTAATTTAATTTGTTAAAAATAATATTGGAAAATTAAACAAATTAATATTCTGTTTTTTTGTGTTTATTTGCAGAGCTTTTTTATGCAGAAAAGTGCGAAGAATCAGTTTTTTTATTCAAAAAGCAAAAAATTGCACTAAGAAAAAATTTCCGGTCATTTTAACACACTACAGGTACAGTAGAGAGCGCCCTCTAGCGGCTACAGTAAAACTATGATTCGTTTTGTCGTACCAAAAAACCCTTGTATACCAATTTTCACTGTTATACATCAAATATTGTTCGAAATATTTAAAAAAAACTATTTTAAAAAGTAAATTTAAACACCCTGTATTTCGGAAGCCACGCATTTTTCGACCCATGTTTATATAGACTTTATGCATTAAGTTATATCGAATCTTAAAGTTATGCAACAATAAACTGAAACACCCTGTATAAGGGGAAAATATACAACTGCATCTACATGTCAACGGAAAAAAACGAAAAATATATAACCTACACATATTTAGAAAAAAATTGCATCTCTAAGAATTTTGATTGTCCATGAAATATTCCTTTAATTTTAAATACGTATCTTTAAATTACAAGTAGACTATATCATTATTTAGTTTATTAAATTCAAGTAATCCTTTCTGAAATATTGACTTGCTAGTTATATTACTATTGCAATTTTGTAAATGAAAATCTATATTTCCTCTTGTATAATAATTGTGGTAATGATTATTCAATTCTATGTAGTGTTCTAAATGTTCTGGCAAAAGATGATTTTTTATTTTAAATATAAAAATAAGAACCAAATATGATATGAAATTTTTTATGTTCAACCACTGCAATTCTTATAACATAGATTTTATTTTGGTGTTATTCAATATTATTCTCATAGCTTTATTTTGGAAGACTTGTAATTTTGAGAATACAGCTTCATTGGCAGTGAACAAAATAGTTGAACAATACAGTAAATGCGGTAGAATAATTGTATTATAAACTATTTTCTTGGAATAGGTACCAAGACTATGAGAAGCCCTATAAAAGTAATTTGTTTTTTTGTCAATTTTTGAAATAAGTAGTGTGTAGTAGTAGTGATCCTCAAACTTTAGGTTACTATCAATTTATATACCTAAATATTTCATTGATTCAACATTTTCGATTATTTTTCCATTTATGCTAATGGTGATAGTATTTTCATTTAGGTATTTCCCTATTATTTTGTTTTAGAAGTATTCAATTTTAGTTTATTTACATTATTAACGAATTTACGATTTTTGCCAAGTCGGAATTTAACATTTTTGAAGCTTTGTCTATATTTTCATCTGATATGTATATTAATGTATCATCTGCAAATATATGAAATTTACAGTAATCTAAAATATTACAAATATCATTAATGTATGTAATAGAAGTAAGAATTGAGATTTCTCTGCCATTTTAACCAAGAATACCTTCACCACTGATAAGTTTATTTTCTACGCCTACCTATTTGCAGGCATATTTATTATAATTTCTTTTCTAATTCTATTTCGAATATTGGTCTTTGAATATTATTTGCATATTGTTTTGCAAACACTCCCCCGGAAACCTCTGTCCCCCGCCCCTAAAGTCAGGTTCAGTATACACCACTGCTTCCATTTGATTTGGGCAAATTGAGTTTTTTTTGGCTATGTCGACTCCAATAGGGATGAAAGAAAAGATTAATATAAATAGTCCAGGTTATTGTGGAAAATTCCGGCAAAGCAACTAAGAGTCCATATATCATTTTTGGTTCGATAAAATTTTCAAAATGTTTCAGTTAAAAATGAACATGATCTAATTCTTTTACAACTATGATTTCAAAATGGAAATATTATCCAACACTGTCATGACTACTGATTGATGTATGGCACCACTAGATTCTAGTTAAATACAAACAGAAATAAGTGTTTCATTGAAATAAGTTGTTTCCTACTATTATGCAAATTTATGACCAATACCTATTTACCGCTAATTCTGTGCCAGCTGCTCCATAACAGTTTTATTTATAGAAATTTATTCACAAGTATAAAATTATAAGTTTTTATTATTATTCACCTAAAATATTTGATTTTTCTTGGAATATTTTATGAGATCAGTGTGCTTATTTTATTTTATACCCGAAATTACTAACAGATCTCCATTTTTTTATTATATACAGGAGCCGTCAGAAAGAACGAATGTGTTTTAAATGAGTAGTATAGCCAAAATAAGTATGGGAAAAAATATTTTATTTTATCACAATACTCAGAAATACGTGCCATTTTTGAGTAAAACAAAATTTACGTTCTAAAAACTATGTCGGCCATATGGCGCCCTTGAGCCGAAAAGCCTCTCCCGAAATGAACCCATTGCGTAGGGGGTTTCTTCTTATTTCCTACTTCCATTCCAAGTTATGGATGGGCCAAAAATCAGCGGACAAACATACTGACCGACCGAAATGAGTGACGGGGTCTTTCGTCATGTATTATTATCCAAAAAACATAATTTTGAAAATGTTTCGCCATAACGATATTTCTTTTACAGTAGACGTGGGAAGTAAAACTCTGAACGAATTTTTGTATCTAAACGTTGAAGAAAATTGCATGGCCGACAGTGTTTTTAACTGTCGGGCAATCACTTGAATGATATTCTGTTCCATCCTTAAATGGTCGACTTTTGCAATGGAACCAGAATTAAAAAAAAAATCTTGCATTAGTTTCCTTTTTATGGTCGATCTTATATTACTGGTAGATTGTAAAACTTAAGATGGAGTATGACAAAGTAATTTTGAATTTCTTTTACAGACATCAAGTATCTGCCGGCAATGCTTTGGATGAGTTGAGACAGGTCAGAACAAGGATTGATTCACTAAATACCAGAATATCTGAACTCGAAAATCAAAATGCTGGTTTGGCAGCAAGAGCCAGAGATCTTGAAAAATTATTGGAGGTAAGATGTCAATATCAAACGGTACGACGTCTCAATTCCTTAATCACCCTTGTTTTATTTTGAAGCTGAAGCGCAAATCTGTAACACTTACTTTGTAGTTTTATCTTTGTCGCACATTTTTTGTGCGAGGCCTTGGGCGCAATAAGCGCTGAGGATTTGTAGATGATTGTTCCCTAAGTTTGTTAAAATTATAAAACCTAGAATTGTTATGTACTACCCGATGTATACCTCAAACACAATTTCCAATAAAGACATTCAAATATTTTTTCAGGGCGAACGTATTCGTTACGCAGAGGACCTAGCCTCCCTTGAACGAGAACTGCAGAGACTCCGGGATGAGATGGCCAACCAGCTGCAAGAGTACCAAGACCTCATGGACATCAAAGTGTCTCTGGATCTGGAAATTGCTGCTTACCGCAAACTGTTGGAGTCGGAGGAAGACCGCTTGGGGCTCTCTCAGAGTAAGTCGAAAGTCAGACGATTGAAGTAGTGGATTTGAAACTATTTGTTGGCATTTGTTTAGTCATAGTTATATTGGCCGAGTTTTAACAAAGTATATATCTTATACTAATTGGTTGAAGTGTTATATACAAGAATTTAATAAATCATGAGAAACTTTTTGAGGATCTATTTATTGGCGTGTTGGTAAATCGCAGTAATCTTAATATAGTCAACGCCAAACAAAGTGGCGTGCACGTCATCAAGGTGGGTGTGTTGAAAAATTTACGTTGTTGCCAAACTTTTTGTAAAATAATAAAATTTATTATTTACATATCTAGGTTTATAAGCAATATTAACCTCAAATGAGAACAAAAATAATAGTATAATAAAATTATAGATCTGTACTTGCATAATCATTAAGTATGACAATTATTGATCAGATGACACTATGAAACTACCATATTTAATTGATAGCTTAAAGGTACTGAATAAAAATCCAAATGGGGTCCTCCAAATTTTATGCATGGTATTTATTTTACAGAATTCATACAGAAAAATGCATTCTAAAATTAGGTAAGCTACTGGTGTAAGCTTTTTCTGTACAATAAAGTTGGTCGGAGTTTCTTTCTTCAGCGCTGTCTGAATCTGAATCTTCATCACTCTCAAAGTTGATTATTAAAGGTTCGATGTCTGGTCGATCAAAAATTCGTTCTCTTTCATACCATTTAAAAATTTCTTGCTCAGTATGTCGAACACTATTTTTCCACATGTCTGGGGTAACCGTTTGTAGAGCCTCGTTCCACATATCCAAACAGTCTTTTTCACTGTTACCATCTCTACCAATATGTCTGTTATAGTAACCTTTTGCTATGCCCCAAATTAACTCAATAGGGTTAAATATACAATGGTAAGGAGGCAGACGAAGAACTTTGTGCCCATGTTGTTCCGCCAATTCATCAATCACGTATATTTTAGGTGGTTTGTTTCTAAAAAAGCAGTTATTTTAAGAATAGGAATAAACAAAAGAAATATAAACTGTCGACCAAAATATATATAATTAAGAAGCATTATGTACCGAGCAACAATACTCAATAGCTCTGTTTTAAACATTGTGTTTAAAAATGGTATGTTTTGATTTGTCAACCAGTCTTGGATATTTTTTTTTGTCCATGCATTGTTGGGCACTTTGTTCAATATCATGCTGTGATAAGTTGCGTTATCCAGTATAATCATAGATGGACTCTCCAATTTTTCTAATAACTGATGTTGAAACCATTTCAAAAAATTGTCCTGGTTCATCTCTCCATGGTAATCGCTCAATTTTGTTTTCGAAGAAAATATCGCTTCACTACCCTCAATAAACCCATTTTCATTTCCAGCATGTAATATAATGTATCTAAAATATATTAGTTTTAAATTTTATAGTGCAAATTGTGTAAAAGTACATACCTTTTACCATCTGTTTTAATAGCTTTCACGCTTTTTTGGTTTCCATTTTGCCAAGAGCGACCTATGGTCCCATTTTGAAATATCCAAGTTTCATCGAGGAAGACAAACTGGTATAAGGCCTCAACCTTGGCTTGATTGTATTGCCTTAGAAATTCCACCCTTTTCAAAGCTATACTTGGTAGTTCCATGAGCCCTCGTCGCGGATTGTCCTTAAGCCACTTAAATCCAAGATCTCTAAGCAACCGCCTTAAAGACGTGGCACTACCATCAAATAATGCCCTATCTCTTAATCGAGACCATAAAGTTTGTATCGTAACTTGTTCTTCTGAAACCATGTGTAATATGACATTATAATTTAGTTAACAAATTAATGCAAATTTCTGATAAGTTATTATAATAAGATCTTACTTTTGTCATACATATTATAGATCACTTCTCGAATGGCACTTGTACCAATGTCGCTGTGTTGGTTACACGTTTAATATAACTCCGCTTTTTCTTGGGCGATTCTAAATTTGCATCACTTTTCACACCCTCCGAAATACGACTAACTGTCCTTAAACTAATTTTTAAAGCAGCAGCAACACGCTACAAAAAATGAAATAAAATTTCACTATTATTAATATACATTACATATAATTATTAGTAACCTACCTCTTGAACAGCATTTAAAGGCAACAAAGGCCCGTTGTTGTCCCTTTCTTGCTCAAAGTAGTGCATTAACGAGGCCACGAGTTCCTTACACCGACTATTTAACTGTTTGGGCATCTTTATATACCAAAATTGCCTTTATCTACTCGTAAAATGAATAATTTTGTTTTGAAACAAACAGTTGTTGATTTACAGTATGCGGGGCCAAAGGATTTATAAAGATTTGAAATGCCACAAATTGATTCAGTGTCAAAATTAATACAAATGTCAGTTCCCAGTTTAAATAAGTTTCAAGGTGACAATGTGTCAACGCTGCGAAATCGGTTTAGTGCGTTTACATGTCGATAAGTGATTGGAGCGTTTGCAAAACATTTTATTTCGCATAATGCGTCTAAATTTATCAGAAAGCAACTTATGTGATATTTTAATAACAATGTTTATATGACTATTAACCATAATAAGAGAGTAATGACCATTTTACAATTTATATATCACATTAATATGAAACTGCAATAGAGCAATTGTTTGTGATAGAAACCTAGGCATTAGGTCGGGGAATTTTTATCGTGATGACGTGCACGCCACTTTGTTTGGCGTTGACTATACTTTTATTATCAGAACGCATTACCGGTTTTTTATAATTTTATTGCGGCCAGAAAATGATAGTTTTTTAAATCTTTATACGAAGAAATGTATGTTTACTTGATTCCCTTATGGTATTGTAGTGGAAAAGTGGAGACAATCACAACAGACGCAATTGCAAACAAGAGGTATAGTAAAAATCTGAAGTATTGTAAGTAGATATCATAAAATCATGTTTCTACTACTTAACATCTTTGTATATTTCAAAACATTGGATTAACGACATTTTCATTGGTTGTCCTTGAACTTATATAGCTCCCAAAACGAGACTTCGCCACGTTTTCCTTGTTATGTTATCTTTATGAGTGGAAACTAATCATAATGATTCATCTAATGACAACTTACTAGTACTAATCTCTCATTTGCAGCGTTTCAGCTAATAGTGTGTCGTGCTATTGATTTTATAAAAAATCGAGGTTTATTGCCGTCTTCAAAAAATATCATAGAAATGCTTTTTGATTGATCATTTTCATCTATATTTCCTTCCATTGTAATCGGTGTTTTCCTGGAAAATAACTGCATTATAAATTGTGACACTACAAAAGCACTGATACTTTTGCCCACATAATCATTGGTTACATTTACCTGCACTCAATGGCTGAAACAATGCTCTATTGGAATCGCTTGAGCAGCAGCGGTGGCCGCAATAGTAGACTCTTCGGTCTCCTGATCAGTCGCCGTGCGCTGGTCGGGTTTGAATCCCGTCCCAAAAGAAATTTTTCTCTTGGCCATGGATGTTGTGATTTTCCGTAGGTGGTAGACGGTCTCTGACTGTCGAACGCGGAGGTACCACCCGGCGGATCTCGTAGGCGGAGCCAGAAGGTGTGCATGTTGCATGCACACGTGTTCCCTCGCCAGAGTCCGTGTGGCGTTCCCCCTTTCCCCTGTACCCCCTATAGCCCCACGGTACCCAATGGGTGTTTAGGCCTTCGTGGTAGTTGGAGTATTAAAAAAAGGTTATGTTTATTAGCTAGCACGAGTGGCAAGATTCTTCAGAGGTCCTTCCATTTCCGATGCTGGATGTAGGACACTTTGTATTATTCACTATTGCCAACAGTACAAAATTGGTACAAGAAGCCATCAAATAGACGTCATAATATGTTACAGTAAAGCAGCTCTTTGGTTCAGCCGCTGAGTGTAAGAGAAAGTAACCACTAATTTCTTCCGACTCCTGAGCAGTAAAACTTTCACTCACTCCTACTTAAAACAAACATCATAATGTGTATTAACCCCACAATCACTGTGATTAACACAAAGCTATGTCCTCGTCTCACTATAGGTGTTGCAGAAAAGGAGATGACACAACATGTCACCAGAGGATCTTCTCAACGCAGGACACCGGTGCGTGCGGGTACCAAGAGAAGGCGCCTATTGGAGGAGAGCACCGAATCCAGCTTGTCGGATTTCAGTGTCAACAGCTCCTCCAAGGGCGATATTGAAATTGTTGAAGTTGACCCCGAGGGACAATTCGTCAAGCTGCATAACAAGAGTAACCAAGAGGTGAGTATTTTTCATGCTACTATTTATATGAACGTTATGGTAGTCATTATTGAAATGGGTAATTGGGGAGGTCAAAACAAGTCAAAAAGTTCATATGACCCATGGTCCAAAAGTCAATTGATTTTTGTCTGAATGGCTTTATACTTTAAGTGCTTTATATCGACCACAATCTTACTAATTTTTATAATCTAATCTAAAACGTTTTTAAATTGGGTAATTAAAAAATAAATGACATTAAGTTAAGCCAAAAATTGTAGTCAGTAAGTAAGTTTCATTAAATTAAATATTTAAAACACACATGACAACAGCGCGTTGGTCTTTCATCACTCTTATCGAACAGGCAATCGATCGCAAACGCTAACAGTGGTTAGTATATTTTTTTTTGTTCGCCCACGTCGTCGTCTTGATTTACAGAATTCAAATCTTGCAGCTTTTTTTAAAAACATTCTAGCGACGGACGAATGTACTTTTACGCGAGACGGGATATTAAATTTCCATAATACTCGCACGTGGGCCCAAGAAAATCCTCATACCATTCCTGAAGGTCATTTCCAACAACGTTTTAAAATAAATATTTGGGCGGGTATTCTTGACGATCAGGTAATTGGCCCTTTCGAGTTACCCCCAAAGTTGTCAGAAGAAGGATACCTTAGCTGTCTAGCCAATAACCTATCAGAACTTTTGGAACAGACCTTAGACAACATGCCATTACAACGGAGACAGAATTTGTGGTTTCTTCACGACGGGGCACCACCACACATTTTTAAAGGCGTCATTCAGTATTTGAATGAACATTATCCAAATCGCTGGATCGGTCGAAATGCTCCTGATCCTCGAAAATGGCCAGCAAGATCTCCTGACCTCAATCCGATGGATTTCTGGTATTGGGGAGAACTTAAAGGGATGGTTTATGGGGCTGGACCAATAACAACTGAAGCACAACTTCGCGAAAAAAAATTTAATGCGGCTGAAATCATAAATGGACAACTTCGAGGACCTAGAGTAAGAAGAAACTGGGTTCGTCGTAATGAAGATTGTGTGGAAATTCGAGGACATTTTGAACACCTTTAAATACAAAAAAGTGCAGTGTGGGTTTTAAAAGGTGAAGCGCTGAGACAGTTAGTAGTAAGTCCGTTTGTTTTAATTGTTTGCATTTTACGAGTACATTATCAAATAATGAAATAATACCTAAGAGCCAAAAATAACAAACTCCATCTTTATTTACACTGCGTTCCGTCGTAATTTGCGTCAGATTTTACTTTACTTTAAAGTCGCTTTTCTTTAAAAAAATGCCGTTTTAACCCCGATGTTATATGAAACTTTTTGCTTCTATCACCCATTTAAATAATGACTATCATAACGTTTACACCGTGTATATTTCATTCAAACTTCGCAAAACATGCGTCATTACAAAGCATTGAACATATAAAATCTCAGCAATTTCTATACATTATCACCATTCAAAAGCCCTACCCTAAACGAAATTGGTTTCAAGTTTTTGAGGTGCTTTTGTAACAAAAATAAATTTGGTTTGTTTTTTTCATCATCCTAGGTCGCTTTGGGAGGTTGGCAAGTAGTCAGAAAATCTGGTGAGAACGAGACCCAATTCAAGTTTCACCGGTCTTTGAAGTTGGAAGGAAACGGTTATGTGACCATCTGGAGTGCGGATCTTAACAAGGATCACGAGCCACCAAACAACCTGGTTATGAAGAGCCAGAAGTGGGTTATCGGTGACAACATGACCACTCTGGTATTGAACACCAGCGGAGATGAAGTTGCCATCCATGAAAGGTAAGTTTAACCTCTTCTGAAGATAGTCCTGTTTTTATATAGGGTCGGCCATAAATTCGTTAACATTTCAAAAATCATATAAATGTTTATACGAGGTTTGATCCGGTGGTCGCTTTCTCTGTGCAGGACTGGTTGGAAGCAGATTAAAGGGGGGACTTACTCTATCGGGTCATCACTTGGGTCTTGGTTCTACGAATTCGATGTGGAGTTGAAATCTCAAAGCAAGGAGTGGAAGCAAGCAGGGGATCGGGAACCGGGAACAAAAAAGTCGAAAAAATTCAAGGTCCAATGTGAAAACAATGATGAAGTTTTCTTTGATTCTTGTGGCATTGTTCGCCAGAAATTTGTCCCCCCTGTCCGACAGTGAATGGAAATTTCTACATTGAAGTTTTGCATCGTCTCAGAGCTCGTGTGGCCCGAGTTCGACCGGAATTGGCACAATGGGAGCAACGTCTCTCGTTGTGCGTGAGTTTTTGGCCCGAAGCTCAGTACACCCTCCTTATTCACCAGATTTAACCCCTTACAACTTCTTCCTGTTCCCAAAATGCAAAAAGGCGGAAGCCATTAAGGCAGAAACGACACGGCAAATGAAGAGCCTCACAATTGAAGACTTTCAGCGATCGCATCAACAGTGGAAACGGCGTTGGCAGAAGTACATCTTGTCTCAGGGGGAGTACTTTGAAGGAGACCATTTGAAATACCTGAACAAAGTTATTACGAGGGATGTCTTTTAAGTTTTACATATAGAAACATAGTAGGCCGCGCGGATCGAACGTCAGTACTGACTCTTAACCTCACTCTGTAGTAAACTTAAATTCAAAGTTTCACAACGATACGTTCAGTGTTCTTACTACAGTGAATTTTTAAGTGTCACCAAGTCATTAGAAAAATGGAACTCAACCGAGAACATTTTCTCGCCATAATTTATTACATCTTTCAGAGAAAATTATCGCAACAAGGATGCCTTGCTGAGTTACTGGCTGTTTTCGGCAGTCGACAATTTCCCGTTGTATGGAGAATTCAAACGTGGACTGGTGAGTCTTAGTGACGATCCCAGAGTGGGTGCACCAAAAACGGCAGTCACCCAGGAAAACGTCGATGCTGTGCGCAAACTCATCATTGAATATAGACATGTGACATATCGAGAGATTGAGGCGTCCTTGAAGATATCAAAGACCTCGATTCAAAAAATTTTACATGAAGAATTAGAAGTGAGAAAATTAGTTTCTCGTTAGATACCCCACATGTTGACTGAAGAGCAGAAAGCAGCCAGGGTTAATTGGTGTCAAAAAACGCTTGACCGTTTCACTTCCGGAAACTCAAAAAACGTGTACAGCATTGTTAGTGGTGATGAATCGTGGATTTACTGTTATGAACCAGAAAATCAATGACAGTCGGCTGTTTGGATGTTCCAAGGTGAGGAAAAGCCAACAAAAGTCATCCGTTCTCGAAATGTTTCGAAAAAGATGGTCGCGACATTTGTGTCAAAAGCGGGTCAGATTGCAACAATTCCTCTTAATGAGCAAATAACTGTTACTGCGGATTGGTATAGCACCATTTGTTTGCCAAAAGTCATCACCGAGCTTCGAAAAATCAACCCCGAAAGATAGAATCATCCTCCACCAAGACAATGCAGGCTCGCACACAGCCCAAAAAACACGGCAGTATTTAACGGAAGAAAACGTGGAATTATTGGACCATATAGTCCCAATCTAAGGTCTAACGATTTCTTTACTTTCCCGAAAATTAAAAACAGACTGGTCAAATGTTCCAGTCACCAGAAGAATCAGTTGACGCATTCAAAAATGCTGTTTTGGATCTGCCAGCAAACGAGTGGAATAAGTGCTTCGAAAATTGGTTCGAGCGCATGTAGATGTGTATTAATCATTTAAAACTACCTACCGTGTTGTTTTATTTCCATATGCAAAACTAAGACATCCCTCGTAAACCACTTTTATACGTATTTTCCGGACAAACCTCGTAGAGCACCAAGCTACTTATCCCCACTACCTGAGGGTGCGTTTTTAAAATTCGTACGTCTTTCAGGTCCACCCTGTATTTTAGCATGAGGCCCGCGGAAAATAAAGTGTTTAATTTTCTCTTCCGATAAAGACATCATGCATCAAATTATGCACTTTGCAGGGTAAAGAGGCAGCTGTCAAGCACGATGCTGAGACACCGGGAGATGGCTGGCGGCTACCTATCATCAGAAGAACTGCACCATCAACAAGGAGATCCCCAGGGTGACGAAAAGTGTAGATTGATGTGAATCAACACATTATTACTTAACAAAAAATTCTTCGTAGGTTTAAGTGTCTATGTTAAACCATAACAGACTGAGTTCGGTTGGTTAGAACGCCATTTATGCAATGTGCATTTCTATAGTTTTTTGTACAAATCCGCTGTTACAGTGGAAATGTCGTGTTCTTGTATTGATGACAAAAACCTTCTAAGTATTGACATTCTGCAAATTATCGAAGAATGTCGTCGGTTCAAACGATTAATCTGTGTGGTTGGTAGTTTGAATTGAAACAAGTTTATTTAACTTTAAATCAGGTACAAAAATGATCATTAAGAAACAGTGTGAACCACGCGTCGAGTTGAGGTTAGGAAAGCTTTAAACTATAAAGTGATAAATGAATTTTTATTTCCTTTTGTCAAGTTATATACGATTTTTGATTTCCCATATCATGTTCATATCATAAAAAAGCCTTATTGCATTTATGTAACTAAGGTTTCATGATACGTATGTTTTTTGATTTTAGTAGGCACAAACCTACAAACTGTGGTGAAGGATTTTTATTTCTGGAATTCTTTGAAAACATTCATGAACATATTCAAAATATATTATCTTCTAATAAATTTGTATAGGAAGCTTGTACGTATTCCAAAACTTCATTATATATGCTGCAAACTAAAATTTAGCAATATATTGCCACCATTGTTGTAATTGCTCTATAAAAAACTGTCCTAATCTGAACTTTACTAAAATCGTTTACATTTGAGAACAGCTCAGTAAATACCCGTGTTAAAATTGAAACCATTTTTCAAAAAAAAAACAAAGTCCCTTTTTAGAAAGGTACACTTTTCCCAACGTTCCTGCCGTTATTTAACCCCTCAAAAAAATAGGATTTGTCGGACTCTCCAAAATATGCCTCTGTCTCGGCGATGTCTTCCTCGTTTTTTTTTCCGCGAGCCATTTCTTCATGTTAGGGAACAAGAAAAAGTCCCAGGGGACAGATCGGGTGAATACGGCAGCACTTCATAACGCAATTGATGCAGTCTGGCGGAGGCAACTCCGGATGAATGTGCTGGTGCGTCATCGTGGTGAAACAGCACCTTCTTTTTCGCCAAATGTGGCCGTGTCTCCTTCAATTCTTTGTCGAAGAGGTCCAATAACTCACTGTAATATTATCCAGTGATCGTTCTTCCTTTTTCAAAAAAAAATCCATGAGTTTGACGGCGTTCGCATCGCAAAAAGTCGTCGGCGATTATATCCTCGCATTTTTCCCCATCCAAAAACAAAAAGCGAAGTACCGAACGATACTGCTCTTTTTCCATCTTAGCGAAAAGCACGAAACACTCTTACTCGAATGGCTGCCAAATCCAAACTAACCTATTAATCAGTCTGAAATTTGTGGTGCCGTTGTTTAATAGACGGCAGCACACGATGATAACACCAACTTCCCCCAGGAACGCCCTTTGTCGTTAAACACGGGTACTTATTGAACAAGCCTCGTATACCCAGAGTTTTTATTCATTGGACGTTCATAAAAAAATCAGCATATGACAGTTTTATCTGTAGATTTGCGTAAGTTTCCATTCTATCATTTCCCTCTTATATTGAAACATTTTTTCTGTTTTAGTATAGTGCAGTAGAAACACTAAGGTATTTTGTACCTGATTTTTTGTTGTTACATTGGTGCAAGTTTTTTGTCATTATCGATATTTTGTTAAAACCCAATCTCTGAAATAACATGGGGAACAGAACCACGTCATTGTTTATAAAGACTTTTATATATTTTTATTTTATATAAGTATTCAGCTACAGTATATATAATAAGTTGTGTATAATTTATCGGTGGAGCATTTACAGAACCTCGACTCTTTTTCCTTCACCTTTATTGCCTTTATAAGAAATCGATTTAATTTTTGTAGAGAAGTATTTTCTGAGCTTTTGTATTTTTTGTGTTCAAATAAATATCATTACATTTGGTCGGTATGTTTTTATTGTGCCTTACCACTACGTTAAAAAATATAACCTGCATATTAGGATTAGGTGCTAGAATTTATGACACTGTCCTTTTCTTTTTCACGAGCATGAAATAAATCATTTATATTTTAACGATTTTGTTTTTCTTCCAAACTACGTTTACGAATGACGAAAATAAAAAATGCCGCATAAAATACGCGTTGAGAATACTATATGTACGAGGATTAAGTGATGAAACTGGCAACGTAGCGTTCGATCTGGCAACACTGGAAGCGCCGGGCTTGGAGGGGGCCAGGGACAAGGAACATTTCATCCGCCTTCAGTAGAAGTGTGTTCGTGTTCTGTGGTGATCAGGTGGTGATAGATAAAGGTTAGGGTGAATTTTTAAACAGCGTTACCAGTTACTAGATTTTTCAATAGAATCATCACGTAACTGCATCCAATTTTTGAAAAGGTAGCATCACTATTTTGAATTACACATTCATGATATACAGGGTGTTACTTAATGGTGCAAGGGCGCATTCCTGTACCAAATTCAGGTAGAAAAATTGATAAAAACATGTCTTAAAAAGTCTGGTTTCCAAGATACAGGGTGTCAGTGATTTAAAGCAAAATTGGTTCTGATAGAGGATAATATCAAACTGTCACGGAAAGTCAAAAGGATATTGATACCAACAGAATAAGGTTCATATTATCAGTCGTTCCTACAACTGTAGGACGCCTTTATGGTCTTCTTGATTTTTATAGTATTTTCTGTCATTTATAAAGGCTGGGTATTTCTAAATTTAACCGTTCCCTGTCGGCGTCAGCGCTCTCCTATTGAGAAGATATATTTTCTTTTTGAACTGCAGGGAATTTTAGGCTTATAAAACAGATGATATAAATAAAATGTATGAACAGTTTGATGCAAACAGATATTTGTGACATAACCTCAAAATGGAGCGCTGACACGGAACAATAAAAAACTATGAAAAGGAAGCCTTAACGGCGTCCTACAATGAATTGTAGAAACGATACGGCCCTAACACTCCCCACACTTAGGCCCGTATCGTCAGTCGTCCCTACAATTGTAGGGCGCCTTTATGGCCTCCTTGATTGTCATAGTTTTCTGCTTCTCCGTGTCAGAACTATTTTGAGGTTATGTCACAAACATCTATTTGCATCAAATTGTTCTTGCTTTTAAGTTATATCATGTTTTATCAGCCTGAAATTTCCTACAATTTAAAAAGAAATCATATCTTCACAATAGGAGAGCGCTGACACGGGACAAGTGTAATCTAGAAATTTTTGAAGGAGAGAAAGGACTATGACAATCAAGGAGGCCATAAACGCGCCCTACAATTGTAGGGACGACTGATTTGATCGTATTTTAATAATTATTCCACATGTAATGGTTGTTTAATTTTTTTCCTCGAAAACGAAATGAAATACGAAGAGATTCCAAGGAACAATAAAATTAAATCATTAGCTGCTTAATCCGAAAAAAATGTCCAAAAAGTCAGTGGCGTACATTCGCGAGAAGACGCCACTGTAATTCATAATTATCTGTTAGTCAGGCGTACGAACTTCACATATTATAATGAACAATACTGCCAAAATTCAACATAATCAGAGATGAAACTTTGACATCCTGTATCTTGAAAACCAGACGTTTAAGAAACATGTTTATAATAATTATAAATTTTTCTACTTAACTTCCATTCAAGTATGTAATAACGTCCCATTATTAAGAAGACAAGAATGATCAGAATTATAATATATTGGGTGGAAACAGACTCTGACGAAGACCCGTTAAAAAACCTATAAAACAATAATTAAAATGTTAAGCTCCTGTCACAAAAATTACGTTAGGTGCTTCATACCTGTGCCAGCCATTGGTCGACACGGGTATTACGTATCTTGAAAAGTGACAGTTCTTCGGTTTTTTGTGACATAACATAGATTTTTCTACAAGACGTTAACTTAGCACAAGCTGTTTTTTGACGTTTTTTTTTACATAATACCCCTGCAGATCTCTGTTTATGGCGTATCATAACTTCTGTCTCCCACCATAACCACTTATGCTCTCCTCCCCAACATCTCCAGGCTTTGCAAAGGAAAAAACTCAGCTCATCAACGCGGATGTTCGCCAAATTGACCTCCAGAATGTTTCATTTGGATATGCCAGACTGTGCCGATTATAATGCTTTTCTTAACTTAATTTTTTTGAACAAGTCATCAGGCTGAAGAAAAACAAACATATAAAACTAAGCAATGTTTAATCAATAGATATCACTTTAAATAATAGTAGCAATCCGATAATTGGCAATCATTTTTTAGGATGGACATCTTGAAGATTGGGAACAAATTCAATTATGCATGATGAATCCACCAACAAAACCATCTGAATCTGACTGCTGTAATTCAGGTTGCAACCCTTGCATTTTAGATGTATATGAAGAGCAGTTAAAAGCTTATAATAAAAATCTGCAAATAACACCCTTTCAAAGTTGCATACATCCAACCTCATATGCAATATTCCAAATCACTAAAATTGATAGACATGCTGAAGATGCTTTCATCTACGTATTTGAATATGTTTCTTGTCCAGAAGATACTGGGAAATCTAATGATGAAATTTGTGTTCAATATAAACCTGGACAGTATTTCATATTGAAGGGTGAGACAGATAATGAGGTTTTCAGCAGAGCTTATACACCAATACCCTTGCAAGATATTGAAAAATTACAGTTTGCTGTACTGATGAAATTGTATCCAGATGGAAAGTGTTCAAACTACTTGAGGATGCTGAAGCCTGGGAGCCATACATTTTGGAGGGGACCTTATGGGACATTTGATGTAACATACCACACAAAATATATACTTTTTATTGCACAAGGAACTGGAATAGCACCAATTTTTGCGATTATTTCTAGTATGGTCAAAAATGAAGACTGCTATACATTTCTGAAGTTATACTATTGCTGTAAAAACCCAAAAACAATTTATTTACGGAAACAGCTATATAGTTTATTAGATTATTGGAATTTTACTTATGAACTATTCTTAAGTGATCCAAATGGTATGGAGCAGAAATACAATGAAGTTGTTAATGTTACAAAATTGAATGGTAATATAATTAAAGCATATTTAGGCGATAAATTAAATGAAGTAAATGTTGTTATATGTGGTAGTGAAACTTTTATGAACTGTATGAAAAAATATGCTTTTGAATGTGATGTTAATAAAGATTTAATATTCTTTTTATGAATATAGTTAAATTTTTGAAATAGTATGGTAACTATTTTCTAAATAAGCTTCAACTGCTGAACATTTGATTTGTTTAGCATGAATGCTTGAAATATAAACACTTTCATATGAAATATTAAGGTGAAAAGGGGTTTTAACTTTACTGCCTTATTCGAGAAGCAAAATTTCTTCTACTTGTAGAAAAATAAGAATATACAGATAATACATTTTATTTAGGTATATTATTAACCAAAATAAGAAATGTGAATATACAAAAAAGAGTTCAGATCACTCTCACAGTCTTTTTGTACATGTTTTAACTCAAAATACAGAAACTTTCAAATAAACACATCATCCTATGTTGACACTTTTTATGGCGTCCTTTCAAAAATAAAAAAACAATGGGGACTAAATTATGTCAAATGAAAATTAAAACTAAAATGTACAACCCCTTCAAAGATTATCATAATCAGTGTGTCCGGCAGCCCTCCGTAGTAAGATGTATATTTTCTCTTTAATCCAATCCTTGTTATAAGGTGCATATGTGTTTGTTGACTTTTGGTAGACAAGGCAACTTAAGTCGGACAACTGCAAGGAAAAGATATAATACTTTATTGAATAAACTGACAAACCTCAAGGAAGTACAAATCAAATTGACAGAAAGTGTAGCAGCAAAAGATTATAGCTGCAACTTTACATGAAAACTAAAAAACCCTAATTACTTATTAAAATGGTATTGAAACTGTTACGTAGACCAGACTGACACAATAAATGCAAAAGTCCCAAATACTGATAATATTTTATCAATTTTAGATGCCTTGATGAATCTGTTCCATCCTAAGATATGGTTATGGTTTTTTTTACCATGAGCTTCTGGAATAGCATTAGATTTATGTAGAAGACTGTGATTCATGTATTATCACAATTCATGATGCATGTACAAATTTTGAATCAGCAGTATGGAAAAATTTCAGTAAAAGTATCTACAAGCCACACACTTTACTTACTTGATCTACAAAATCGAACAACTGTGAAATATCATAGGTAATAGTTGGTGTGTTTGGATTCCTTCTCTTGAGGTGCTCTTCATATATCTTGCATACACCCTCCATACATTCATTGATGGATTCATAATCTGAGTATGTTCTAGTTTCAGGATTTACACCTGGTTGTACAAGCAATATAGTATGAGACTGAAAAATGTGGAAATTCCTATGTATTACTCAAAATTGGCAATCAATAGCAGATCTGTTTGGATGAACTTACCATATTTTGCTAGATTAAATTACAATATCTATATTAATTTTATCACTCGATAGCTAATGGCTGTACTCAAATTCTCAACTGGGTCTTGATTTCGTTTTTAATTTTGCCACTGGAAAATTGTGCCGACAAGCCAGCTTTACAAATGCCCAAACAACTCGAATCGCAGAATTCAACTTTTTGGAATATTTGTTCTGTGGATTTGATAGACAGCTGTCAATACACAAAGGCAGAGGAGTGTAGAAAGTTAGATTTTCAGACCTTCTATTTCTGTCCGCCATCTTCTCTCCTACAAACGAATTCTAATCTGCCAACTCGTTTTGTGAGTGGTTATGCATTCAAGTAAAGCGTCATTATGTGAGGGAGGAGTTCTAAATCTGAAAATAAACTGTTTCCTACTCTTTGTTATTATTGCACTTCCTAGCGCCTAGATCTTAGACCCAGGGTTTATCCCTGAGGGGCCGTTCAAGTATTACGTAAGCAGATTTATTACAATTATTTACCCCCCCAACCCCCTCGTCAGCAAAAGTAAGCAAAGCTCTTACCCCCTCCACCCATGCTTACGTAAACATTTGTCAATTAATGTATCGTTTTTTTTTATATTATACTTATAATTTGAAAAATAAAATAGATTTATGAAGAGATTATATTTTACTGATACAGTACTCAGCATAGAGTAAAGGACAAAAATATTATATCTTACTAACATAACAAACTTATTTTAAATTTTTTGTACATATATTAAATTAAAATTAATAGTCTTCAGTCCATGAAACCCGAATTCATGATTTTAAGTTTTCGATGACATTAGATTGCTTCGATTGCTGCTCAGTCGAGTGTTGTGAGTTTGCTCGCTTTCATCGGATTTTGGAATGTCTACGTCGTTCTCATCGAGCCATTCAACATCATGGTGCTCTAAATTTTGAATAATGCACATCAGTTCATTAGCACGACGAGCAGGTCTTACAGGTCTAACTTTCCTATCAGTGTGCGTGTTTACTTTTTTATGGATATTTTCGATGTGACGATTTAGTGACTTGACGGAAGCATGATAAAGACCTCACGTTTTGCATGTTCGACTTGATAGCCTCAATTTTACCGTCGGACAAAAATAATCGTAGGGCATTTGCAGGAAATCTTTGAGTGAAGCACTTAAGCGAGTTCCTGACTAAGAGGAGCCATTCTGCGCTCTACTCTGTTATACGCACTTCTTCCAGGAGCATTGGTAGCTAAAAACAAAGCATCGAGATCATGTCGCTTAAAGTGTTTCATAGCAAACCCTATGACTTTTTGATAACGTGGATTTTCATCTGGCCCTCCATCAACCGTCATGATTACCACTGGTTTTATTAGTCCATGGTCAGTTTTAGCTAATGGTCGAAACTCTTCAAGTTCGAGAAGCGTCTCGAAATCCTGAGCAGGAGTATTAGCAGTAGATGAACTATGCTTTCTAATTCGAATAGCGATGTATGTTGGTCCAGAATATCCAACGGCTTGCGGTTGTCCTAGTATATTGGAAGTGATTTTGATACCAGCGTAAACAGATGGTATTAATTTATGATGCTCAGCGATTACCCAATCGTGATCAGGCAATTTGATTCTATATTCGATGTGCATTAGAAGAGGTGCTTGCTTATTTGCCGCTGTTACGCCAATAGGGACTCGAGTTTTATCATCTTGAGATATGAAAAATACTTCATCTGGTCCGTGTATGGATGCTATGTTCTCTAAATAATGAATTGATGTTTCAGCGAACTTGCTATCTAAGTGGCTCTTGTGGTGATCAGTTTGAGCCCGAATGAGCTTAACAGGGACTGTCGATACATGTCTTCGTCCCTATGCAGATTTTCTGCAACCGGAGTGTGACGCTTACGAACTGCACTACCAAACAATGAAAATGTAAACACATGTTGCTTTTATTTTCAGAAGCATTGTCAGCCTATCCAAATGATGCCTGATGATGCTTTTAGAATGATGGCGCAACACGTTAGAGGTCTGCATTTTTATTGTAAAGGTACTGGATAAATGTGTCGAATTCATATTTTAGCGTAGAGATTTAAAATTATTTTCGAAGTGTCTATTTGTAGTTAATCATTGTTGGGGAACATCTTAAATATACGTTGTGATTCTGGGTCATAACATTATCAGTTTTTTACTATCCTCCATTGTCTGGTATCGGTTTAATGTGAGTTTTATACAAAAAAATGATGCTAAAACACCGAATAAAAGGCTGGTGCATGAGGGGTCAGGGGATTTCAAAAATAAGTAGCTTAGGTGCATGACACTCTAGAGCACTGAAACGGTATTGACAGGTAGCTCCGAGTAACACAAATGAGGCACTGGAAAGCGGCTTTTAGACCCAACCCAAAGTTTATCCCTGGGGCTCGACATTTGACTCAGCTGCGTGTGCTAAGACAGCTGTTTTTGACATTTATTGTGTTTTATGCAGTATGCACAAAGATAGCCTAACCCTAACCTCAAATTTTTGTTTGACATTTGGAATTTGTGTTGAAGGAATTTATAAACAAAGATAACTCAAAATCGCTCCAAAATTTTTACATGAAAATGATTCATACACATTAATATTTATTTTAGATAAAAAGTGAGACATGATATAGTGATTTCGTGATAGACTACGTTTACAATAATAGAAATATACTAAACAGATTGCCGGAGAAACTACCATCAGAACAAGATGATCTTGGCGGTTATTGCAATTAGTTTTGTTGTCAAATGTTGTTTATGTTTTCAACCAATAATAAACAGCACCTTGGATTACAATGTCACTTACTCATTTGATATAACAAATGATATAGAATGGATTTTAGGATTTCATGACAGTAATGTATGTACTCCAATTCATTATGTACAACGTTCACGAATAGCAGCCTTTTTTACAGATAAACAATACGGACGTTGATGTGCCTCCTACGATCTGGATCAGCAGCAATGCAACTGTTTCGGCACCTTTAATGATTGTAGCACGACAACCCAAGAGGATGTTGTCATGGCAACTGCCAATGGTGGTTGAGAGTGAATCCGGAGAGAAAACCTTTCAAACTGTATCTAGAACCTTGTGCCATGATATTATTGGGCATACAAGACAGGGTATTTTATGAATTACAATTTTAGTTTCATGTAAACTGATTGCAGTTTCAATTATTATCACAGTTATTAATCATAATACATAGATATTTTTGTAAATATGTTGATACAAGCAATTGCAATCATAGGCTAACCTTGAGGTTCCAAATTAATATCTTTCAATTCTTGTGTGAAGTTTGCAACATCCACATTTTGCCATAATTATCCTTTTTAACTCTTTCACTGCTGATGTCACGCTTGCGTGACATTAAGTTTTTTTGCCAGTTGCTGATGACACACTTGCATGACATCTGACCATTTTTTTTATAAATTTGGCTTTATAATAAAATGTTTTTTACTGAGTTTTAATAAAGTTGTCCTGATATAACCTTTCCAACATAAAAAAAATATAATGACACATAGGCTTCAGTTTACTACTTAGACAATTATAAAACAAAAAAAACTCAAATTTTAGAAAAAACATTGCTGCATCTGGGTTACTCTGCATCATAGAAACTAGCAGGGAAAGTATTAAACAATAATATGGGTATTTTTTAGTCATTGCATACATATTTACCAACAACTTGATACATAGGTGGATTAACATGCATATTCCATTGTTTTGGCAATTTTTCAGTGCCAATCATCATATAAAACTTCTTAAATTGTACAAAAAGTGTTTATTGCAGCTCCTGAAAGTGTTCCTTTAATACCCATTTTACATCAACAATTTATTCAGATGGATTTTCTTCTTGATATAGGTTTCACTGGAGGTTTTACACAACGTGACATAGGCCCCCTTGTAACTGTGTCAACTGCTTCTCCTGAACCTATACAGTTTAGCATTCGGGTTAGTTACCAAGACTTCTTTTATCTCGACCATCAAAGGTCATATAACTTCAATATCACACCCAGTGAGCCTAGGTAAGTCATTACAGCATATAAATATGAATATTAGAACCAGCTGATATTAATTTCAGATACTTTTACTACAACTTTACCACTAATACATTGTTGAAGGAAAATACTAATAATTATGAAACAGTAATTTTAGAAGTTACTTCGGATGATGAGATTTGTATGACTGTCAGTATACAAAACGTCAGTGTAAGTACTATTCTTAAGGGCTCTTCTTAGGCTTCTGCCTGCGTGGCTGTTTCAACTGATGGCGTGTTGCCTGAGAAGTGCAGAGTCAATCTATTTGATGTTATTTTTATCCCGGATATGAATAAATCGTGACCATGTAACTGGTGGACAGTTGCTTTGCAACCCAAATTCAAATCTCGATATGAGGGATGTCTTTGAAGTTTTGCATATGGAAATAAAATAACACTCGTTTGCTGGCAGATCCAAAACGGCATTTTTGAATGCTTCAACTGCTTCTTCTGGTGACTGGAACCTTTGACCACGCAGTCTGTTTTTAATTTTCGGGAAAGTAAAGAAATCGTTAGGGCTTAGATCGAGACTATATGGAGAATGGTCCAATAATTCCACGTTTTCTTCCGTTAAATACTGCCTTGTTTTTTGGGCTGTAAGCAAGCTTGAATTGTCTTGGTGGGGCATGATTCTTCTTTTGGGGTTGATTTTTCGAATCTCGGTGATGACTTTTGGCAAACAAATGGTGGTATACCAATACACAGTAACAGTTCTTTGCTCACTAAGAGAAATTGTTGCAATATGACCCGCTTTTGACACAAATGTCGCGACCATCTTTTTCTAAACACTTCGAGAACGGATGACTTTTGTTGGCTTTTCTTCACCTTGGAACACCCAAACAGCCGACTGTCGTTTATTTTCTGGTTCATAACAGTAAATCCACGAGTCATCACCACTAACAATGCTGTACACATTTTTTGAGTTTTCGGAATTGAAACGGTGAAGCGTTTTTTGACACCGATTAACCCTGGCTGCTTTCTGCTCTTCAGTCAACAGATGGGGTATCCAACGAGAAACTATTTTTTTTCTAATTCTTCATGTAAATTTTTTTTAATTGAAGTCTTTGAGATCTTCAACGACGCCTCAATCTCGCGCTATGTCACATGTCTATCTTCAATGATGAGTTTGCGCAGAGCATCGACGTTTTCCTGGGTGACTGCCGTTTTTGGTGCACCTACCCTGGAATCGTCGCTAAGACTCACCCGTCCACGTTTGAATTCTTCATACCAACGGGAAATTGTCGACTGATGTGGCGCTTCGTTGCCGAAAACAGACAGTAACTCAGCAAGGCATTCTTGTTGACATAATTGTCTCTGAAATTTGTAATAAATTATGGCGCGAAAATGTTCTCGGTTGAGTTCCATTTCTCTAATGACTTAGTGACACTTAAAAATTCACTGTAGTGAGAACACTGCACGTATTGTTTGTTGTGAAACTTTGAATTTAAGTTTACTAAAGAGTGAGGTTAAGATTCAGTACTGACGTTCGATCCGTGCGGCCTACTATGTTTCTATATGCAAAACTTAAAAGACATCCGTCGTATTTTCGGAAGTTGCAGTATTCCGAAGGTTGTTGATCAAGAACACATACAGGGTTTTACTAGTATATATCTTTTATTTATCCACCAAAGTCCGGTTCTTTTAGCAAAGTTTGGGGCTATGTCAGATCCTCAATTTTTGTTCATGGAAATTTTTCTATGCATCTTTTCGATCTTTGGATTATTCTTACAATTTCTCAAATATTTCGAAAGTTGGCTATAACTCAAATTATCGAATTTTAAAAAAGTGTTACATTTATCCCTAAAAAATGGACTTTTTGGGGTTTCTCTTGAGAATGGATATTTTTTGTGCGTAAAAATTTGTTACTTTTACTACTTTTAATATAGGGGTGTATTGCAGTGGCGTAAAACCAAAAGCATTTTTCTACGATGCTGGCCAAAATACTGTTATTTATCTTTTATCTGGATTTTTTTATCTTCCTCATTCAGCATTGCGTACGCGTCTTTATTGGAGATAATTTTCAATAAAAAATTTTCACTCTATTTTTAAACATCAAATACTTTATTGATTAACATTAACAATATGTAACATTTTAGAAAACAATAATTTGAAGATCAGTTCTTAATTATTTATTTATAACAATAACCAACTTTTTACAAAAAAGTAACAGTTATTTTAATCAACAAACTGGCAGTATCAGAAAAGAGGATGCTGCTCTTCTCACACCTGGCAAAGCCCTAACTGTTAAGGACACATTCTAACGATAGAGTGTGGAAAAACTTAAAAACGTTACTAAGTTGGCGCGAAATTTTTTTGAATCCAATATTTTTTTTGAGACTTCTCACTCATAGATTAAATACAATTTTCCTTGCAGTGTCCAGTTTTCGATACGAATCAAGATGTCACATTCAGAGGATTCTATGAAACTGTCAATAAAAAAGGAGGAATCACGATTCCAGTACGTTCACTGTTCTCGGATGATTTAAAACCATTCTAACATACCGATTGTTTTTCAGAAATATAAATTTCCTTATGGTTTCTATATCGTGTTTGTCGCCAAGAGTGACGATTATCAATGTACAAGTTTTACTGGATTCCAAAGCGGTAATATAGAAAGAATCAAGAACATCTCACTGATCATCAAACCCAGCATAACCCATTCAGAATATGTTAGAGCTGTGATCATAACTTTGGCTGCAATAGGTACTGTTTTTCCTAAATTCTTCTCGTATTTTCGAAATTATGTGCCGTCATTTTTCTTCTAGGAGGATTCTATGTAGTATTTGGCTTGTCCTATTTTCTGTGTTCAGTGAGAAGTCATATACCAAGACAAATGGCGTATGCGCCAGAGCATTTTCCATCAACGCCATCTTCAAGTAAGTGTTTCTGTTTTTTATCTGGTAGCAAGCAATGCAAGTCAAAAGACATTTTTAACACATTCAACAATAACACTGATCAACAGCCAAAAAATATCCTAAATAAAATCAACAAAATATTACTATTTTTAATGTGCTAAAACCGGAATGAAACTTTTTTCAATATTAGTTCAAGTTTTAGAGATACGGTAATTATATGTGTTCCTGCTGTGACAGTGTTAATATACTGTAATTCACAAGAAAGCACGTGCTACATTTTTATATTCGGCAAGGAAAGATGATGTAATCGGCATGATTGTGTTACGTTATACATACGTGTACATTATATTGTTTTATATTAGCCATTTTTTCCTCAGTTGGCTGACAGCGTTCATGCAAGATGTCTCGAAAGTGTGTAAACAATCCAGATCAGTTTTGTTACGTGTGTGGTGATGTGACTTTTGCGTCTCAGAGACGGTCTATTACTCCACTAATAACAAAGGCATATCGGCTTTATTTCGGTTGTAAAGTAGGTGATCAAGACAAACAGTGGGCACCCCACATCTGCTGTAATACATGTGCTTCAAGTCTGAGGAGCTGGTTAAATGGCAAAAACGGTCTATGCGTTTTGCTGTCCCAATGGTTTGGAGAGAGCCTACAACTGATATTAATGATTGTTACTTTTGCATGGTACCTTGTGTTGGACAAGCCACAGGTATGTCCAAGAAAAAAAAATCGGTTATTAACTACCCAAACATACCATCTGCGATGAGACCTGTGCCTCACAGTGACGAAAATCCTATTCCAAAACCCCCAGAATCCTACACTTGCGAATCAGAAAACGAATCAGATCATGGCGATCGAGTGATTCGCCAGGAAGAAGATATGCCATCAACGTCAAGAGATCCTGATTTTATACCGAGCACGTCATGCCACCAACCGCACAAAATAACACAGTCAGAATTAAATGATCTTGTAAGAGATTTAGAACTTCCAAAATGTAAGGCAGAGTTACTTGGATCAAGACTGCAGAAGTGGAACTTGTTAGAAGACGATGTTTCGGTACGTGTTTTTCGTAAACGCCACAAAGACTTAGAACCATTTTTCAATATGGAGAATAACTTGGTTTTCTGCAGTAACATGAACGGCTTAGTGGCGGCTTTAAATATAAACTATAACCCAGAAGAATGGAGATTGTTTATAGACAGTTCAACATTGAGTTTAAAGGCAGTGTTATTGCATATTGGAAATGTTTTACCATCTCTTCCTGTAGGGTATGCAGTTCACATGAAAGAATCAAATGACAATATGAAGTACCTATTGACATGCATAAAATACGATGAGCACCAATGGCATATTTGTGGCGATTTGAAAGTTGTTGCACTTTTACTTGGGCTGCAGCTAGGCTACACAAAGTTTTGCTGTTTTTTTGTGTGAATGGGACAGTCGGGCAAAGGCACTTCATTACACCAGACAAAACTGGCCTGTTCGTCAATTCCTAGAGCCAGGTCAAAAAAATGTACAGCATATGCCATTAGTATATTCGAAAAAAATTTTATTACCACCACTGCATATCAAGTTGGGCCTAATGAAAAACTTTGTCAAGGCATTATATAGAGATGGGTCAGCTTTTCAATACCTGCGTCAGAAATCTCCAAGACTAAGTGAGGCAAAAGTTAAAGAAGGTATTAATGTTGGGCCACAGATTCGAAATATTTTGAAAGATACACAGTTTGAAAACACTTTAACAGGTATTGAAAAAACTGCTTGGAATGATTTCCGTCTGGTGGTCACTAATTTCTTGGGAAATAGAAAAGCTGACAACTATAAAACCCTTGTCAAAAATATGCTGTCATCGTATCAAAAGATGGGCTGTAATATGTCTCTTAAGATACATTTCCTACACTCACACCTGGACTTTTTTCCTGACAATTGCGAAGCCGTAAGTGATGAGCACGGCGAACGTTTTCAGCAGGATATTTCAACAATGGAAAAAGGTACCAGGGAAAGTGGAATCCTTCCATGCTTGCAGATTACTGTTGGACTTTTGGTAGAGATGCTCCAGAAACGATCCATAAAAGAACAGCAAAAAGACAGCGCATATAGTGATTCTTATAAGTATATGAATCTTGTTACTTTTTTTAATATATCCTTAAAAATAAAAAGATTTTTTTCTAAACCGCAACTAATTTTTTTATTTCATTGTCATTTTTGGATTCAGCGCCCCAAAATTAACAAAGAAGTGCACTTTTCCCACAAGATACAATTAAAAAACTAAAATTTGTTGTCCAGTGATAATTGATGTTTCAAAACTATATCCGTATATCTATTGGAAAAATTAAGTAAAACGCGAATCGTATTGAGTTGTAGTTTATGATAACTGGTTAGCGTTTAAGTAAATTTCTTCATTAAAAAAAAATCCGATTTTTGTGCCAAAACTCTCAGGACATACGTTATATTGAATTTTACTTGTGATGCAGTAATGTTAGTCTCACCGATAAATAATGTTATGCAGGTAACAACATCCAGGACGTTGCAAGTGTGGCTGAGAGTGTCAGTATTGATGAAAGTGAATACGACACATTGGACGAAGTGGAAATGATGCGAAAATGAGGCTTGGTAGAGGAAACCCTTGTTTAACCGATCTAGCAAGAAAACATCCCAAAATAATCATCAAGAGGTCCTATTTATATTTCTATAATGTACTTACTGTCGCTGTATTCTACGGGCTTCCTGTTGTACAACTTGTAGTGACTTATCAAAGGGTTAGTAGCATTCATTTCAAATACAGTACATACTACATTCAGTAGGCGCAATTTTTACCTCCTGGAAATCCAAGGCCCGTCCTACACAAAATAAACGGTGACCTTAAAGTTGTAACTTTCCTTTACACAGCACATAAGACGACTGTAAATTAAGTAATGATTTTTGTTATTCAAATATAATACCCTCAAAAGTAATGTAGTAATGTAATGGCACCCACTTTATTTTATTTTCAGGTATTGAACCAAACCGGACAACAAGACCTTTGCTACTACAACTTCCTCTGTTCACATCCACTTGGACTTCTGAGCGATTTTAATCATGTATTTTCCAATATAGCTTACATATTATTAGGTGCACTGTTTCTTATAATCACTTGCATCAGAGAGAAGACTCATAAGGACTTAGATTTTGATCGGGTATGTTCTTTTCTATGACTTTTTTCAAGCAAGAAATTTTCCATTAAAAACGGTTCAGTCACAATATCATGATCCCTTAACTTGACGGATGATTTATTTTTAACTCTCAACCGTAAAAGAGATTTAACGTCTAGCGCTGTAGTTCCCAAACGAACAAGCCGTTTTTTTCTGTGGAACGTAATTTAATAATGTGTGGATGCACCCTAATGTGCTACGCATTCTCCAACGCGCCTAGGCATGCTTCTGATCAGGTGGTTAATGTCCTCCTGTGGTATCTCATTCCAGGCAACCACCAACTCCTCTCGAAGTGCTTCTAGAGTCTGAGAAGGACGTTGCAAATTGAGCAATCTCCTACCCATCACATCCCAAACGTGCTCAATTGGGGATAAGTCGGGAGATCTTGGTGGCCATGGTAACAATGTGATATCATTATGTTGAAACAAGTCTATTGTGACTCTTGCAACATGTGGTCGGGCATTATCTTGTTGGAAAGTTGGATCTGCCAGGGTGTCAAGATAGGGTAAAAGATGGGGTTCTAGAACTTCGTGGATATAACGCTGCGCGTTCATGTTACCTCTGATGAAGATTAAAGGTGACCTGGAACCATAAGCTATAGCACCCCAAACCATAACTGCAACAGTGTGATGAACATGTCTTTCAACAAAAAACTGTGGATTCCTCCTTTCACTACGTCGCCTTCTAACCCTGGCACGACCATCGTGCATGCCTAAACAAAATCGAGAGTCGTCACTAAAGACAATACTGTTCCTGATCCCAGAGTGACCGTTGTCTGCACCACTCAAGGCGATTACGTCGGTGTTCTCGAGTTAAAGGGCGGACCCAGTGTGGCCGGTATGAAAACAAGCCAAAACTTCTCATTCGTCGGTAAACACTTCGCATGCCAATAGGTCTTCCGTGTTCTGCAAACCATTCATTTGCAATGGACCTGGTAGTGGAGAAACGGTCCCTTAAGGCCAATAATCTTAGGCGGCGATCTTCACGGTCTGTTGTTCTACGGCGGCGTCCAGTGCCCCTTGCTCTTTGCGTACGGCCTTCTCGAAGCCATGCCTGACAACACCTGACCACAGTGTCTACACTTCTTTGCACTCTAACTGCAATTGCCCAAAAGAAAGTCCAGCTTCCCGAAGTCCCACTATACGGCCCCTATCAAACTCACTAAGTTGACGAAATCGTACAGGTCTCCGTACTGCGGCTGAAATATTCATTTTTAGAGCGTTAGTGAATTAAAAAAAAGCAGTCTAAAAACCGGAATGTCCAACTGATGAGGCTGAAAATTTTTTCACTTGTTATTTACAGTAAGATAAATACATTCACCAACTTTTATTAAAATAAAACCATTTAAACTGGGTGTTCGGATTTATATGTCACTTAGTATAGAAAGGGTCTTTAGCTATCATACGAGATTTTTAAAATTTGAATCTATTGGGTCCGCAACAAAGATCGGACGGTTTTTAAAAAACCACAAAATCGGTAGTTTTTACTAAAAAACAAATTTATCGACGGATTCAGGTTCACAATGAAACAACGTTTGTCACAATTAAATGTGGAAAATCGGAGCTATGAAGCCATATTTTATTTTCAGCAATTTGGGATACCCCAACATTATGGATTGTTTTACGCTATGGGAGTGGCTCTAATTATGGAAGGAATCTTGAGTGGAAGCTATCACGTTTGCCCGAATCAATTAAATTTTCAGTTTGGTATGTCATTGATCATTATTTCTATAGATTGAATCTAAACTAAAACACTTTATGTCGCAGATAGGTTATACATTATGTTTTTCAGATTCCAGCTTCATGTATGTCATGGCAGTTTTATGTATGGTAAAGTTGTATCAGAATAGGCATCCAGATATAAACGCTAGTGCTTACTCTACGTTTGGGATTTTAGCATTAGCAGTCTTACTTGGTAAGAAGCTTGAGTTATAATTGTTATCGCACAAATTTCCCAAGTTGAGATTTACGTCTTTTAGATGTACGAGGTCTGTAAATTACGTTTAATTTATACTACCCACCCCTTACCTAGATAGGTAGATATCAAAATGTGAGTCTGTCTAATATCCAACTCAATTTTTTCAAGGGCAGATAATGTAATTTGTTTGTGCAAGTAAATTTGAAAAACCTGTACAATGATTTCTTTTTATTTTAGGTATGATTGGTATTTTGGAAGGAAACATCTACTTCTGGAGATTTTTTGTCGTGGTACACATACTGATGTGTCTATATGTCAGTATTAAGGTTTATTATATGGGCTGTTGGCGGCTATGTACGTATTATCTTAGGATTGTTCTAAAACTGGATAACGCACAATTTAGTATAGTTCCGAGGGTTGTTTAAAAAATAAAGTTTTTTCAGGCACAAGGAATTTGTTATTTGAGAAAACGAATTCACCTGGCCTTCATTGCGCTTGGCAGTCGGGCCGCTACTAAGCGTCGCAGACAGGCGCTTCTTGTTGGGCAAACACGTCGGTGTTACCAGATTTCACCTAGCATCACGCGAGACAAAGTTACAAAGCTATTTTTGAGACAACCCTCGTATAATTACGGTTTTAATAATAGTCATTGAAATTAATTTTTCTTTTCAGCACGAGTGTCTATACGAGGAATCTACAATTCTTGTGTGAACGATTTTAGATCTGGACCATTGAACCTCTTTGTTCCATGCCATAAAGGTTACTATAATTTATACAGGGTGTAAACGTTATGGTAATCATTATTGAAATGTGAAATAGGTGAGGTCAAAACAAGTCAAAAAGTTCATATGACCCATGGTCCAAAAGTCAATAGATTTTTGTCTAAATGGGTTTATAGTTTACAACTTTAGAGTGCTTTATATCGACCACAATCACCACAATCTTACTAATTTTTATAATCTAATTTAATACGTTTTTAAATTGGGTAATTAACAAATAAATGGCATTAAGTTTTTCTGAGTTAAGCCAAAATTTGTAGTGAGTAAGTTTCATTAAATTTAATATTTAAAACACACAACAGCGCGTCGGTCATTCATCACTCTTATCGAACCGGCAATCGATCGCAAACGGTAACAGTGGTTCGTTATTGTTCGCGTACGTTGTCGTGTTTATTTACAATGTTCTCGAATCAAGAGTTTGCCGACATGTTGTTAGTTTACGGTGAAGCTCGTCAGAATTGAAATCTTGCAGCTCAAATTTATCGCGATAGATTTCACCAACGGGTACACCCAGACAGAAGGACGTTTGTGCAAGTGTACCAAAGACTTCGAGATACAGGAAGTGTTCAGCCCACTAATATTCGCACTCGTGAAAGACAGGTTACTGTAGAGCAGGAGGAACAAATTTTAAATATCGTGGAAATCGATGCAGATATCAATCAGCACTCGGGAATTAGGCCGCCGCGTAGGACTATCGCATACCATAGTCCATCGAATCCTACAGGAAAATTTGCTTTACCCGTACCATGAACAACGAGTGCAGGCCTTGTTACCAGAAGACTATCCTCACAGACTAACTTTCTGACTGGTTTTTGCACAAAAACATTGAAAATCCGGATTTTTTTAAAAACACTCTAGCGACGGACGAATGTACTTTTACGCGAGGCGGGATATTAAATTTCCATAATACTCACACGTGGGCCCAAGAAAATCCTCATACCATTCGTGAAGGTCATTTCCAACAACGTTTTAAAATAAATATTTGGGCGGGTATTCTTGACGAATTGGCCCTTTCGAGTTACCCCCAAAGTGGTCAGGAGAAGGACACCTTAGCTTTCTAGCCAATAACCTACCAGAACTTTTGGAACAGACCTTAGACAACATGCCATTACAACGGAGACAGAATTTGTGGTTTTCTGCATGACGGGGCACCACCAGACATTTTTAGAGGCGTCATTCAGTATTTGAATGAACATTATCCAAATCGCTGGATCGGTCGAAATGCTCCTGATTCTCGACAATGGCCAGCAAGATCTCCTGACCTCAATCCGATGGATTTCTGATATTGGGGAGATGGTTTATGGGGCTGGTCAAATAACAACTGAACCAGAACTTCGCGAAAAAATTTTTAATGCGGCTGAAATAATAAGTAGACAACTTCGAGGACCTAGAGTAAGAAGAAACTGGGTTCGTCGTAATGAAGATTGTGTGGAAAGTCGAGGACATTTTGAACACCTTCAAATACAAAAAAGTGCAGTGTGGGTTTTAAAAAGAAAAACAATGTATGTATCAAGATTGTGTTCTCTATTTATAAGTGGAGTTTTTTAATACGTTCAATGAACTTTCACACACCAGGTGAAGCGCTGAGACAGTTAGTGGTAAGTCCGCTTTTTAATTGTTTGCATTTTACGAGTGCATTATCAAATAATGAAATAATACCTAAGAGCCAAAAATAACAAACTTCATCTTTATTTACACTGCGTTCCGTCGTAATTTCCGTCTGGCATTGCGGCGTTGTCAGATTTTATTTTACTTTAAAGTCGCTTAATTTCTCTAAAAAAATGCCGTTTTAACCCCCATGTTATATGAAACCTTTGGCTTCTTTGAACCCCCTCTATCAGCCATTTAAATAATGACTATCATAACGTTTACACCCTGAATGATAATCTAGTTCTACTTGCACCGAAGTTATTTAACAGGAAGCATTTGTTAGAATGATACCACCACATTTTTTATTAAAATTTCAAAAATATTTTCAAAGTTATTAAAGCATTTTTCTATTTTTAGCTCGGTTTACGCTGTTGTTGGTGGGCAATATCTGCAACTGGTCGCTTGCATTCTATGCTTTGTACTACCATCCAAGGAACTTTGCTATATTCCTCTTGGCAGTTTTCCTTGCTAATACCATGCTGTATTTCTTCTTTTACATCATAATGAAGGTAACATTATACAGGGTGTCCGCAAAGTTGGGGTTTTCCTTTTCAGAAACAACTACCCTTGAAATAACAAAGGTAATGTGTAGTGAAACGAGGGCGACCAAGTAAAAAAAATAAAGGGAAAAGTACTCACTCTCCAGTTGACGAGAAGGGCTAAGTACGTCTCTGCCCGAAATCATACCGCTCCAACAGAAAATGAAATCAGCTGATGCGCTACCGAACAGACGCAGAAACCACATTGATTGTCTTACACTTAATGGCACATCTTCTAACAAGGAAGGCAAAATATTGCGTAAAAAGTCTAGGTATTGCATCCCGTCCAATCGATTTGGGAGAATAAATGGTCCAATGAGCATACCGTTCACCATGCCAGCCCAAACATTCACCGAAAATGTTTGTTGAAAGTGTGCCCGACGGACAACGTGCGGATGTTCTACTGACCAAACATGAGTGTTGCGAAAGTTATTCATCCCATTACGCGTGAACGTAGATTCGTCTGTCACCAATATGCACTTCACAAAGTCCGGATTATTGTCATGTTGATGCAACAACCACTCACAAAACCGCACTCTTGCTGGAAAATCGTCAGGTTGAAGGGCTTGTACACGTTGGACGTGAAACGGATACAGCCCCTCTTCACGCAGCGTTTGCCACACTTTAGTTTTTGATACTTGCACTTCTCTAGTGCTTGTTGAGGGATTCTCGTCTACGCGATTACCTCTACACGCGTGACCGTAACCGTCGGTTGAAGGTTGCATACTGACCTGACACACTGACCCCGACCCAGTTATGTCGTCGGGTTGAGCCAGTGACCTTGTACCAGTCGGTGATGTCGCGGGTCGCGGCTACAGGACGGTATTCAGATATTTTTGATGTTGCAGAGCCCTTTATCTCGGTTCCCTTAAGACATTGGTGTATATGGTACTAAGAAAAATTGCTTTTGTTTTCAAGATCTATACGTCGTGTAAAGGAAAACCCCAACTTTGCGGACACCCTGTATGACATCAAATAATGTGCCGTGTTTTAGACGTTACAAACGCGAGGTTTTTAGCTAAATGCGCAATTAATAATTGATTAATTTCAGCAGTGTTTCTCTACTTACAGTATCTCAGTGTATGAAACTTTCGTGAGTTTGGTAACAGTTCTTTCATCAGTAATTGCACTCAAGCATTTCAATGCTTTGGCTTTGAAATCAAAGCTTTCTTGGACTCCAGTTTCAGGACAGTATTCAGATATTTTTGATGTTGCAGAGCCCTTTATCTCGGTTCCCTTAAGACATTGGTGTATATGGTACTAAGAAAAATTGCTTATGTTTTCAAGATCTACACGTCGTGTAAAGGAAAACCCCAACTTTGCGGACACCCTGTTTATATATATATATATATATTTTTTTTTCTAAAATTGTTTAACAATATGTGTTTCAGTATATAAACAAGGAGACGGTGAGAATTGTCACATGGATATTCCTATCGTGTTCTACGCTGTGTGCAATATCAGCTATGTATTTTTTCCTCCACAAGGCTGTCTCTTGGTCGGTAAGTAGTATAAGGCAGTAACAAGCTAGAGATGGTTTGAAAATGAGAAAGTAGACAATACTTGAACATTGAAGTGACACTTGCTGTCTCAACGGTATTAGCCAGAATAACATCTCAGTGGCATGCTTAAACCGGGTATCCCAGAAGTAGACTTCAACTGGGAAACGGGGGATTGGCCAATAATAGTTATCAGAAAAATACAAAAAATCTAATCTACAACCTGTGATGATATTTTAGTTCCTATTACTACAAACTTCAATGTTTTCTTAGAAGGAGTGCGACAATGTTATTCCACGTAGTAGCAGCAGATAGTAACGCCACTTTTATTCAAGTATTTTCGAGAAACTGTCGTCGCATTACCAAGTGCCAAAACCTGCATTTTGTCTCATTTTTCGGCCATAACATTTTTGCTATTAGTCGGATCTTTTCACGTGCGGTCTCATAAATACCTAAAAATCTTATATGAAAACTTTTTTCGTGTCTGTAAACACTTTCGATTGAATCTCAAAAAACACGTTTTCGCATACTTGAACAACTTGCACCAATAAAACCAGATTTACAATTATTTCGGAGAAATTTGCTAATATGGAGTTGTCCAAAACGGACGCAGGAAAGTAAACGCATATTAAAACAAGAAAGATTGATATTCAAATCAAGTTGGGTACTTTATTTTGAAGGTTCATTTATACCATTTATGTATGAAAAATAATATCGCTCAAATGTTCGCCACGACTGGATTTACAGACGTCCACGCGATGGTCGAAATTTTCAGTGACATTTTGGTCGGTTCTATGGCATTTATCTCTGCAATGATGTTGTTTTTGAGTTCTTGGAGGGTGGCTGGTTTGTTGACGTAGACTTTGCTTTTCAAATATCCCCATAAAAAGAAGTCCAAGCGAGTCAAATCGCACGATCTTGGTGGCCATGGCACATTTCCTCTGCGCGAAATCACGCGATCACCGAAGAAGGACTGCAATCGATGGATATTGACGTTGGTTGTGTGGCATGTTGCACCGTCTTGTTGGAAATAAACATCGTCCATATCCATTCCTTCAAGTTGCGGCAAAAAATAGTCCTCTATCATCACGTGATATCGCTCAGAATTGACGGTAACGGCGTCCCCCGCCGCATTTTCGAAAAAGTAAGGTCCGATGATGCCTTTTGACCACAATGCACACCACACAGTCACTTTTTGAGAATGCATCGGCTGCTCTTGATACCCACGGGGATTTTCGTTCGCCCAGATGCGGCAGTTTTGCTTGTTTACCGTCCCATTCAAAGTGAAATGCGCTTCGTCGCTGAACATGATTTTTGATGAGAAATTGGCATCAATTTGACGGTGTTCAAGGAGCCAATCTGAGAACGTTCGGCGCGAAAAATGGTCGGCCTGACGCAGCTCTTGCGTCAATTGGATCTTGTAGGCGTGTACATTCAAATCCTTGTGGAGAATGCGGAGCAAACTGGTTCTCGAAATGCCTAATTCTTTTGATCGACGCGTTGTTGATTGTTTCGGATCCTCTCACACTCTCCTTCACAACAGCAATATTTCCGGTGTGCGAACGCTCCTTCGCCGGCCAGAGCCTGGCAGATTTGCCACAGAACCTGTTGCCTCGAATTTACGCACCAGACGACCGATGATTGTTTCGTATGGGCTGTTGTTGCGACCGAAATGTTCACGAAGCGCGCGAAACGTGTTTTTTATTTTTGCAACCATTTTTGTAGTCCTCTTGAATAACTTTAACGCGGTCTTCAATCGAATACGACTCCATAGCGATCAATGGTAAACATTCAACTAACAAAATGACATGTCGGTGACAGAAAACAAAGATGGCGTCTATGTCAAATTGACGTTTACTTTCCTGCGTCCCTATTGGACAACCCTTTACGATTAGACTATTCATAATATATTAATTTTACAGACAACTGCAGCGCAATCCCGCCAGTACAACATGGAATGCGCCCTACTTCGCTTCTACGACTTCCACGACATCTGGCACTTCTTGAGCGCCATCGGCATGTTCTTCACTTTCATGGTGCTACTCACGTTAGACGATGATCTGTCACACACACATCATTCTCAGATACCGGTATTTTAATACCTTATGCAGTTGTGAAGGTCTCCGATCAAATATAATGCTGGTTTAAGCAGGTGACGATCTGAATCAAAACCGATCTGGCAACCTGGGCGCCTCCAATGTTGCCAGACCGTATTTTTTCGCGGGAGGCGAATTATTTTTCGCCGATGCTGTACACTTGTCCGTCCACTGAGACCTAATTTTCCATTTGGTATGGATAGTTACTGTAAATGTTCTTTTGGAGACTTTTTAATTTTTTTGATTAAATGTTATGCCTGGCTTCCGATTGTGGTTTTCTTCTATTTTAGCCATATTTCAGAAGGTGTAAATTATCCTCGGAAGATTAAGAAGCAGTATGTCCTCCCCTACTAAATTACCATGCATTTATTTGATCAGAGATACAGATACTCGAGAGTGATACATGACTAAGACTAATTAGATGATTGTGTTTTGTTGTGAATTAATTCATATGTACAGAGGATTTCATTTTATTTGATCCTGTATTAAGGCTAGATTATATTTATGTACAGTGACATAAACATAAGCGATGATATATTCAATTTCTTTTTATTTAATATTTAGTGCAGAATCAACGTATGCCATTTTGCACGACAAAGAAACAGCAGATTTATAAAACCAAAAATATATTGTGTTATAGACTTAAAAAATAGTGGAACAGAGCGTGCAATAAAAGCTGTATACATTCTAAAATTAGAAAATACTGTATCCAAAATAAAGTATACACAAGTACAAACTCACTGCTTCTGTTTTCTGAAAATACTCAGCCGCCTGTTTGAACCTGGGGTTATATTCTGGCTCTGGAAAAAAAGAGCAATAATTAAATATTTGTACTGCAGGAATCTTCTTGAGAAAATGCCTTTGGCTATAAAAAGTATCTAAGAAGACGGCGTACAAGTGCCATGGGAACCATATACATATACAGGGTGATTCACAAGTCGTGACCAAAAATGAAACATCATACATAGGGCCGCATTTTTAGTGACATTATTTTCCAAATAAAAATAGTAGGCTATTGTTTTTTTCGAAACGCGCAATTTTACGAATTATACCTTCAATTTGCTACAAATACGAGCCCCTTCCCACTTCAGTTGGCCCACTTAAAGATTTGTATAAAAATATGCCTTTATAAACTAAACATGACGAAACTATTTACTTCTAAAACAATTTATTTTCTCAAAAACATTTTAGATACACTCTAGTCGTAAACAATACATATTTGAAATCACTAGACCTATAACTAATAGAACATCTGAACAAATAAACAATGTACGAATAAATGCACGAAGTTAACAAAGCAACAATTGAAAGATTACCATTGGGTAACATCACCTTTATTTTTTATTACGGCTGAAATTCTTTGGGGCATAGTGTTAACCAAGTTTTGGCAAACATTTGGTGTAAAACAAACCCATATTTCTTGAAGCTTTTGTCTCAGTTCGGTGATTGTACGAGCAGGATGTTGTCGTAGAACCTTTTTCATCTCGTGCCACAAAGTTTTAATAGGTGACAGATCTGGACTGCTAGAAACCCATTTCAAAAGTGGTACATTATTTTCTTCCATCCATTTTATAGCCTTTTTTACATATGGCACGCTGCACTATCTTGCTGAAACACAAAATCTTGGCCGGATGTCAAACATTCTTCCATCATTGGTAAAAGCGATTCTTCTAAAATTGCCAAATATTTGTTTGTATCCACATTTCCATCAATAAAATGAAGTTTCCCTACTCCTTTTGATGACATACTGCCCCAGATCATAATGGATGCTGGAAATTTCACTTTTCTCTTCAGACAGTCAACATGAAATGCTTCATTTTTTTTGCGAATAACTCTACTGCGACTGTCACCAACACAAACTTCGAATCGGGCCTCATCACTCCATTGTATTGCACACCATTGTTGAGGTGTCCATTGTCTATGTTCTTTAGCCCATCTAAGCCGATTTTTCTTTTGCAGTGGAGTTAATAGTGGCTTTTCTTTGGCCTATAAACAAGTTGTGCAACTTTATGGTTTTTACTTCACTTTTTTTTATAAGAAAACTTACCTTGCAAGTGCTAAATCCCAGTTTGTGGGCCTCTCTATGAGTTGTGGACCTCGCAATTATCCTTCCAACAGCGTCACTCCACAGACCACTTAATTGTAAATAATTGGCACGCCTGTTTTTCACGATTATTCTTCTTAATGCTCTTCGGTCGGCATTTGAGATATTACTTTTTTTCACATATCGTGGCTTAATAATATTAACTGAACCAGTTACGTTATATCTTCTAACAATATTTTTCACATTGTACCGCGATAAGTTTAACAAAGTTGCAATTTCTGAGTTTGATTTCCCAGAATTAAAAAATTATATTATCAAAATATTCATTGTTAATATTTTAAACCTATAACACCCTTCTACATTTTTATTATTTGTGTTTGATAAGAAAAAAACTAAGATTTCAACAGTTGGGCCAACTGAAGTGGGAAGGGGTTCGTAATTACTCTTGCGTTTTTCTCCTAAAGTGCATTGTTTTCGTAAAAAACACCTGACGTCGCGTCTTACCCGCATTTTCTCAGGATTACCTGCTTAAAATGGAATGTTGGAGAGTGTTATGAACAGAGATACTTACATCCGAATTTTCTTTGGAGCTGGTCTTCCCCATGAACAGAGCCTTGATTCTACTGGGTGTTGTCGTTTTCTTGGGTGTCCTTTCGTTGTGATCCCTCAAGGGTTGCACTTCGTTGCCTTGCAGGGAAAGTCGTCCTCCATTTCTACTGGGAGTTGGCGGACCCGGCTTTTTGTACGACGTAGTCCCGAAATCTTTCTTCTGACGCGGTTTTTCGCCGGGCAGCAGTTTGCAAAGGCTGTCGTCCAACTCTATATTGCCTGTCTGAAATAATGTTTTTTTTTCTATTAAAAAGTATTTCATTATTACGAAAACGTAACCCTCTCCCAGCAAAATCAATGTAATTAGAAGTATTATTCCGAAAAAATCTTACTTTTATATCGTCCTCTTTGAAATGTCCAGGGCTGATAAATTGGGTTTCTGCAGGATATGACGATTTCAAATGCGGAGGTACCAAAGAATTTCGCCAAGCCAACTCTGACATCCTGTTAACATTGGATCCATTTCCGTACGCAATAGCACATCGTCCAGCCTTTAGATCCGCCAAATATTTGTTGTTGAAGTCGTCCTCTTCATCTTCCATTTCCAAATTTTGCCCTACGATAGAAAATAAAGTTTGAAGGCCGTTTTAAGATTCTGGCATTTCCGACACTGCCGTAATGCAGAACTTGAATCATGCGCAAAGAAATTTAAACAGGTACTCAGTTTTTAAGGACTGTGGCAAAAAGTCTATGATCACACCAGAATTACAAATCAGTCAAGAACAATTATAGATTTGATAATAACGAACGAACAAAATTTAATTGCAAAAGTTATGCATACTCTTAAGATCAGTGATCATTCATGGATATGTTTTGAAGTTGAAAGTAAATTTGATGTTAACAAAATGGAAGAAATTACTAATATGTAAAATTACGAGAAGCTCTTTTACTGCAAGATATGACTGACGCGTTTCTTGATGTTGATAGCTATTATATAAGCCTATTGGATAATGTTGAAGTTTGCATAAAAGAAGCTACAGTCAAGACAACAATTTATAAAAGGAAAAATCCAACACCTTGATTCTCGCAGACTTTCAAGGATTCTAAATTAAAAAGAGACTACAATTATGATTGGCTAGAATACACAAGCTCATGAAACCAATCTGTAGCAGTTCTACGAGATGAAAAGAAAAAATATTACAATGCCAAAATTGATCAGAGTAAAAATAATCGCAAACATATGTGGAAAACGTTGAAAAACATTGTTTATCCTATTAGAAAAAGTACATTATCTAAAACGAAATTCGACGATGGGGTAATAACAAATGAAGAAATAATAGCAGATCGAATGTATACTTATTTCATAGAAAGTGTCAACGACATTGTAAAATCAATTATTGATGGGGATCCCAACCAATGTCCCATTAGCTCAGATTATAATGCATCTTTCAGTGAGTTTAAAACAATAAAGAAGATATCAAAAATTAAATCAAATCAAAATAAGAGTGAGATTTTGTCTAAACGTGTGCTTAATAAATGTTTTGATATTATTGGAGCAAGAATATTAATCCTGATAAATTAGTGTTTAAAAAATGGCGAATTTCCAAAAAAACTGAAGTGTTCTACCATAACCCCTGTTTCTAAAGTTAAGAATTCTGAGTTGTACACCAATATGCGGCCAATAAGTAAGTGTTTTTGGACTTCAAAAGGGCGTTTGAGACTATTGACAGGGATAAATTACTTACAAAATTGCATCACTACGGATTTAAATGATCTGTATTCAAAAATCTACAAAACTATTTAATTGACAGAAGTCAAAAAAACAAAATTGGATCTACATTATCAAGATCAAAAAATATTTCTGTTGGTATACCACAAGGTAGTAAACTAGGTCCACTACTATTTATTTTATGCATTAATGACATTTGTCATATTTTAGATTATTCTAAACTTCAGATATTTGCAGATGATACATTAATATAGACATCAGATGAAAATATAGACACTGCTTTAAAAATGCTGAATTATGACTTGACAAAAATCGTAAATTGGTTAAATGTAAATAAACTAAAATTGAATACTTCTAAAACAAAATGTATGCTGATAGGGAAATACCTAAATGAAAATACTATCACAGTTAGGATAAATGGAGAGATAATTGAAAATGTTGAATCAATTAAATATTTAGGTATATATATACAGGGTGACTTCGAAGTTGAGTCATTTATTTTAACAGTGAGTAGATCTGATCAAAAGAAATGTTTTTTTCCTTTACCATTTTTCTGGTAAAATTAAAGTAACAAAGTTATAGCCCTTTGGAAGTTTGAGTACCGCCCTGTCTCAATAATAATATTATGTGCTCGTGTTTGGCGACAACGGATATAATTCGCCTTATCGGTTCATTGCGTCGGAAACAAAAAAGCGAAAGAATTTGGAACGATGTTTTTACAATTATTTCATTCAGTTGTATACAGTCAGTGTCAGTCGGTAGTGGGTAGTGGTGTCTGTTGCGTGGCTCAAACGAAATAAAAAATGGCACATGTTTATGCGGATCGGTTTCCCAATCGAGTGCAACCAACCCCTCGTGCCTTTGTTAATGTAGTACAACGGGTTCGTGAATCATTTGACTTAAGACCTCACATATGGACGCAATGCCGGTGCTCCAAGACCTCACGATCAAATACAGGTCCGCACTGAAATACTTGTCGGGAGAATACTTTATAAAACAAGGTAATTTTTTTTTTATTTTTACACACATATTTTGGTTTATCTTCCTTCTACAATCATTATCTGAAAATTAATGACTCAACTTCAAAGTCACCCTGTATATATATTGATAGTAAACTAAAGTTTAGTTAAAAATTGCCAAAAAAAACAAATTACTTTTATAGGGCTTCTCATAGTCTTGGTACCTATTCCAAGAAAATAGTTTATAATACAATTATTCTCCGCATTTACTATATTGTACCACAATCTTGTTCACTGCCAATGAAGCTGTATTCTCAAAATTACAAGTCTTGCAAAATAAAGCTATGAGAATAATATTGAATAAAAATAAGTACACCAAAATAAAATCTACGTTACAAGAATTGCAGTGGTTGAATATAAAAAAATTCATATCATATTTGGTTCTTATTTTTATATTTAAAATAAAAAATCATCTTTTGCCAGAACATTTATAACACTACATAGAATTGTATAATCATTACCACAATTATTATACAAGAGGAAATATAGATTTTCATTTACAAAATTGCAATAGTAATATAACTAGCAATCAATATTTCAGAAAGGATTACTTGAATCTGATAAACTAAATAATGATATAAAGTATACTTGTAATTTAAAGATAATTAAAAGAAAATTAAAGGAATATTTCATGGACAATGAAAATTCTTAGAGATGCAATTTTTTTTCTGAATGTCTGTATACTATGTAATTGTTTAGTTTTTTAGAAGAATGAAATTATAGCATGCTAAATAAATCTTAAACGAACAAACAACGTATATGAAGCCGCCCTTAGATTGATAAATCGATGTTCGAAATGTCAAATTATGACACCTAATCAAAATTTTGAGCATTCAAAATGGGAATTGATTATTACGGAATATTGCAAATACCAAGAAGCAGCACTGATCTGGAAATCAAAAAGGCGTATAGGAGTTTGGCATTGGAATTCAACAAGGAAGTATTGAAAAACGAAAATGCTTCGGAAGTATTCGCACTCATAGGAGAAGCGTACGATGTGCTGAGCGATCCTTTAAGAAGGGCTGTTTTCGATCAGTATGGCGAAGAAGGGCTGAAACGAGGCGTTCCAACAGTTGATGATTATATTCCGGCTTATCATTATCATGGCGATCCTATGCTTACCTACAAGAATTTCTTCGGAACGACCTCACCCTATGCAGACCTTCTCGATGTCCTCAAAAATCCGCCGTTGCTTTACAAAATGGCGGACGGAAATCATGCAGTGAGGAAGAAACAACCGCCTATAAGGCATCCGTTGGCTCTAACTTTACACGAGATATTTTTCGGGGGCGTGAAGAAAATGAAGATTCATCGATTGGTTTACGTGAACGACGAGCAGACGCGCACAGAGGTAAAAGAGAAAATTCTGACTGTTCCTATAAAACCCGGAATCAGGCCGAACACGGAAATTATATTTCCGGAAGAAGGGGATCAGAATCCCGCTCATATACCTGCTGACATCATTTTTATTACTGAAGATCGGCCACATGAAACGTTCATGAGAGATGGAGACGACTTGGTGATGATCGCGACCATAACTTTACAAGAAGCTTTACTTGGTACTACAATCACTGTGAAAACGATAGATCACAGAACCATTAGGGTACCAATAACCGACGTGGTGAGTCCGAAGTACGAAAAAGTTGTCGAAGGTGAAGGTATGCCTATTTTGGAACAGTATCCTGAGAAAGGAAACTTGATTATTAGGTTTAACATAGAGTTTCCTAAGTATCTTCCGAAAAACAGCAAGGATATGTTGAAGAAAGGTTTCCACGTGGCGAGAATCTGCGGGGGAAGCAATCAGCATGAGGTTATAAATAAGTTGGTATTAGCAGATAAAATTCTTCGCGTGGATCCAGACGAAAGGTTGCCACCATTTGATTATTAATTATTTTCATGTTTGATCATCCAATATTAATTAAATATAGTTTTACTCATAGAAATCAAATAAAGCCAATTTTGAAAAGTATTTGAAACAATTTCTGCCTATACAGGGTGTCCCAGAAGTCTACGTCAAGCCGGAAACGGGATAGGCCAGTCATAATAGTTATCAGAAAAATATTAATCGTGTACTTTTCAAATTATAGGCTTTAAAAAAATCGGAAAATCTAAACCGTGTGATGGTCTTTTAGTAGCCATTACTGCAAATTTCAATTTTTTCTTAGACTGAGTGACGGCAAGACAGATACATGGTGCGTCATCTGTTACTTTTTTCTATTTGAAAAATCAACACGCTTTTTACGAGGTGAAATCGAATTTTTTTATTGATAAATGAAGGTTGGTTTATGCCATTTATGTATGACAAATAACATCAGTCATGTGACCACCGCGGTTTCGTTTACAGGCCAACAGCCGAACATCAAAATTTTCAATGACTTTTCCCAGAATAATCGGGTCTATGGCCGCAATTTCAGTCCGAATATTGCGCTTTAGGTCTTGAATTGTCCGGGGACCATTCGCATACAATTTTCCTTTCAAAAATCCCCAAAGAAGATAGTCTAGAGGTGTTAAATCGCACGATCTCGGGGGCCAACTGACATCTGAATTTTGTGAAATTATGCGGTCTTGAAATTTCGTGTGCAATAAGGCGATCGTTTGGCGAGATGAGTGAGCTGTTGCTCCGTCTTGATGAAACCAAAGATCCTCGGCACCAATTATGGCCACAAAGAGTCTGTTAACATGCCGCGATAACGTTCCCCGTTGACGGTAATGGCCTTTTCTTCCGCATCTTCAAAGAAGAATGGTCCAACGATGCCACCAGCCCATAATCCGCACCAAACAGTCACTTTTTCAGGATGGAGAGGTTGTTCATGATACTGGTGTGGATTTCCAGCCCCCCAGAATCTGCAACTTTGCTTATTTACGTACCCATTGAGATGAAAATGAGCCTCATCAGAAAATAGCACTTTGGCCGAAAATCCGTCTTCTCTTTCCAGCAACCAATTAACAAAATCATGCCGCTGTTGGTCTGCCGGCTTCAATGTTTGTGTTAGTTGGATTTTGTATGGATGGAGGTGTAAATGAATGTGTAAAATCCGGCGTAAAGTGGTCTTACTAATTCCCAATTGTTGCGAACGGTGCCAGGTCGAGGTGGTTGGATCTTCTCGCACATTTTCACTCACTGCGGCTATGTTTTCACGATTACGAGCTGGACGAGCATGTTGGTATGGTCTACGGCCTTCAGCTGAACCAGTTTCCTCAAAACGATTAACAATCCAACGAATTCCAGGCTCTTTAGGGCGTCCATGTCGGCCAAAACTAGTGCGAAGTTTACGAAAAGTATTTTTTATATTTCGACCGTTTTCGTAATAAGTTTGGATAACCAAAATGCGTTGTTGTGTTGTAAACGAATCCATGACTATAAATGGCATACCTTTAATGCATACGACATGACTTTTGACCTACATGGTAACACATAAACTTATAGGTAAAAAAATAGTAATAGATGGCGCACCCAGTAGTTACGCCCTTTTTATTAATTAATTAGGCTTTGTCGTGAGAGGTACCTGAATACTGCTCGTCATCCCGATCAGCGAGTTTTTGTGAATGCACACCGTTTACTCTCAGAGGGATGATTCCCAAATCAAGCATATGATGAAGGAATAATTTCCTTTCCTTACGAGGACGTAGTACTACAAACAGAATCGAGTACGTCAAATAGATTAGAATGTAGATTTGTTTTCATGGAGTGGCGAAAGCCAAGACCAGTCTTTCTGCAGGTAAAGTTCTTTCAACGGTATTTTGGGATTCCAGAAGTGTACTGCTATACTATAACTATCTAAAACTGTAATGACTCATCGATGTTCACGTGAACATCACTTAACAACCAGTAGTCGGCTGTTCATAGGCGGGGTATGAATCTTTAACATGGGTGAACTAGATTTGTCACATGCTTAATAAAGAGTGGTTTGAAACATATTGTAAGTCAAAAATTTGGGAATTACCTTTATTCATCGTCGCTTCCACTTACATCTGACAGTAATAAACTGTCGCTATCGCTTTCCTCGTTGAAATTAACTATAACTGGCTCTATGATGGTGTCGATGTGGTGGTCAAGCTGCCACATTTTTGTTTCTTCCTTCACAACATGACGGATAGCATTCTGCCAAGCTTCGGGCGTTACTAGCTGTATGGAAGTCTCAAGTAAAACCTTAACGTCTGGTAATTTGAAGGTTGTGTTATGGCGCGCAATATAACCCTTCACTTGAGCCCAGATGAGCTCTATTGGGTTCAGTTCACAGTGGTAAGGCGGTAACCGCAGCACAGTGACACCACATTGACGGGCCATCTCGTCAGTCACGTAACTAATGTTCGCAGGTTTGTGCTGTTTAATTTTTTCATACAATTCCGCTTTCACACATGAATCGTCAAACGGGATTCCTTTTTCGCGCAACCATTGCTGCATGTCACTTTTTCGAGATCCCATAGTCGGTACACGTTCGGCTCGACGACTATGGTAGAAAGCATTATCCATGACGATCACAGAGTTGGGCTCAACTCGCTTGAAGCACCCCTTGAAACCAGCTCTCGAAGCAGCTGGCATTCATTTCGTCATGGTAATCACCTCCTTTCTTAGAGACGAAAATCAAGTCACACTCTTCTAAAAAGCCACTATCGCTACCAATATGAGTTACGATCAATCTTTGAACTTTCTCTGACGGTCCACGGAGACCTGTTGACAAACCTTCAATGCTTGCTTGTCGGTTACTCACTACGTTTTTGTCTATCCAGGTTTTTTTAACTGTGTAACCTGCATTTACCCATGTCTCGTTCAAATAATAGATTTTTCTGCTTTGTCGCCTATATTCAATCATTTCGCATAGGTATTTTCGACGCCAGGCGACTATTTCAGGTCTCTCTATCAATACTGACTTCCGATTACGCGTTTCGTAACGAAAATTAATTTCGTGCAGGGATTTCCTCATTACCTCGACGCTCATTTGGGGTATAATTTCATTTTCCTTGATCGCTGCATGTACAGACTTGAGGGTTGGTATCTCATTCCTAAAGAGGAATGAACGTACGGTTCGCCTTAACGCCATTTTCCTATCGTCATCCAATTTAACGGCCTTTCGTCCCTTCAAATTAAACTTTGGATCAGTAGTAGCTCCAGTTTTCTTCTTTTCATGCACCACCCTGTGAATGGTCCACTCTGGAACGCCTGTCATACTTTCACAACGCGCGAGTGCATCTCCCTGCGACATAGTTCTGTTCAGATAATTGAACACGTTGAGCACGATTTCTTTCGCGTCCCTCTTCAGTGCTTTACGAAGCCGTCTACTTGTTCCCTGGCTTTCAGTACTTCCACTCGTGCCATTTGTACTCTCCATGGTTAAGTAAAACCAAAACAGTAACCACAGAAACCACAACAATAACAATCACACAACAATTCTTATAAAAATACACAATACGCGATCGCTCAACGAAACACGTTCCAATGCGTTGCCGACGCCTATGAGCCTGCCGGTCGAGGCGCGTCTTTGATTTCATTGGTTCTACCGGCGGAGAACAATCAGCCATTATTTCCATCTCTGTCTGTGCTGTTGACCACCGCAAAGCCACAGAAACGACATATGTCGTACGCTATACGGCTGTACTGGAAGGAAGCCGGGATCGAGCTCTGATCACGTGTTGATCACGCGTATGAGTCATTACAGTTTTAAATAGTTGTAGCATAGTTGATTTTCTTCACAGTACAGTTGATGCTGCTTACTACTGCCAACTGCTTAAAGAAGTGAAACTGGCGTATCGGCGAAAAAGGCGAGACAAGAAAAATTACGCGAAATTCATTGGGAAACGCTTGAACACCCGCCTTACAGTCCCGATTTGTCGGCATGTGACTATCACATGTTTGGGTCACTTAAAGAAGACCTGGGAGGTCACCACTTTGACGACGACGAAGGTGCGGAAACGTTCGTACACAATTGGCTACTGACACGACCAGCTTCATTCTTTGATGTGGCAATTAAAAAACTTCCGATCCGATGGGAAAAACGCATCAAAAAGAGAGGGGAATATGTAGAAAAATAAGATATAAATAAACTTGTATTTGCTATACCAATAAAATTACTAAAACAAAAGTCCGGTTCCTATTTGATTTACCCAGGTATTTTCGTTTAAAAATATATGTTTACACTTCTAATAAATAAGACAAAATTTATTTCTTGACGGTACTTACCAACTCTTTCAACGCCAATAGATGTCCTCCTGGACACCGTCACGGTCTCTTCAATATCAACCCTTGCTCGAGGCAGTGTCGAAAGCTTCCTGTCTTGGACATTATTAGTCACTTTCTGTGAAACGCTCTGCATTATAGCTGCACTTTTCACTTTTCTACTCAATTGAGTAGAACTCGGGGCTGGCATCATTCTATCCCCGCGTCCTAATGACTGGAGACTTCCACTGAAAAAAAAACACATTTTATCGATGGAACAATCATGTTTCCGACGAAATTGCATTGATTGTGACACACAAATGATTATGGTAAAAGCATGAAAACAAGAAAATTGAAGGAAACCATAAACAACTATGGGTTCAAGCAAAAAATTGAAGAGAGTACCAGAATAACATCATTATCAGAGACTTTGTTAGATCTTGTTATTGTAAATTTCGAATGTGCAGGGATTAAAGCTGTACATACACCTAAAGTTAGCGATCACAGTTGGACAATGCTGCCCTTGGTAGGGCATTTTTCTGATACAAAAATTAAGAAAATCATAAATACTATTAAGTACGAAAAACTTGAACGAGAACTTGCTGTCTGCTATTGGAATTTTGGTGAGAATATGGAAAAAATATATGACAACATAATAGGAAATATAAAAACTTGTTTAGATCTTGCAACTGATAAAAAAGTGATTTGCTCGACAAAAAATACACCCTGGTATAACAAGAATATTAAGGCAGCTCAAAATTTGAGAGACAAACAATACAATAAATGTATATTCACAAAATCAAATGATTGGGAGGTATATAAAACTCTTAGGAATAAATGTGTATATTTGTAATTAGAGAAGAAAAAAGAAAATACTACGATAAACAAATCGATAATAACAAGTGCGACAGAGTAAAGATGTGGAAGACTTTAAAAAGACTGATCCAATTCGAAGCCGCATGATCGTGTAAATCAAGTTCAATTCGAAAACGGTACCGAAACAAATTCTTTGGTGATTGCAAACAAACTAAATGAATATTTTGTGGAAAGAATTGTTGATATTGTAGGTACTGCCAATGCTGCACCTGACTATATGAAAATCAGTTTCCAGGGGGAAATGTTGCATACACTTTCAAAATTTCACAGCGTATCATTGAATTATCTAAGAAAAAAAGTAAACAGTTTAAAATCAAATAACAACTGTGCCGAAATGACTACTAAAAACGTGCTGAAAAACTGTTTCGAAATTTTGGGATATCCTGTATTAAATTGGATCAATTGTTCACTGAGAAGCAGTTCTTTCCCTGAAAATTTGAAATGCTCTACAATAACACCAGTTCCCAAAATAAAAAATTCTAAAAGATGCAGCGATATGAGACCAGTAAATGTGTTACCAGACATTGAAAAATTATTAGAGTCCATAGTGCATGACCAATTAATGCAGTTTATAGAAGAAAACAAAATTTCAGTGGAGGCGCAAGCAGGCTTTCGAAAAAAATATTCCACAGAAACAGCTTTCCAGTTGGTAACTGAGAATTGGAGAAGAGCCATAGACTCAGAAGAAGTTGTCATAACAGTATTTTTGGATTTGAAGAGGGCATTTGAAACGATTGATAGAGATATTTTGTTAGGTAAATTGAAGGCATATGGTATAACAGGAAGTGTTTTAGATTGGTTTAGAAATTATTTGTCTAAAAGGATGCAAGTTACAAAAGTTAATGACACTATTTCATCAAAAATTGAAAATACGTTGGGTGTTCCACAGGGCAGTATCCTGGGACCACTTCTTTTTATTTTATACATAAATGATTTCCTTGCCATAGTCAAAAAATGCAAAATTCAAATTTTCGCCGATGACACTATGATTTATATAAGTACTAAAAATATTCAGTCTGGTATCTCTTAAATAAATGAAGACTTGAAGCTTGTCTCAAAATGGTTAGCATCTAACAGACTAAAATTAAATGCAAGTAAAACGAAAGCCTTGTTAATCGGAAAAAAACAATGTACAAATGTTCAACTGAATATTGATGGTGAAGATATTGAATTCGTAGAAAATTTTAAATACCTGGGAGTTTTTGTTGACTCTCGATTAATTTTTGATATTCATTATGAAAAAGTTATAAATAAGATTAGTAGTAAAGTGGGATATTTATCGAGAGTTTCTGGATGTCTGAGTTCATATAGCAGAAAAATTATCTATAATACCATCATTCTTCCAAATTTCTTGTACTGTTCGACTATTCTATATTTAGCAAATAATTCCATTTTTGAAAGACTGCAAATTTTACAAAATAAGTGCATGAGAATAATACTAAATAAAGATAAATATACTCCAATTAGGCAAATGCTTAGCAAATTAAAATGGCTCAATGTATAAAATTTTATCAAATATCTTGTAATGATATTCATTTATAAAATAAAAAAATAATATATTTCCATCAAGTCTAACTAATTTAACATCATCAAATGTCGACCATCATTTACATAATACCAGAAATAAAGATGACTTCCATTTAATGACCAAAAAGTATAACATATGCTACAAATCTGTATTCCATCAAAGGTTGATTGAATATAATAAATTATACTCGGAGATAAAAGACCAGAAAACTTTGACAAAATTTAAAGTAAAATTGAGAAATCACATGTTAAATCTACAATTATAGGTTGCCCAGTATTTACATCATACACCATATGGCTTGAATTTACTAGTTCTAAATTGTTTACAATTGTTCTGTTTATGTAGCCAAATGTGCTAAATAAATCTTTCTACTACTACTACTATACGTTTTTGAGACAGTGTGGGTATTCAAAACTCACCTAGGTCGGATGGAGTCTAGAGGCAAGTCGTTAACTGATCTGATAGAATCCCGAGAAGCAAAAGTAACCTTCTGCATTTGCGCTTCCTTGATCTTGAACATCTCTAGCTCGGTTTCCAACAACTGAACCTTTTCTTCCGCTTCTGCTAGACTCTGTCTCAGATCTTCAACTGTTCGATGGAGAAACGTCTAAAAAAATGTCAAATGAACTACTTCCACAAAACAAAGGCTATTAGGACTTACGCTTTCGTCGTGCCCATCTTTTACTTTTTGCATCCCCTTGTTAACTTCTTCTTTGTATAGATTTAGCTGCAAAAATGTTTTTTATATCACTGAATATCAATAAAAGCAGTTTAATGTGATATTGCTTTGAGCGTCTAACACGCATTATACTTTAAAAAATCTGAAAGACACCGATCTAAAAAGGAAAAAAATATTAACGAAAAATTCAATTATAGTAAAAAAGCGTGGGGTGCTTGGTGTTAAATGTTAGAAATATTTTTTAGTTGCTATTTACAAAATTGGAGTTATTATGAAAATACAGTTAATTGGATCCCGCTTTTTTACTATAATTAAATTTTTTCTTAATATCCCATTTTCTACTTTTTAGTTGCCATTAAAGCTTTTTAAGCTATAATTTATTTTCTGAACTTTTTGTCTCAAAACGACAACAACAGTACTTATATGTACGGTAATGGACAAAAGTATATAGACGAATTAATATTGTGCTGTATTTCTTTTTTAATTTGTTTTATTAATACACCAACCTGCATACATAATTCGTTATAGCATAATACTCATACATAAATTCATTAGACTCCCTTCAATAAAAAATTAATTGAAAAAAACTGGAATTATGAAGGGCAAAAATATATAGACAAAGCAAAACAATTATAGAAAAAAGAAGCAAAGTTCATTAAATTATAGAAAACCAACCATGTTTGTGTTAATATTTTGTAGCATAACCATTATTATCAATCACCGCCTGGCATCGTCTCGGCATAGACTGTAGAAGTTTCTTGATATAAGATTCATCAATCTGTCTTCACTTTTGCTATAAAGCGGCCAAAAGTTCATCGTTGTTTAAATAATTTTTTTATCTCGTATTTGCTTATCTAAGTATTCCCATAGATTTTCAATGGGGTTTATATCGGGAGACTGTGAAGGCCATTTGAGAACTGGTATTTTTTCAACCAGAAAGAATTTATTTGCGAGATTTGAAGTGTGCTTCGGGTCATTATCTTGCTGGAAGATTGATCTTAAGGGCATATTGTCTTCCACGTAGGGTAACATGACATGCTTTAGTATGTCTGTGTATATAAACTTATCCATAATGTCATCTATTATATGTAAAGGACCCATCCCAAACCCCGAAAAGCACACCCAAACCATAACAGACCCGCCTCCATGTTTGACAGTGGGCAAAGTGTACTTGGGGTTCAATCTAGGATGTCTAACGTAAGGAACACCATATGATCCAAACATATTTAAATTGGATTCGTCACTGAAACATACGTTCTTTCAGTCACAGGTGCTCCAATCAAGATGCAACCGTGCAAATTGTAATCGGTCCTTACGGTTTTTCCTCGAGATTAGCGGCTTCGTGCAAATAACTTCAAATCATTTAATCTTCTACTTATAGTTTTTGTAGAAACACTGACAGTTCCTTGTCTCGATTTCGGCTTTTATTTGTCTTGGGGTTTTAAACGGATCTTTGGACGAAATTACTTTCATTAATCTAACTGATTTAGCATTTAGTTTTCTATGCCGACCACTTCTCTTAGTGGCTTCCAAGATACCTTTTTGTTTATATTGTATATTGCCCAAACTGCTTTACGCTTCAGCTTCAAATTATTGGCAATGTCGACTTGACGTTGACCATCTTTGAATAACTCAATGATCTCAGTTTTCACATCTAAAGAAAGTTCTGGACCACGCGGCATGGTCTTAAAATTTCTCAACTTATTCCACAATACTTGATGAACACAAACTAATCCTTTTCTGACATGAAACTGTACTAAACTAATGTTGAAAAGAATTTGTCTACATATTTTTGTCCCTCATAAAAAAGTGCTTATATTCAGACTTGTATTGTGTTCATTGCAGATAATGTAAAAACAAGGAATTTAGTTTTTCTACTGATAACGCATTTGCTTATGGAGCAATGAAGTATGGATTCGTTTGCTAAAGGTATTTAGGTAAATATTCATATTTGTCTATATACTTTTGTCCATTACTGTATATAATTCGATTTTTGGTATATTTTTCAAATTTCGAAATTTCCAATTTTTTCAAAATTTCAAAATCCTCAAATTATTCTCTGATATATTGTATGAGTGTAAAATACAGGTACTTCATTTTATTTATTTTTTTATTATTTATTAAAACATAATTACCATTCTCTCCTTCATTTTTTCCAGCTTCTTCTCGTATTCGTTTTTGATCTCCCTGATCTTCCTATTCTCCCGTTGCACTGCTTCAGCCCTTTCTTTCTTCACGATATTCACAAATTCTTCCCGGTCGCGTGATCTCTTGTACTTCAACGTATCCACTTCAGTCATCAACTTGCTGTTCTCTTCCAAGAGCTTCTCGTACGCTTCTTTAATTTGCGTGTAGTCCGTCAAACGTTCGTTCTTTTCTTCGATCTTCCTCCTCAAATTAACCGTTTCCAACTCCAGTTTCGAGTTTGTGCTCACTACTTTGGAGTATGCTTCTCTGATTCTCTGCAAATCAGCTTCTAGGTGCTTTTTGACGTTCTGTTTTTCCTTTTCTAACACGTCGATCCTTCGGGATAAATCGTTTTTAATATCTACGGCGCTTTCGTGCGCTAACCTTATATTGCTTTCCGTTTCTTTCAACACTGCTGCCTGACTTTCCAGGATGTCGTTTCTCTCTTTTTTCACCTTGACTAGTTCTCTCCTCTGCATCTCTAACTCCTCACACAAGTTATGCTTCTCAATGGACAGTTTATCTAGTTCTTTGGTTACACTATCCAAAGATTCTGCCAGATTCGTTTTTTCGTATAAAGCTTTCCTTAAATCCGACATGGTGATCTCCAGCGTCTGGATCAAGTCTGCTTTTTCCTCGGAAAGTTTGTCAACAACCTCGAATACATCTCTTTCTTTCAGCATAACATCCATCTTACCAGAGATGGCGTCTAAGTTTTCGAAAATCTCTTGACAATCGAGTTGCTCTATGTTTTGAACACTCGTTTGCATGTTACTTGTTAATCCTAATTTGTCAGTAAGCTCCTGGATTTTATTCGAAATATACATCAACGTGTTTGTGGCGACATTCTTTTCTGCAACCACTGCTTCGGATGAAGTTAAGATGTCAGACTTTTCTGATTCAATTGCCTCTAGTTTTGCACTTAATTCTTCTTTTTCTTTCGCAGCTTTGTCAATTTGCTCTTTATTCATCTGATCCATGTTGGCTAGGCTTTCAATTTGCTTCAGTTGAATCTCACTTTCTTTGAGCAATTGCTGCTTCTCACTTTTGAGTTCCTCTATCTGCTTAACCAAATTGTTACAAGAATCAACATAAATTTGTAATTCTTTTTTAAGAATCTCTTTCTCTTCCAGTAATTTGCAGTACTGTTTCTCTGAACTTTCTAACTTCGTAGAAATAATAGCAATTTCTTTGCCTTTCCCTTCCTTTATAGTTTCTAGGTCTTTTTTCAAGCATTCATTTGAAGAAATCGCTTCTTGCAACTCTTGTTCCAATATGTTTTTCTGTATTGATGCATATTCTAGATTTTTAATATCCTCTGCTTTCTCTTGCTGTAATTGATCCTTGATTTTCTTGTACTCACAAACTTCTAAATGTAGCTTTTCAACCTCACTATCTAAATGTGTAATTTTGTTTAGAGCATTTAGGAGCTTTTCGTTCATCTCATCTTTTTTCAGTTCTAATTCTTGCTTCTCGAGGCTTGCCGATTTCAGTTCGTCAGATTTTTTGTAAAGCATTTTTTCACACTCCTTCAGTTTGATGTTTTTATCAGAGATCACATTTTCCAATTCATGAATCAAGGTGGTATGTTCACAATTCATTTCTTCTATTACATTTTCTAGCTTGAACTTTTCCTGTGTGATTCTGTTTAACTGATTCGTAAGTTTCTTTTTATCACCTGCTAAGTTATTTGCTTCAATGGCCAATGTTCGCAAAGCTTCTGTCATTTCATCAAATGTACTGCTCATATTATTCACAACTTGAGAGTTATGCGTTTTTAAATCTGAAATATCTTGTTTATATTTCTTACAGAAATCCACGTAATTTTTAAGTTCATCAGAAACCTTGTTTTTATATTTTTAAGTTCCGTGTTTTCTAACACTGTTTTAAGTATTTCTTCTTCATAAAATTTCGTCTGTTTATTAAATGATTCAGAATCTGCCAGGTGATTTTTTCTAACTTGTTCATTTTCCGTGGTCACTAATTCCAATTCACGCTCTCGATCACATAGTCTCTGTTGCAATTTCAAGCTATCTAATTGCAATACCTCAATCTTTTTCTCTAAACCATCCTTCTTTTGCAAAATCACATCAATATGTAATTTGGCATTTCTAAATTCTTCAGAAATGTTCTTATTTTCCACATTCAGCTGTTCGTTCTCACTTTGTAATTTAGTCACCAAGCTGCAAGTTTCTGTATACCTTTCCAGAATATCATGAATCAATTTTTTAACGACTTCTACATTTTTAGTCTCTTCTATGAACTGTTTGACTTGATCACTTAGCTGTGAATGTTGATCCCTCAAAATAACCACTTCATTGCTTATGAATTGCTGCTCAGCAAAACACTTCTCTCGATGCGAAGAAAATGCTTTTTTCTGATCTTGCAATTCCTCAGTCAGACTACACTTCTCTCCATTTAGAGTTTCCATTTCATTTTTCAGTTTCTTGAGCAGTTCCTCAAATCTGTTCGTATTTTCTTTGCTCTCAAATAATAAATTCTGTAAATCTACTTTTAATGTACTCAACTCGCTTTCCAAAAATGTTTTTTCAGAGTACATCACAGAGACCTGGTCAGTTAGCTGATCTTTTTCTTCCTTAATGTTTTGATAATCAGTTTCTGTGATAATAAGCTTACTCTCGAGGTTACCTATTTCACGTTCCAATACAACTTGTAAATCTTGTTTTTCTGAGAACAATTTTTCTAACTCTAATTTCAACTCCGCCATCTGAACTCCTAAACTGTCCCTTTCTGAGACAAGCTCAGATACTTGGTTGGACAAATGTTGCCTTTCATTCAAGCTTGCTTGATAATCTTTATTGTTTGCATCTAATTTTTGATTCAGTTCTGTAATTTCATTGTCTAGTTTCTTTGTTACTTCCTGATTTTCATGCATTTTCTGTTTCAGATCGCCCAACTCCACTTCAAGTTCATCCTTTTGGGTAGAAACTTCTGATAACTGTTTGGTCAATTCCTCGTTCTTTCTATAACATTCTTCTAATTGACTGTCTAATTTTGCTTTCACCATTTCTTTTTCAGAAAGTAAATGCTGCAAGTCCGACTCTCTCTTATCAATTTCTAGTTTTAATTCATCTCTCTCATCTGCACACCTATGGTATTCGTCCGTTTTTATGTCCAAACTGTTGGTTAGCTCTATTGTTTTTACTTCAAATTTAACAATAGTCTGTTCTAGAGACTTTAATTGAATCTCTAAACCTTCTTTCACGGCAGTAATTTCAGATAATTCGTGTGCCAACAGTTCCTTCTCTGCTAGAAGTTGTTGGCATTTTTCTGAAGATTCGTCATATCGGGACTTCAGGGATTCAAAGCTCTGTTGTTGTTCTTGCAGAGCTCTTGAAATGTTTTCGTTTTCTGTTATCATGTGGTCCTTTTCTGATCTTAATTGATTCATATCATTTTTCATAGATTTACATAATTCACTATTTTTCTCAGTAGTCTCTTCAAATTCCTTTGTAAGGGCATCTAACTCGCTGGAAAGTTCGAGCTTCTCATTAAGAACACTATCCAGTTTATCCCTTTGTTCTGCAAGTGTCTGTTCAAGTTTAGATATTGCGTCCATATTCTGAGATATTGTATTCTGCAATTCTAATGTTGTTTTACGCAGTTTCCCTTCTAACACATCCTTCTCAGTAGAAATCTCGCATAACATCTGAGATAATAAGTCCTTTTCTTTAATAGTCACCTGGTATTTTTCTGCCAGTGTTGCTTGGTCAGCAGTGAGATTCTCCACTCGTTGCACATATTCGTTATTCATAGAGGATTCTTCATCTAACTTGAGTTTTAACGAACTTACACCTTCTTGCAGCGACGAGTTTTCTTTGGTAAGCTTATTACAATTTTCGATAAATTGTTCCAACTCAGCTTCAGCTCTATTTAGTTCTTCCATTAATCTGATACGCTCAGCTTCAGCTTCCTGTTTTTCATTTTCCAGTGAAGCTATTTGGCTAGACAGATGGGCAACATTTTTCTCATAGCCCAGAATCCTTTCATCCATGTCACTTCTTGTTTCATCTAATTCAATAAGCAATGCATCACACTTACTTGTCAGCCGTCCAATCTCATGTTTAAGTTCCAAGTTTGCTTGATTAGATTCATCTAGTTGCCTGCTAACGTCGTTGTTATCATTCTTCATTTTTTCAAGATTTGATAGCGCCTTTGTCTTTTCTTCAATTTCCTCCTTAAGCTTGAGAGAACATTCATATTTTTCAGCAAGCAGTTCTCCAGTTTCTTTGTACAACGTTCGTAAAATATAAGCAATATTTTCTAACGTGGATTTTGTATTTTTTTGTAGGTTTATTTTTTCATTCTTCAGAGAGTGCAGTTGTTGTCTATAGCTTCCACAAAAACTTTTCAATGTCCGATTGACTTTATCTTTGCAAGTTTTCAATTCGGCGTTTTCAAACTCGATTGCTTGATTATGTTCTTCTAGAGAATTTAATTCTTGCTTCATTTGTTCTATGGTTTCATCCCTTTTAACTATTGCCGACTCAATTTCTTCAATTTTGGACTCCAAATTGTCTTTGCCTTGGTTGACCTGGACAAGAGCTGATTCAAGTGATGCAATTTTTTCCTGTAAGTGATTGTTTGTCTTCTGCATAGCTTCACTGTGTTCACTCAATTTCTCTAAATTCTTTTCCAAATCATTACATTTACTCATTGCCTCTTGTAAGTCAGTATCAACCAACTCTTTTTCCTTTGTAACATTCTCCAGTTCAACTTTACTTAGTTTTAGTTTCGTCACAGAATCTACAAGATCTTCTAAAATTTGTACTTTTTCCTCACTCAACTGTTCTTTTTCTATTTTGAGATTCTCCAAATTATTTTCAAGAATCCTACATGTTTGAACGTAGACTTCTAATTCTCTTTCCATTGCTTCATACCTATTATTCAAGTCCGTATTTTCCGAACGCATTTGTTCTACTTGGTCCTGCAAGTTTTCATGTTTGACTTTCAAGGTCTCAATTTCACTCTGACACAGTCTGTTTTCAATCAGAGCATCTTCCAGCTTTTTATGGGCCTCGTCACAGATTTGGATGTACTCCTCAAGTTTTCTCTGAATCGTCTCCTTCTGATGTGTTAGCTCTGTATATTTCATCATCAACTGTTCCTTCTGGCATTTCAGATTCTCATTTTCGGCCCTAAGTATTTCGATTTCGCTCCTAAATTTATCATTTTCCCTTAAAGCTTCTTCCATTTTATTGTTCATAATATCATACTCTGTCACAACTTTCTGCAGTTGATCCTTCAAGTCCCCATTTTCGTTCGTCAACGTTTCGATTTCATTTCTGCAGTTCGCGTTTTCCTTCATAGCGTCTTCCAATCTTCTTCGGGTGTCATCAAGTGCTGATCGAAACTCCTCATTTTCTTTTTCCTTCTCTTTCAATTGCAAATCAACCACTGAATGCGCGAGGTCTTCAAGCGACGTATAATAATTGTCTGATCGTCTTTTTGTTGCGGGAGCCAACTGGAAACTATCCTCGATAAAGCTTTCTTCGCCGCTATTTTTAGGTTTGTATTCCTGCAATAAGGCCTCCAGCTCCTCACAGTGTTTTTTCAGGCTGTTAAGTTTAGATTCTTGCTCGTCAGAGTGCTCAGTAAGAGACTGTAATTTTTTCTCGGCATCTAAGAATTTTTCCATCCATGTTTTGCACTGCGATTCGAACATTTTTGCCTGAGAGAAAAATCCGAGTCGTAAAACATAAATTATGAAAATAAAAATGTGAGGATATTATTTTTGATACAAGCAAAAACTGTCACTTTACTAAAAAGGCAGTTTATTAAAAAAAAGAAACGGTAATAATAATAATTTTACAGGAATCCTTCGTAACCAGGAAATCTCCAGATGCAGCAGGAAGCACGATGTTGTAGCCGACCAAGTTATCGACTTCTAAATTCGTTGAAATAATTCGTCATGCCGCCTATCCTAGTAAAAATTCGTCACATCCACAAAATAGAAATAAACAAAAAACTAAGGACAAGTTTACAACCAAAGGAGTGCTGGGAAACTTGAAACTCAACCATTTGGTTAGCAGATGTTAGAAGGCTAGCATATTACTGATATTTGTCATGATTGGAGACAAACAGCTAGGTTTTTAGTAGAATTTTCCGCTAGCTGATAGAAGTAGGTGCGCCAGGCTGGATACGATTCTACCTTCTGTCAACATACGCGTTGACAGATGCGGTTTGGAAATTATCATTAGAGAGGGGCAGGTGAAACTAACGAACTGGGAAATGAAAAAGGAATAACGTAACATCAAATCATTTGAAGAGACAAAACAAAATTTGGACAACAGACTAGCGGAAATCACAACGTATTTCACGTCACTTATTCTAGCTGAGAAAACTTATGTTGCTCCTTCTAGTTGGCAATGCATAAGCAATCACGTCATGGACGACCGGTACACTGTTTTAAGTTTCAGACTAACTAGTGTATTTTGTTTTCAAAGTATAAGCGATGACTTACCCTGGTCTTCTCAGAGTTCCTATCATCCTGAAGTTCTTGATTTTCTATATCGCAACGTTCAATAATTTTTTCCAAGCTGTCTATTTGTGTTTTCAAGATTCTTTCCGTTTCTACAGCATCGATGTCTCGAAAGTGCGGTGGGGTACGATTTTCTAGAGCGACTATTTCACTTTTCAACCTCGAGATCTCTGCATTTTTTTGCTCCAGTTGTTTCTCTAAATAAAAGAAATTTTTGTCAAGTAACTTTACGTTACTTTTCTATAAGAAACGAATTTATAACTTACCCAATTTTTTGTTTCTTTCCACGTGTCTCTTGAGAACATCTTCCAAGTCATCCTTTTCCTCCTGGGCAACTTCTAAAGTAGCTTTCAGATGCGAGATTTCCTTATCTTTTTCGAATATCTTTATGCGTTTAGACATTGGCGTTTTGAAAATATCATACAAAGGACTTTTCTTGGAGGCATCAGCACTGTTTGCCATAAAATTGAGGCAATTTGGTTGTTCCATATTTTCTTCTGTGCACTGTTGTATTATTTTCATCAGATCGTCGTTTGTTAAGGAGGGGCATTCTTGAACCTGTATGAATTTTTATGTTTGTAAAAGACGAACAGATTATTCAACAATTTCAAATTCACAATATTCTACCCAAGATACCCAACCATACTCTGTATTCCAGCATGCAAAAAGGGATCTGAAAGATACTAGAGCCATCTATGAGACAGTGGCTCAACACAAAAATGGATTTGTATGAATGAATGGATTTAAAAAAAGTTGAGATTATTTGTTTTATTACTGTCTCACAGATGATGCCAAGATCTTGAATCCCTTTTTGGCCTCATTTTCATTGGGTATCTTCAGTCATTGAACATATTTCATCTGAAAATACCCAATTAAAATGAACATTGGAAAGCCCAATAAGGTTTGAAGATCCTAGCGACAGCTATGAGGCAATAGCAGAGCCAAACAATCTAACTGATTTGTTTCAATTCAACAGAACTCTATAAAAATGCATAGACCTCAAGTTACAGTATTATCCTTAAGGGTAAGAGTATTCTCCAAAATGCTGAGTCCCCCTTACCTTTCTTCATATAAGAGCCATTTTAAGAATAATATTTACAAAAATTTGTATGTAAAATGTTCCGATAATGAAAGCGGTGATGACAATGGACAAGTGAACAAACCAATTCCAAGTTATTCTGAAGCACTTTGTGCAATTAAAACTGTCACAAATTTCTTATAATCTGCTGACTAATTTTACAAGACTTGTTAAAAGTTGAGAAGCACATCAGGAATATAAAAGTGTGTAAAAGAAATCAACAAACAATAACTGAATGCGTAATTACATTTGTAATTCTACATATTTAATTTGGTTGTCCTATTTCAATGTTATATGTTACATATTCATATTACTATATCTTTATTATATCACATACCTAGAATGTATTTTTAGTTAGTTTAGTCCTTTAATTGAACCATATAAAAATTCACATATTTATTTTTATGGTTTTTTTATTGTGTATCTCCGGATATAAAGTACTCATTTTTTTCTCCCTAGAGGGAACATTATAAGCGGAGTTCACTGTATAGTTCTGTCTAAAACCAGTCAATCAATGCTGTCCAACAACTGCCAACCAATCGGAACACTACTACCATCTTCAATCTGAACTCTGAGTACTGGCAAAATAGCCACACTTTGATTAATAATCTATTAAATCACATTAATATCTATGAGCAATGTACTTGTAGTTGCAGAAAATTTAACATATATGACTGCCTTCAAAAACAGTAATATTGAACACAAACTACTGTAATTACACATAGATTTCATTTTTGTCTTTTGGCACATTCAACTCATCTACCATACATTGTGAAAAATTACCTTCTCAAGGAAAAACTTGATAGATGTTTGTGTTTGTGCTTTCAAGCTGTGACACAGTGGTGAGGTCAGTACATCTTGTCTATCATAGATGCAAGTGTAATGCATCAGCATTGAAGTTAATAACTTCAATTCATCATTCTTCAGGTCAGTGAGGTGTACATTAATCCTCTCATATATTGTCAATTTTGGGTAATGTTTCTTGAAAATGTGGAAAATACATGTAAGTACGTCCGTGTTCACCACTTCTGGACTTTTCCTGAAAATCAAAATGCATTAAACAACAACCTACCATATCAATGTGGTGCATACATACATAACTTTTTGAAGATTCTTGAAAAATATTCCATCCTTTAGTTCGTCGAGGTTAGAAATAGGTTTTTGCAGTTTCAGACAATTCACCTAAAAATATTTTTTAAGAGGATAATTTGATAAAAACTGTATTTGTTGATAGCAGCATACCCAGTCCACTAGCGTTCGTTCCCAAATATTATCCATTTTTTATTTATATTTTGTGAGAAAACTAAACAATATCCGTTGACCGATTTTGACGGTTTTATTTTTGAAAAGTTGGGCAAACGGTTCTATACATGACATCTGTCATAGATGAGGAAGAGCATCGGCTCCGTGCAGGGTTGCCAGGCGTGGTGATTTTTCGCCGTGGTGGCGATTTGACGGCTTCGAATGGATAGCTGGGCGATTGGCTACTTTAATAGCGCCCAGTATCCAGCAAACTGGCGATATCTGTCAATTAATTTGTAATCAATTTTTGCTGATATGTGTATACAGGGAAAAGCAAATTAGTCTGACGGCTTGATTTCAATGTGTACGAGAGAGAAGCGCGAGAAGTGTGTATCAAGACATTTTAGAAAGAGATAGAATCCGGTTGAAGAGTGAAGGTCATCACCACATTGCCTAGCAACGGTGACTCAAAAGCTCGTGCAAGCTTCCGCGTTGCCAAACTGTTATACTCGAAAATGTTCGCACAGGTTTCTACAATAGGTTTGGGTTACTGTCAAACCCACGGAGGCCTAATCGAAGCAGGGCGACACTCCTAAATGAGCGCTAGATGGGTACTGACCAAAATCGCTCGTCTATGATCATGGAGGTGAAAACCTTGCCTTGGAATGTACAAGATCCGGTGTTATCAAACGACCCAATGATGCAATGTTGCAGGATTTATGACGATCCTAATCTTTCATTCCGACCTAAAATGCAGCGCCATTAGGGCCAATCCGGAACCGATCCTAAACAGATGTGTATGCTCAAAATAAAACCATTATTTAGGCGTAGAGAGTAAACTACTGCATGCTTAACCTACTTGCTGATCATGCATGCAAAAAGCAAATTATTTTTGAGCGATTGTGGTTCTGGTTGGCTTTGAGTGAATATGGGAAAAATTGAATGGAAATTCTGTCTCTTTCATGTCAATCAAGGCCAAGTCAAACCACAATCGCTCAAAAATAATTGGCTTAAGTAATGGAAAACTTTCACTTTTTGTCCTTGGTTCACGATCGATACTTGTGAAAAATACTGTAAATGGAAGGCTGTATATTTACAGATTCATAAAAAATATTCTACAGTTATTCTCAGTTTTTTGTTTTCAAGTTCATATACAATTTTCTTTCGGATGGGGCTGGCAACGCTGTGTTATACGTCAAATCTATCCATCTTATCTGAAGTTGACAGTTGACACTAGTGTATTGTATATGTTTTGTTGTTGACAGTGTTGCCACTGGATGGTTATACCACAGGTTATACTTATAAAACAGTTGTGTTTATTCATTTTTTATATAGCAGCAATTGATACCAACAGCAATTCCCACATTCCCAGTATGTTTTGTGGTAGCAATAGCAAATAGCCGGGTGGTGAAACTCATATTGGCGAATAGGAAACAAAGCAGTGTTGCTGGTGCATAATATGACAACCATGTCGCACCCTCAAAAAATGGCAACTTATTCACAACTGACGTCTGATTGACCAGATTTAAATTTTCGGCGGGTTTCTTCCTGTGCTCTGTGCTTTGCAAAAATAACCTTACTTTTTTCAGCATGTCATTTTCTTGACAGTTCATTTTAATTAAATAAAGTCCCCATTATGTGATTTGAGCCATATGCATTTTTTTCGGAGTTGTGAAGTATAACAATGTAAGTACACAAAGCTGTAATACCTATGTTCGTAAATACTATAAGACAAACTTCACATCAAAACTGTTTCTTTTTTAAGGTGATCGAAGTCATTAGCCGGGCTTCTGGCAGATCCTGAGGAAGATAAGAGATGCAGCGGTTACTCATTTTAGGAATGTAATATTTAAAGATCGTACCTGTTTGTATCTTCACATCACTTTTTGAACAGTGGAGCGCCATGAAAAGTTCAACAGCTGCCGTTGTCAACCCCTGAGGTGCTGAGAATTATCAGAAGCTCAGAGATTACTTCTGATCTAACCAAAAGGCACAGCTCTGAAGGATATTTGTAGAACATAACATTTGTAAGTTTTTATATGACTATAACTAGTGATGATTTGTACTGCTTTTTGTAGTATTAATGCATAATCTGGCAACCATGTCGCACCCTCGAAAAATGGCCGCTGACAACCTAACAAGTCACCGTGTTGCCATCGAATAGCATGGAATTAAACCTTCTTCAGTGTATATGTTTTGTGTATTTTATGTTCTGTGGTTTCCAGTTCAGCTGATCGTCAAAAAGTTTTTAAAAACCCAGCTACACAGAAAAAAGTTTTCTCCTTCTGATGTTTTGAAGATTCTTGGTATGTTTTCAAAACTTACCAACATTTTGATACTTCTGATCCATGCCATGCTTAAGCTGTATTTTATGAATTTGCCCTAGTATCACCAGCCATGAAAGTTTTCTGTGAAATGAACATTCGATATTGTAGCTGTTGATACTTCTGTTTTTGTTTCTAAAACATTTTGAGTGTAAGATACCATTATTTATCTAGGAAGTACCAAATTGAATTTATATTTAAACCAATTTAAACATTTTGCTGAGTATAATAATAGCTCAAAAATATATCCAAAACAGCCAAACTAATTCAGGTGCATAATACATATGAAACTTGCAGACTGTAAAGTCCAAAATTATTTTATAAACTTTGTAGAATATTGGCAGTCTCTCGTTCACTATACCTATGTAGTGCCTAATTTTTTTATACATTAAACAATTATTAAAACAAAAACAATAGCTGCTTTCACTAGCACTTAGCAGGTGAATATTATTACTATCTATATATACTTAAACTCTACTAATGAATGCCATCTAAATGAATTGGCAATCGCTGACAATGATTGATTTGAGTATCCTTTTCAGGATATCCTGATATTCGGGTATAAATGAAAAATAGATGATCTTCCTTAGAATCTCAGATCATAACCAAATTATTATATTTTGTGGTACCCAATGGTTGCATGTTCAGTAATCTAGAACAAAAAAAACATATGGTACAGATCAGAAAATTCAAGAAAAGCAGGAGAGGGATTGATGGAAATTTAGGGGAAACTGATGCAGTAAATCGAGGTGCCAATTTACTGAAATTATTGGGGTTCATGAGAAAAAAAAACGACTATAGGGTCATCTAAAAGTCTTATCAAAAAGCAACTACAGAATCATTCCATTCCATTTTTTTTAATTCAAGAGGGGCTACAGAATTCCCCAACATTTTACAGAGATGGCTGAGGAAACAAAATAAAACAAAGTATTTGTGTTGAGCACAGTCTCAATATCTTGCCAATTATGCTGAAGATGTGGACTGTCATCCTAGTGAATGGTTATCCGACATCCTGTAGGGTCTCCTATTATTGATATAAACAAAGTCATGCAACAACCACAGATTTCAGAAGATATTCCTGTAAATTGTGATCTTTCAAATGAAGTTAGTTACACAAAAAAAGCAAAACGATGCAACAGATCTGGTGCTGCAAGGAGGCGCAAGAAAAGGTTAGCAGCAGCAATGACAGTTGATGGCACATCAGCCTCAAATAATGAGCACTTTCCTAGAAGTTTTTCAGCATCAGAATCTTCAACATCAAGAAGAGTCTATTCTACTGGAGCTGAAATACCTGGGCATTCTTATTTAGAAAAGTCTCAAATGCATCCTCAACTATCGACTGGTTTTAAGCCTTTCCAAGATCCTTCCACTTTAGGACAAAGTTGGGGAGCATCTAGCTCATATCCTAAGACATTAGGGGAAGATTGGTCATATAATATATCTAAGAAGCTAAAAGATAGTAGTGAACCTAAGTCAGCCTTTCCTACAAAAAACCAACATAGCCTCAGAGTAGCAATAATTAATAATAATCACCCCTTGGGGCATATTCCTGAAGATAAGGAGCCCCATATAAAGACATTGCTGCAGATAGAGCTTGACAAGCTGATCTTGTCTTCTAAACACAATTCTGATGCAGTTCCAGCTTTCAAATCGTGGAAGTATTCTGAGAAGGTGATAAATATTACATGTTTAGATGACCATACTCGTATTTGGCTGACAAAAACTGTAGCCAACATTAAGCCTTGGAACAATGCTTCTTTAAGTATAGTGTCATCAGACAACTTACCAAAACTGACCAAAGCAACTCTTTTTATTCCAAATGACGTGATGGTTTGTGGCATAGAGGAGAAAAACGTGGTTTTGCGACGGCTCGCTCAGCAGAATCCAGAAGTGAGTGTTCAGAAATGGAGGCTGTTTCGCTATAAGGAACTCCCTTCAGGGCAGATGTTTGTTTTTGGCATCGGGGATCGTGATATCAAAATTTTAATAGATAAGTTGCTTGAAATATTTTATCTTTTTCGCTCATTGTATCTCAAAGTCAACCTGTCTAATCTGGTAGCGCAAGTGGTAGATGATGTTTTGACCAAGGCAAATGATGAACGTTCATCTGATTCCGAATGTTGAACTGGGTAAGAACAATTTATCGAAAACGACTTTGACGTATTTCAGTTTTGTTGCTTTTTATTTTTGTATTATTTTTCATTGAAGAAGATATTACTTTTGTGTTATAAATAAATAAGTTTTCTGAAGTTCAGGATGTATTTATTTCAGTGACAGCTATACCCTAGTATAACGACATTCTTTTGAGAAAATCTAACTGCAAGAGAGATATCAAACAGTAGAGACTGATGGTGTAAGGTCGGCAAAGAGGAAGATATCAGTAGGAGTGCCACAAGGTTCTGTCCTAGGCCCCATACTCTTTCTCATCTATATTAATGATGGGTTAATACCCAAATATACCCTCTTTGCAGATGATACATCAATATATCTTGCAGCTAGCTCTGACAGAATTACAACAGCAAACAGACGCTGAAATCTGGTTGATGGCAAAATGTAATGAACAAATCGTGGAATGTCATACTCTATGCTGTTATGGCTTTTATAGACTTTCAAATGCAGGATTTTTGTTAAAAACTCAAGTTTTATGGAACTTCATTTATTGAAAAAAGATTAAATATAAATGCACATTGGAATATATCAAATATGACCTCTTAGCGCGAACTTAGCCACTGTCTCACCTAAAATCAAAATGTTTATACAAAATATATTACGTTGAAATATGAAATGAAACTTACTTTTTTAGTACCACACAAGCCTCGCATCTCCAATTTTTCTAAATCTCGTAATATACTGTTTTTGGTAGAAAAATACTCATAAAATCTATTTCTACGTTCTTCTGGTACATATTGTAAGAGTAATGCAGCATATTCGTGCTTTCCTAAATTCTGACATAACTGCATAATTTTCTCATAGTTAAGAGACTGGGAGACAGGGCATGACTGAAAATAAGATTATAGAAATGCAACGAAAGTGTTTAAAATCACCTTCAACAACAATCTTTCAAATAACTGGGATATTACACAAAACATATCAAAATCGAATTTAATATTAATGATATTCACCTGTAGCATTAAAAAGTTGCTTATCAGCCTTTCTTCCAAATTGTCACTTGATGCGATAGAAGCTTGATGAAAGGCGTCTTCGACTATTGCTTGCCATGCAATTTGGTATAGTTGAGTTCTATCACATTTTTCTCTTAGGAATTCTACGTATGTTTTCAATTCACGTACCTAAAATTCACCATGACCGCAAATTATAAAACTATTCCTAATCGTTTTATTTTTTTTTAAGCTTGTAAGTTCAAATAGTTGATTTCAGGAGAATTATATAATCATCAACTTCAAGATATAGTCGAGACACAGACTAAATAAGACAATATTTGAAGTATTACCATGTTCAACTTGATGGCATTATTCACGATGAAATTCCAGTATCGAACATCTTCTATGGTATACATCATACATAGATTACCCATCACCTTAACAGCTAGAGGTTTCTTGATCAGATAAAGCCTCTTTAGAAGCTCCTTTTATTACTTTCACGCAGAGACTGTAAATCCAAGACTATGCCCAAGGACTCTAAATCACTCAGGAGCATCAGGGTGTCTATCATGTTGCTGAAAATGTACATTGCATCAACATTACTTCAGTAATTTGAAATAATTCATGATCTGAATGAGATTATGATTCGTAAGTCGGTTTTCTATCTATTGGGAACGAAAAGCATAGTGGGGTATCTCAATCGATCGCAGCGCACGCTGTTGACAAAAAGGGAAACATCATCGACACTGGAATATAGGCGCAAAATCTGTGTGATGTGGGATCAACTCATGCTGGCAAAGGTTTTTTTTTATACCAAAGCAGACGCGAATACCCAGATCTTGAGAACGATGTCTGGTATACGTCTCAGGGCGCTCCACTACACCTTCACGAACTCTCTCGATATTTTCCGGAGCACGAACAGTTCGAACACGGCCTGATCTTGGCAAGTCTTTAACTTCACCTGTTTGTTCAAATTTCGACCGAAATCTTGTAGCTTCCGAACCGTTGCAACAATCGACCCGTCATTCAAGTAAAACGTTTTAACAATACGGACGCGTTGTGGGATCGTGTAGCGCTCCATGATGAATTGGACACATGTGCCTTAAACAACTACCAAGGCGCCACCTACTGAAATGCGTGTATCAAAAATGGCGCGCAATTTAAATCAGTCAGTTATACAGGGTGTCCGCAAAGTTGGGGTTTTCCCTTTCAGAAACAACTACCCTTGAAATAACAAAGGTAATGTGTAGTGAAACGAGGGCGACCAAGTAAAAAAATAAAGGAAAAGGTACTCACTCTCCAGTTGACGAGAAGGGCTAAGTACGTCTCTGCCCGAAATCATACCGCTCCAACAGAAAATGAAATCAGCTGATGCGCTACCGAGCAGACGCCGGCGGTGGTGCAGACCACGAACAGAGGTAACAAATATGACGGCGCTGCCGCGTTTTCAGTTTTTAGGTAAACGTACTTTATAGGTACTGTTCGAAGTTATCGCCGTTTGATTCAAAAACACAGGTGCGTGCACGACGTAGCCAAGCATCGGTGCAGGCTTTGAGAATGGAGTCCCTCCCCCGAATGAAAGCACCAGCTTGTTCAATTCTGAGACGAAGTTCGTCAACCGTATGTACTTCAGTTTTGTACACTAAGCGTTTCATTTCTCCCCAAAGAAAAAAATCACATGGTGTTAAGTCTGGAGATCGCGGAAGCCACGCTACGGGTCCATTACGTCCGATCCACCTATTCGGAAATAATTCATTCAAAAACTCACGCACTTCGCGTCTAATATGGGGCGGTGCACCATCGTGCAGAAACCACATTACACTTACACTTAATGGCACATCTTCTAACAAGGAAGGCAAAATGTTGCGTAAAAAGTTTAGGTATTGCATCCCGTCCAATCGATTTGGGAGAATAAATGGTCCAATGAGCATACCGTTCACCATGCCAGCCCAAACATTCACCGAAAATGTTTGTTGAAAATGTGCCCGACGGATAGCGTGCGGATTTTCTACTGACCAAACATGAGTGTTGCGAAAGTTATTCACCCCATTACGTGTGAACGTAGATTCGTCTGTCACCAATATGCACTTCAAAAAGTCCGGATTATGGTCATGTTGATGCAACAACCACTCACAAAACCGCACTCTTGCTGGAAAATCGTCAGGTTGAAGGGCTTGTACACGTTGGACGTGAAACGGATACAGCCCCTCATCACGCAGCGTTTGCCACACTTTAGTTTTTGATACTTGCACTTCTCTAGCCGCGTCTCTAGTGCTTGTTGTTTTTTGAAACGCAATCGATTATACGGGTTCGTTTACCTCTACACGCGTGACCGTAACCGTCGGTTGAAGGATGGATACTGACCTGACACACTGACCCGGACCCAGTTCTGTCGTCGAGTTGAGCCAGTGACCTTGTACCAGTCGGTGATGTCGCGGGTCGCGGCTACAGGACGGTATTCAGATATTTTTGATGTTGCAGAGCCCTTTATCTCGGTTCCCTTAAGACATTGGTGTATATGGTACTAAGAAAAATTGCTTTTGTTTTCAAGATCTATACGTCGTGTAAAGGAAAACCCCAACTTTGCGGACACCCTGTATATTGGCCACCCTGTATGACATCAAATAATGTGCCGTGTTTTAGACGTTACAAACGCGAGGTTTTTAGCTAAATGCGCAATTAATAATTGATTGATTTCAGCAGTGTTTCTCTACTTACAGTATCTCAGTGTATGAAACTTTCGTGAGTTTGGTAACAGTTCTTTCATCAGTAATTGCACACAAGCATTTCAATGCTTTGGCTTTGAAATCAAAGCTTTCTTGTACTCCAGTTTCAGGTTCTTCTATTGTAACTTTGATCAAATAATCTTGATAGAACTCTAGATTGCCACTCTTAGATAGATATATGGCCCTAAAAGGTACATTAAAATGAAAGTTTATCAAATCTGGTCGTACATAACTTTAAAGACCAAATCAGTATTTTATACTGAGAGACAAAATGAGGTAAACACGTACGTATGTGTATTAGACCGGGAATGGAATCAGGTGGTCTTTAGTGACGAATGCCGCTTCTGTCTGGGGATGCACGATGGTCGGGTAAGAGTGAGAACGCGACGTGGTGAATTTGACAGAGTGCGTCACGTTCACCACACCGTGGTAGTTATGTTATGGGGTGCTGTTGCTTATGGTAGCAGATCACCACTAATTTTCATCAAAGGCAATATCTCAGCCCGACGCTGTATCCAGGAAGTAGTGGAGCTTCAGCAATATCGCATCAACTGTTTACATAGGTCATCACGATCGCCTGACCTATCTCCAATTGAACATGTCTGGGACATGCTAGGTCGTAGGCTCTTGAATTTGCAACACCCTTTAGCAGCTCTTACTCACGAAGTTGCAGTAGTCTGGAATGAGATACCCCAAGAAATCGTGGATCCTCAATACATTCTTGAACCAGCTTCTGCAGTCAGGAAAAGAGGAGGCTATCGTGAACATCCTACCTCCTAAGAATGTTGCTGAAGTTCGTAGACTAGTGGGCCCAGCTTCATGGTACAGGCGATTTGTAGCAGATTTCTCCTCACTACTTGCCCCACGTTGGGCGCCACAAAATTTGCCACGCCTTTTTTTGTTAATTCATAAAACACAATGATAAATACTATCTAGCGTTTGGTCCAAGCAAAACAGTTGTCTAGTAGCGTGTAAATTTAGGCCCTAGCTCAATAAAGCGGAGAGTAGGGGGGGGGGTTAAGAGCGCCAGTGACTTAGGGCGGATTAAGCCACAACTCCCCGAGATGTTAGTCGGAACTTGTTTTGCTTGACCACCACACAAAAGGAGAATCTAACAGAGGTGACGAAATTTAAGTAACAGTAAACACAGAGAGAGCCAAATAAACAAGATATAAAATGGATCACAATACAGTGAGAGTCTTCATAAAGTGCACATATCAAAATCAGGGAAACTACACTCTATTTCATCGACGGATAAATCATCAAAAAAACATGAATTTGATTTTTTATGAATATATGAATATTTTAAAATTTTTAGTAGCAGCTTCTAACCATATTGAAATAACTCGTTACAACTTTTAAACTAAATGTCCTATCATATTGGAATACATTTTGTAGTGATTGCTGGTAAAAGGACGTACCTGAAAAGTAAAGAATTCCAGAAATAGTAATGACATCCATTTAGAATAAAGAAAATTTGGATGAAAATCTGTTTTTTTTTCATCATTTTTACAATAATTTCAAATTTTCTATAAATATCGTCCCTTGTACCCTACCTTTTTTTATTTGTAAGTTATTCTACATGTTATCAGCTTTATAAAAGTAAAAATTGCACGTTTATTACTCAAATGTAACAGTTTCTATGAGTGGTTATAAAAAAGCCCATGCGCATCGTCTTGCTAGGCACCATTGTTTATCATGTAGATACCTTTTTTTGGTGATTCAATGTAGAGTCGCGCGGGCTGAAGTACGAGTGGGGAGGCGGGCCCAGTTGAAAAACAATTGAATGTTGGGCAGTTAGGCAGCTATTTGTTTCTCCTGCCAACTTTATCAGTTTCGTTTGCTACATATCACGCTTTCGCTTTTTGGTCGCGATGCCACGTATAAGTGATTTCCCTCCGGCACACATTGCCGATATCCATTATTATTATGGAATGTACCGAGGGAGTGCTAGAGCTGCTTGCACAGCTTATCTAGCTGCATTTCCAAATCGACGTCCAGTTCCATCAGCCCGTAACTTCCAAGAAGTACATAGAAGACTGGCTAACACTGGACTTGGTTTGCCTCGAGATCGCCGCGAACCAGGTGTTATTATTCATGTTGCTATCGAAGAAGCCATTTTGGATGATTTGTTTGCTGATCCGACTACTAGTACGAGACGTTTGGCGTTACGCCATGGCGTATCCCAGAAATCGGTTTGGCGCATCTTGAGGAAAGCAGGGTTGCATCCATACCATTATCAAAGGGTGCAGCACTTGCATGAAGATGTGGATCGGCGTCCAAGGTGCGTTATGTCTACATGGATTTTAATAAAAACAAGAGGCAATCCTGAATTCCCGAAAACAATTCTGTGGACAGATGAATCTCAATTCACGAGAGACGGCATCGTGAACTGTCGTAATTTACATAAGTGGTGCCCAAAAGATGAAAACCCTAGGCTGACAAGGGCTTCAACATTTCAAGTGACATTTTCTGTAAATGTGTGGGCCGCACTGATTGACAACTTTTTGATTGGTCCAATAATACTCCCGAGGACATTAAACGGAGAGAGATTTCTGGAGCTTTTGCGGACTGAACTGTCCTTGCTGTTGGAAGAAGTGCCTCTGCAAACCCGTCGAAGAATGATGCTTCAAATGGATGGATGCCCTGCCCATTACTCGCTGATTGTCAGGTCTTTTCTTAATGAAAATTATCCAGGCCGCTGGATCGGTCGACAAGGACCTGTTGGGTGGCCGGCGCGTTCCCCAGATCTCACACCTCTCGACTATTTTTTATGGGGGACAATGAAACAAAGGGTGTACAGCAGTTCCATAAACAGCGAAGCGGAACTTGAAGAAGGAGTTTTGCGTGTTGCAAACGAAATAAAAAATGATCACGAGATGATTCGTAGGGCAACTCATCAAATTTCACTTCGCGCTACAAAATGTGTTTGCAGCAACGGGGTGGCCATTTTGAACATTTGATGCATTAAGCCAAAATGATTATCCTATAGACAAGTCTATTTGATTTTATTTGTTAAAGATAATGAATGATTCATGTAGGTTAATACTGTTGTTTTATTCCTACTCTGGCGTTGAACTGAGTTCACTGCTTTTTGAAACGCTGATTTAAAAACTTGTATCTAAGTAATAAACTTGCAATTTTTCACCATTAGGAAGCTAATAACATGTAGAATAACTTAACATTTAAAAAAGGTAGGGTAAATAGGACAATTTTTATCGAAATTTAGCAATTGTTTTAAAAATCATTGAAAAAATAGTGAGTTTCAGCATATTCCTCTTTATTTTAAATTTATAGCATTTAAGTTAGTGGAAATTTTCACTTTACTGGTACGGCCCATAATTTGCAATCACTACAAAATTTATTCCAATATGATAGGACATTCAGTTTAAAAGTTGTAACGATTTATTTAAATAGGGTTAGCAGCTGACGCTAAAAATTTTAAAATATTCATAAAAAATCAATTATTGTTTTTAATTTTTTTTTGATAATTTTTCCGTCAATAAAATAAGATGTAGTTTCCCTGATTTTGATATGTGCACTTTATGAAGACTCACACTGTATATTGTTTAAAAAAAACAAAACGCACATGTGCTCCACCACTGCGAGTGATGAAAAAGAGAAAGTATGTTACAAATCTTAAATACGACCTGACAAAATTATTTTTCGAGATAACTTCGCGAAACGTCTACCATGGTATACGCCCGAAGTATTTACAGATATTTTGCGCCTAAATACTAAACCTGTAGGTCCTCTTTGTCAGCCGCGGCCGAGATGTCCTCGAATCTGTTCATATCAGGTTTTTTTTCAAGGGGATGGCTTCCAATTTGCAAAACTGCAACGATGCAACTGACTGGAGGAGATGATTTTCTTCTGTTTCGCTGAGGGTCAAAAAAATGGGAGACGTAGCACCCAAAATAACTAAACTTAAGTTACACAACAAAAGGAAAAGGGTGCTAGTCCATGAATGGGCGCTTGGGGCCTAATATCCCAGAGTTCGGAAAACGACAAAACGACCCCTGCACCACGGCCTCAACGGAAACTGAAAAGCGAATCACGCAGAATACGTAACGTTCTAGAGGAAGGAATCTTGAGTGGCCTTGAAGAAGATAAGTTTTATAAGAAACCAGATGATCGTCAACACCGTACTGAATCGCTGAGAAAAAAAGATATAATACGAGTGAAATTACACAATCAATAAACTATTAGATTTGCAAAAAGAAAATCATTGAAAAGGGGGTTGGCCTAGGAATGGGCACTCTATTATCAATGAAGAGAAATTCAAATTAAGGATAAGTGATAAATAGTAAAAAAAAGGTTACGTGATTTTGGCACGTGACAAGTTGACGAATCAAGCTGATTTTTTTTTCATTTTACTATACTATAACTATCTAAAACTGTAATGACTCATGGATGTTCCCGTGAACATCACTTAACTACCAGTAGTCGGCTGTTCATAGGCGGGGTATGAATGTTTAACATGGGTGAACGAGATTTGTCTCATTCTTAATAAAGAGTGGTTTGAAACATATTGTAAGTCCAAAATTTGGGAATTACCTTTATTCATCGTCGCTTCCACTTACATCTGACAGTAATAAACTGTCGCTATCGCTTTCCTCGTTGAAATTGACTATAACTGGCTCTATGATGGTGTCGATGTGGTGGTCAAGCTGGTGGTCACAACATGACGGATAGCATTCTGCCAAGCTTCGGGCGTTACTAGCTGTATGGAAGTCTCAAGTAAAACCTTAACGTCTGGTAATTTGAAGGTTGTGTTATGGCGCGCAATATAACCCTTCACTTGAGCCCAGATGAGCTCTATTGGGTTCAGTTCACAGTGGTAGGGCGGTAACCGCAGCACAGTGACACCACATTGACGGGCCATCTCATCAGTCACGTAACTAATGTTCGCAGGTTTGTGCTGTTTAATTTTTTCATACAATTCCGCTTTCACACATGAATCGTCAAACGGGATTCCTTTTTCGCGCAACCATTGCTGCATGTCACTTTTTCGAGATCCCATAGTCGGTACACGTTCGGCTCGACGACTATGGTAGGAAGCATTATCCATGACGATCGCAGAGTTGGGCTCAACTCGCTGAATCACCCCTTGAAACCAACTCTCGAAGAAGCTGGCATTCATTTCGTCATGGTAATCACCTCCTTTCTTAGAGACGAAAATCAAGTCACACTCTTCTAAAAAGCCACTATCGCTACCAATATGAGTTACGATCAATCTTTGACCTTTCCCTGACGGTCAACGAAGATCTGTTGACAAACCTTCAATGCTTGCTTGTCGGTTACTCACTACGTTTGTGTCTATCCAGGTTTTTTTAACTGTGTGATCTGCATTTACCCATGTCTCGTCCAAATAATAGATTTTTCTGCTTTGTCGCCTATATTCAATCATTTCGCGTAGGTTTCGACGCCAGGCGACTATTTCAGGTCTCTCTATCAATACTGACTTCCGATTACGCGTTTCGTAACGAAAATTAATTACGTGCAGGGATTTCCTCATTACCTCGACGCTCATTTGGGGTATAATTTCATTTTCCTTGATCGCTGCATGTACAGCCTTGAGGGTTGGTATCTCATTCCTAAAGAAGCCTTAACGCCATTTTGCTATCGTCATCCAATTTAACGGCCTTTCATCCCTTCAAAGTAAACTTTGGATCAGTAGTAGCTCCAGTTTTCTTCTTTTCATGCACCACCCTGCGAATGGTCCACTCTGGAACGCCTGTCATACTTTTACAACGCGCGAGTGCATCTCCCAGCGACATAGTTCTGTTCAGATAATTGAACACGTTGAGCACGATTTCTTTCGCGTCCCTCTTCAGTGCTTTACGAAGCCGTCTACTTGTTCCCTGGCTTTCAGTACTTGCACTCGTGCCATTTGTACCCTCCATGGTAAAGTATAACCAAAACAGTAACCACAGAAACCACAACAATAACAATTCTTATAAAAACACACAATATGCGATCGCTCAACGAAACACGTTCCAATGCGTTGCCGACGCCTACGAGTCTGCCGGTCGAGGCGCGTCTTTGATTTCACTGGTTCTACCGGCGGAGAACAATCAGCCATTATTTCCATCTCTGTATGTGCTGTTGGCCACCGCAAAGCCACAGAAACGACATATGTCGTACGCTATATGGCTGTACTGGAAGAAAGCCGGGATCGAGCTCTGATCACGCGTATGAGTCATTACAGTTTTAAATAGTTGTAGTATAGTAAGGGACACTGAACATATAAAGGGACACTGAACATATATGCCAAAACTTATTAAAATCGGATAAACACACGTAGGTGTTTACCTTTTTTGTCAGTGTATCACCGCCTAAAACTTCTACTAGACTAGACATACCTTTTAACATTGCTATCATTTATTGGGATTGAGCTTGTTTGACCAATCATGTTCGGTACATAAAATGAAGAATCGGTGTCGATCGACATATAAGAGTTCTTCAACCAGTCTTGTAATAGCTTGAAGCGTAATGCGAGAATGTCCAATTTGAAAAACATTGCCAGCTCTTCTACAGCCCGATTTATATCTGAAAATATTTGGACACTTATGCATTTTTATTTCATTTCTTAGATAAACGTTCTAGAAGCAGTTGAAAATTCAACTCAAAATTATTATCAATGCCTGAAATCTACATCCGTCTTCCAGATTTTTCTGACACTCACCTGGTCCTCCGCTGGTGAAAAAGTCCACAAATTCTGAATGTTCAATTATTCGTGGATCCATATACAATGCTTCAATGAGAGCTTCTGGATTTTGTAACAACTCTAAGTAGTTATCGTCGGCCAAGTTATACTTGTATAATATGTGCATTGCTGAATATTGAAAATATTTTGCTTTAACCTAAAAACATCAAGGACGCTGTTTTCAATAAGTACCAGAGTTTTATATATCAGCTAAAAAAACTGTAACAATTTTTGACATGACAAAAAAATCTGAAATTAATTTTGATGAGTCTTGATTCGCGTGTAGATTATTTATAATCTAGTCTTTGGTGACATGAAGCTAATAGCGTACCTTGACGAAAGAGTTTTCTACCTCGGCTACGTCAGGATTAGCTTGCCTATATTTTTTGGCATATGCATAACTCATTCTTGCTGCATCTACTTTATCTGCTCCTAAAAAAGTTGAGATTTATCATAATTGTCACGGTAATGGCATCTATCTTATGTAAAATAATCACTATGTTAGAGATCTGACCCGCTGTGAAAGTCATAAAGGGTTGTCCAATAGGGACGCAGGAAAGTAAACGTCAATTTGACATAGACGCCATCTTTGTTTTCTGTCACCGACATGTCATTTTGTTAGTTGAATGTTTACCATTGATCGCTATGGAGTCGTATTCGATTGAAGACCGCATTAAAGTTATTCAAGAGCACTACAAAAATGGTGCAAAAATAAAAAACACGTTTCGCGCGCTTCGTGAACATTTCGGTCGCAACAACCGCCCAAACGAAACAACCATCGGTCGTCTGGTGCGTAAATTCGAGGCAACAGGTTCTGTGGCAAATCTGCCAGGCTCTGGCCGGCCAAGGAGCGTTCGCACACCGGAAAATATTGCTGTTGTGAAGGAGAGTGTGAGAGACGATCCGAAACAATCAACAACGCGTCGATCCCAAGAATTGGGCATTTCGAGAACCAGTTTGCTCCGCATTGTCCACAAGGATTTGAATGTACACGCCTACAAGATCCAATTGACGCAAGAGCTGCGTCGGGCCGACCATTTTTCGCGCCGAACGTTCTCAGATTGGCTCCTTGAACACCGCCAAATTGATGAAAATTTTTCATCAAAATCATGTTCAGCGACGAAGCGCATTTCACTTTGAATGGGACGGTAAACAAGCAAAACTGCCGCACCTGGGCGAACGAAAATCCCCGTGAGTATCAAGAGCAGCCGATGCATCCTCAAAAAGTGACTGTATGGTGTGCATTGTGGTCAAAAGGCATCATCGGACCTTACTTGTTCGAAAATGCGGCCGGGGACGCCGTTACCGTCAATTCTGAGCGATATCACGTGATGATAGAGGTCTATTTTTTGCCGCAACTTGAAGGAATGGATATGGACGATGTTTATTTCCAACAAGACGGTGCAACATGCCACACAACCAACGTCAATATCCATCGATTGCAGTCCTTCTTCGGTGATCGCGTGATTTCGCGCAGAGGAAATGTGCCATGGCCACCAAGATCGTGCGATGTGACTCCCTTGGACTTCTTTTTATGGGGATATTTGAAAAGCAAAGTCTACGTCAACAAACCAGCCACAATCCAAGAACTCAAAAACAACATCATTGCCGAGATAAATGCCATAGAACCGACCATGTTGCAAAATGTCATTGAAAATTTCGACCATCGCGTGGACGTCTGTACATCCAGTCGTGGTGAACATTCGAGCGATATTATTTTTCATACATAAATGGTATAAATGAACCTTCAAAATAAAGTACCCAACTTGATTTGAATATCAATCTTTCTTGTTTTAATATGCGTTTACTTTCCTGCGTCCGTTTTGGACAAGCCCATATATCGAGGAATGGCACAACGACCTATAAGTACGAACTTATAGCTGTGAATGCTTTCCCGCTAGTGCCATTTCTGAAGCAGATATTACATTACAGCACATAGCTCCTATAGACGTCCAACACATGCAGCTACTAGAAGCGAACATGAAATAAATGGTAGCTTGTTCCAAAGTGACAAATGCGGCGATCGGATTTTGCAGTTATGTCGGTTTCAAAACTCGAAAGTTACAAATTTGATGTTGATTTGGTATGTGTAAAAGGGGCATTCACAATTTTCCTTACCATTCGGAATATGATACATAAGGTGATAAACCAAAGACGTGGCTCGTTCTAAGTTGACTATATGTTGGACACAGTCATTCACATCAGCTAGGAGATCCTTGAACTTTGGATATAAGATCCATCTATCTTGAATATCGGTCTTCAAAACTCCACTGGAAACCTAAAGACGACGATTTTGATGGATATTTGAAAGTGCGAAAGAAATTAACATAGCGACAAAAATGGCGCCAAGTACCGGAACTATTATATTGGATTATATGGCAGTTACTGCCTAAATTGTCTAATCATACGTAACCGCATCAGGTTAGTCGTCATATATTGTGACAAAATAGTTTGATCGCGGTAGCTAGAGACCTCACCACTGCGACCATGAAGTAGGACCTTTTTACCTGAACTGTTTTCAATGCTCGTAGAACCCCACATATACGGTATCTGTAAATTAAGTGACGAGACAACTTTTTCGTAGGCCTGTTTAGCGAAAGTCCCTGTTGCACTGTGCCCAAGTCTTGAAATTGATGTCACTCATTTTTAGAACACAACAGAAAAAACAAAAAAAATCGCTACGGACAACGAACAGGTTCAAACTTGTACTGAAGGCGGGATCACACGTTCCACTGTCTCCCCACCAAGCCCGGCTCCTCCAGTGTTGCCAGATCGAATGCTACGTTGTCAGTCTCGTCACTTAATTTACAGACGTCGTGTGTGATCAATAAATTGTACAGTAGTATTTTCTTCTTACCACTTGCTTCACAGCATATATACAAATGTCATCCTTCTTCAAGACATCGGGCAGAAATTCAGCAGCTCCAAACCACCGTTTGTATGTTTTGAGATTAACTTCAGGCCTGACTATACTCCAGATGTCTTCGGTGAATAATAACTTTGTGAAGGGTAGGCGAAATTCAGATAATGGATCTAAGGCAAAATTCTCTGGAAAAGCGCTGTACCTAGTATAGTAAAAATGAGATAAGTGGATGTGTTTGATTGATGTAAAATGGTGGTGTTCTTGAATATAAATCGTTACTTCAACGTTCACTCTCATTTCTCTATGATTCTGAAATATGGCTAATAGGTGCATAGAATTACGGGGGTTGGAAGCGTATAAATACATATAAGACACCCAACCCCCGGATTTAAAACCCTACAAATTTTTTTCTGAAAATGATCAGGACCCTCTGAAGTGTTAAAAACAGACTGGCCAACGGAAATGTGTGACATGGTTTTACGTGATATGTTCACATAAAATCCAAAAACACAATATCCAATTTTCAAAAATTTTCGCTGAATACTTCCTCTCCCAGTGGTGTAGGAAGTAAAAATGTGGATTTCTCGAAAATGTCGAAAACAACATCGCTGTCCCAAAGATAAATTCCAACAGTATATTTACCATTCTTCTTTCTCTCTTTGACTGGGGCTATTGCAGCGTGTGTAGTTTTGTAGAAACGACAGCAAGCTCAAGCGGCTTTGTATGGTCGCAGATGGGATACTATTTTCAAGGATCGTGTTGATGCAGATGAAAACCTCGTATTGATAACAGCTAATCTAGAAACAGAATAGTCAATCAATGGATGCATTCAGTAGCTAAAGCTCATATGCCAAATATAAACTAATCTACTGCTCACGGTAGTAGATACTTCCACTTCCACCGCGTGCTCTGATTGGCGGATCAGACGGCGGTAAAATTTGAACAGGGTTGATGGTATATGTTGATTGGTGGGCCGGCAAATTTTAAAATCCGCGCTAGATGACCGGAAGTGATCCAGACAGCCGACGGACGGCTGCCGATCGCCTTATCAGTATTGTTGTGCTCGTCTGCGGTTATGATCATAGTAAGGTGTAGTATACAGGGGGTCGGGTGCGTTGGTAATCACTTCGCATATAAGGTTAGGTAGACAGTCGTTCAGCGCAGGTGTTGTCGAAGCGATGATATGCAAGAAGTACTCTGCGGGGGGCTGTCAAGCATGGGTGAATGGCGGGAGCGCAGGCTGTAAACGAGTTAATACTGGCCAACGATAACAGCGGTGACCTGGAACACTGTTGTCACGCGGTTGCAATAGATGATAGGTATGGTCGCAGATGGGATACTATTTTCAAGGATCGTGTTGATGCAGATGAAAACCTCGTATTGATAACAGCTAATCTAGAATCAGAATAGTCAATCAATGGATGCATTCAGTAGCTAAAGCTCATATGCCAAATATAAACTAATCTACTGCTCACGGTACTTCATCACTTTGTGGCGTCTATTAAGGTGAACAGCCAATCAGCAAGAACACAATAGAGTCTTTTTCACAAAAAAAAAAACGCTACGGACAACCAAATGACTCGAGCAAGTTCAAACTTGTACTGAATGCAGATCATACGTTCCCCTGTCTCCCATACAAGCCCGGCGCCTCCAGTGTTGCCAGATCGAACGCTACATTGTCAAACAAAAACAATGCTCGCATTTGTTAGAACATAGCTTTACTAATTGAATTCGTAGAAACTTTTAAATACCTGGGGGTTTTTGTTGACTCTCGATTAATTTTTGATATTCATTATGAAAAAGTTATAAATAAGATTAGTAGTAAAGTGGGATATTTATCAAGAGTTTCTGAATGTCTGAGTTCATATAGCAGGAAAATTATCTATAATACCACCATTCTTCCAAATTTCTTGTACTGTTCGACTATTCTATATTTAGCAAATAATTCCATTTTTGAAAGACTGCAAATTTTACAAAATAAGTGCATGAGAATAATACTAAATAAAGATTAGGCAAATGCTTAGCAAATTAAAATGGCACAATGTAAAAAAAATTATCAAATATCTTGTAATGATATTCATTTATAAAGTAAAAAATAATATATTTCCATCAAGTCTAACTAATTTAACATCATCAAATGTCGACCATCATTTACATAATACCAGAAATAAAGATGACTTCCATTTAATGACCAAAAAGTATAACATATGCTACAAATCTGTATTCCATCAAGGGTTGATTGAATATAATAAATTATACTCAGAGATAAAAGACCAGAAAACTTAGACAAAATTTAAAGTAAAATTGAGAAATCACTTGTTAAATCTACAATTATAGGTTGCCCAGCATTTACATCATACACCATATGGCTTGAATTTACTAGTTCTAAGTTGTTTACAATTATTCTGTTTATGTAGCCAAATATGCTAAATAAATCTTTCTACTACTACTACTACTACTAATTGAGGCTGCTGCAGGTAATCTGTAAAGACAACTAAGTCATCGTGTCAATTCTGATGAACGCGGCCGCTGTATTTGCTATTTTTTTTGAGAAATGATAAATACAAAATATGATGATGATTACCTTGCCTAAGGTAGATTCAAGCAGCACAAAGCATGATTTTTTGTCTTCGGCAGCATCAATAACATCCATACACTTTTTCAGCAAATCGTTGTCATCATTTTTTGCAGTTATCGTTCGCTGTCCGTCCAGTCCTGTTATGATATCGTATTCAAGTTTCCAGTTCAGAAGTGAGCTAAAAATTACAGATTATAACATGAAACTTGCTGTAACTGTTTTTTTTTTCAGCAATATGTTCGTTAACAATTTATCGTCATTATTCCTTTGGATTAAAAGAGCATTTTAACAGCAAAGCGTTCATTACTGACAAATGTTTCTTAGAATACAGTAATAAGAAATGTGCGAATAAAATACCTTTTTAGATATTCCTTGAGGTACATCTCTGTTGGGAAATGGTAATCAACACAATATTCTTTTACTAAATCCAGGTTCAAGACTTGTAGTTTGATCAACCGTTCCAGTCGTTTATCATCTTTCATTCTGAAGAATTCATCATATGGCACCTGAAATGCAATTACATATTTTCGAGTTGCCTGAGCTGTTTACCGAGAACGAAATAGAGGGAGATAGGGGACTAGCTACGATGTCCCCCGCAATTAGGAAAGGGAAAGTGATTGTTTAACGTTTATGTCTAAGCACGACTAGAATTTTTCAAACATTTTCATACCCAAAAGAGAAACATCACCAACAGCTCCACAGTCCAAAGGTGACTGTTTGGTGCGCCATATAGCGGTATCATTATTTGAAGATGAAAACGGTCATGCATTGAACGTCAATTCCGAACGTTACAAGACAATGATTGACAATTTTTTTCGCTCCTATTATAAGAACAGAACGAAGATTTAACAGAAACGCATGGTTTCAACGGCATGGGGCCACTGCCCATACTTCCAGAGGATCGATGGACACGGTGAAAGCACTTTTTCCTCAAAAAGTTATATCGAAGTTTGGAGATATTCACTGGCCTCCTTTGTCACCCGACCTCACGCCATGCGATTATTTTTTGTGCGGTTATCTAAAGTCAAAAGTCCTCGAGGAAAAAATGTTACATAGAAGACCCCCCCTTAAAATGCGGTGCTGTGTATGATGTTTCATTTTTGGTCACGACTTGTGAATCATCCTGAATACAGAGTGTAGTCAATAAATGGTATTGTACTACTATGCTAAAGGCGAAAACTGTTGTTTTTCAAAAAAATTTCCAGTGGAAACCGAGGAACAATCCTTGGTACCTTCAGCTAATAAATCGGTAAATGCCTTAGGATATTTTGATACTACACACGTACCTTTCCTTGAATTTGATCCCGCATCTTTTTCCACCATTTGCAATGGAGCCCTTGCTTGACCAAGGTCGCTTTCCCCTTCCAATTAACCTCTTCCAAGTGAGTAACAGCTCTCAAACCCACAGCGCATATCAACTGGAATTTCTTGAATTGCCTCTTGTAATTTCTGAGCAAATATTCCAACAGTTTAAGATAATCCGTCCTTCTCAGTAATAGCAAACGGAAAAGCAGATCGCCATCCACTTCTTCTGCATTTAGCACAGCAAGGATCAATTGAAAGACGCATTTGTCTTCGGCCTCTTTCAGAGATTGTTCGATTTGGGGATCAGCATCTGGATCGGTGAAGCAGGATTTCAGGGTCGTTATTAAATTGAAAGCGGTCAATTGGAGACCTTCCCTGCACATGTTGTTGACAATGAGCGGTAAAGATGTCATTTGATACAAAATGTCTTCCTAAAATAGGAGAAATTATGTTTATCAGATTCAATATAATGTTATACAGGGTGTCCCAATATTCCGTGGACATATACTAAGTGACATATAAATCCGAACACCCAGTTTAAACGGTTTTATTTTAATAAAAGTTGGTGAATGTATTTATCTTGCTGTAAATAACAAGTGAAAAAATTTTCAGCCTTATCAGTTGGACATTCCGGTTTTTATACTGCTTTTTTTTGCAGTAAAGAATCAACGTTGGCGGATTTTGATGCCTCACATCAGAATGATGTTATTTTTAAAAAATGTGTCTACTTTATTAAAAATATAAATTATCTTCCCTACGCTTCGCAGTTTCTTTTCTATGATTTTTTAAAAGCCGCTCAACTTAATGGGCCACCCTGTATAAGAAACTCCAGTAAATAAGATGAACATTAAGAAATGCTTCAAAAATGTGAGTATTCAAGTTTTTGTCTGTCTCGAAATAAATAAATTACCAGTGTAAAAGCAGCCATGTTCAAATTGTAGCCTTTGATGTAAGTCATATGCGTTGAATGATTTGATCCTAAAAAAGAATTTGTCAATTATTATACAGTCTTTTGAATTCAATTGTTTTAACGACAGAAAAACAATCTCACCTTTGCTACTGACATATATTTCCAGATAGTTTTTTACCTCGCGGAACACCACACTGCTCGCACTAGGTTGTTCATGGTAAATTTTACCGAATATTTCAGTGTCTGGTATATCGTTATATTTCGTTAAAAAGAAATAACAATCTATCCACTTAAACACCTCCATTATTTTGCGAAAAGTTGGCCTTTCTGCTTTCACTAGTGCTTTTGCTACTAACTCCCGCGATAACCTGTAATAATTCATTTAAATATATGTAGGGATTCCCAGAATATAAGAAAAATCTCTAGGATGCATGCAGGTCACAAAAAAATTATAGTAAAGGCTCTTATGAAAAGTGTCCACCCCTCCGAAAATGCAGTATTTGAATGCAAGTTTTAAATTTGAAACAAAAATAGTAGAAAATAGTCAAACAAAAAAAAAATAAATCACATGAGCACAAGAAAAAACTGAACTAAATGGACTCCAGCAGCTGACTTTTCATTAATTTCTTAAAAGAAACAACCTGTTTGGATCGATAGCCACTGTTAACTGCATTGTAATGCTTGACAGCATTATAGGTGTAACTTCTTTCAAAGACCGAGGTATTGTGAGGAGGCATGTTAAAATTAGCATTAAATCTAAGAGCTCTGGTAACAAAACTACCTCGGTGAACTAATTTGCTAGCGAGGTAAGCTGGTCTGTTAGATAATAGAACTTTATGCGTGAAGACGGTCAAAGGATATAAAAATAACTTCGCAAAATTCGCAACCAGTTGAGTTCTTTGATTTTATCTGAGACGCGACTAAACTTGCGCAATCCAAAAATAAACCTACAACAGCTGTTCTGAATTTTCTGGAGTTTCCTTTTGTGGACGTAGTCTAAACATGGGTAATACAGAACAAGAGAGTAAGAAATGACAGCCAACACAAGACTTTCAGCAAGCTTTTTTCGGGTTTTAAAATTCAAGATGTATCGATTAGAATCGAGGAGTTTCAAACGCAAATACGTTACTCTAGATAAGAAAGAGACATGCCGATCGAATCTCATATTTAAGTCAAGGGTAACACCGAGATTCTTGGCGTAATCCAGAAAAGGGATGAGTGTCTCATCTAAAAAAACACAAACCCTCTGCTTCATTTCACGGTAGGAGTTCTTCGAACAGTACAACATTGCAGTAGTTTTATTAGGATTGACCTTCAAGCAGTGTTTGTTACAGTAATCACCGATGTTAGCCAAATCTAAATTAACTTTAAAAGAAACTTCATCAACCTTTGATGGATCGAAACCAAACACTAACTGAGTATCATCTGCATAAGTTTGCATACTACAGTGGACTAAACAGTCTTGCAGATCGATCGTATAAATCAGATATAGTAAGGGACCTAATACTGAGCCCTGAGGAACTCCTGAAGGAACTGGCTCAGAGGAGGAAATTCCCTGATCAGTTTTCACTGTTTGTTGACGATTTAGCAAGTATGACTCAATGAACCTTAGAACTATATCTGACATTCCATAATGAGATAACTTACTCAGTAGTATCTGGTGATTGACCATATCAAAGGCTTTCGAGAAATCTAACAGTACCAAGACGGTGTTGATGTGATTATCTAAATTGTGAATGATGGAATCAGTAAGATGTAATAAAGACGAAGTAGTGCTGTAACCAGCTCTGAAACCTGACTGATGTAAAGGAAATAAGTGGTTTTGTTCGAAAAACTCCACTAGTTGTGAGTAGGCAGCTCTTTCGAGTATTTTTGATAGAAAGCATAATAAGGTAATTGGCCTGAGATCCGAATATTGTTCTGGATGATTAGTTTTAGCTATTGGAATAATAATACCATTTGTCCAACTGGCAGGAAAGTAACCTGTTTCGAGACAGACATTAATAATGTGAGTTATATGGTCTATGGTATCAGGCAAACATAAGCAAACCATATTTTAGACCATCAGAGCCACATGCCGTAGACTTAATCTGAGAGATTATATTGACGATGTCTTGCTGAGTAAGGAGTTTAAAAGCAAACAGAGGTGCATCCGGTGTATGGCGTCTATCGCTATAAGAGTTAGAGACACTATCAATCAAATTTGGATCAGCTGCAGCTGTCTGGAAAATTGAAAGAAAATAATTATTTAAAATGTTAGGCTCAAGGAGACTGGGAGGTATCGCAACATGTTTCTGGGCTACCACATTCATCCTCCTCAGGTGTTTCCAAGCTTGACTAGAGTTAAGATTCCGGAAACGTGACATATATGCTTTTTTCTCTCTTCTAAGCGATGCAAGGGCATAATTTCTCAAATCTTTGTAGCTGGCCCAATTCTGATCAGATCTGTTATGCTGATAGACAGCGAATGCCTCATCTCTGAGTTGCAAAATCATTTTCAAGTTAGGAGTGAGCCAGGGCGCAGCAGGTTTTGTGACACGTACTGTACGTAGCGGAGCGTAGAGATCGAATAGATAAAGAAGACGGCCAGTAAAAATAGTGACTTTAATATCCACATCATTCACGAAATAAATGTCATTAAGCTGCATTGATGCAATCTGCGTCTTAAAACTTTGAATATCAATGCTATTAAGATTTCTATATGTTACAAATTCAGGCTCTATTTTTTTATAACAAACGGAAATATCACAGTATGTGAGCCGATGATCACTAATTGAGTCTGCATTGAGTGTCCCTGACCTTTTGACGATAGTATTGTCACTAACAAATATTGGATCAAGTAATGTGGAACTGAAGGTTGTAACACGTGTAGGCTCATCAATGACTTGAATGAATCAAAGCAGCTGCTGAGGATGTTGTTATGAGCAAGCAAGTCGACATTCATATCGCCCAAGAATATATTGGGGAGTGAAAAATGAGATAAGATTTTCTAAACACTGGATGGCTTGATGTATAGAGCAATGTGGTGGCCTATATATAACAACAATTAACATACTGGACCCGTGCAGTTTAAATTTATAGCATAACATTTCAAGAGGATTTATAAAGTCATCGAGCTCAACTGGGATAAGATTAGTCCTAATATCTAATTTAACATAGAGACCGATGCCACCCCCTCTGCTCCCACGGTCCTTACGGAAGAAATTGTACCCAAGTATATTGACTACAGTGCTGTCAATACTGGAATGCAGCCATGTTTCAGTGACTGCTACAACATCAAACTTATATTGAACAAGAGAGGCAAAATCATTAAAGTGAGCTGTTAGAGAACGCACATTTAAGTGACATAGTTTCAAGACACTTTTTATAGTGTTAGCCATAATCCACCCTTTCTTTTAGAGTTTGAACATAATTGAGAAACACAGGACAGTTTGGAAAATTAGCCGAATGATCAACTGGTAGAATCTTCTTGTATACCTTGTTATGGTTCAGGCAATTTACGCATTGAAGGGCGCTCGAGTTACACTCCTTGATTTTATGATTTCGCGTACACCTTGGGCAGGACAGATCAGATCACAAGATGCTTCAGAATGACCAAACGCACAGCATTCGAAACACTTTAATATGCGAAAGTGATCAGAGATAGGTGATCAGTTTCATAAAATAATACTGTTTTTGATACGACCATTAAATAACATATTAGTAGGTATTCATACAGACCTGACAGCTATTGCTTCATTTTCAGTTTCCTCCACAGCATTGACAGTTCCCAGATTCATTGACATGTTAAACGTTTCCTCCAACATATTTGTGTGGCCCAAATACTTGAGTATCAGTAGCGCGGCTGAGCAAAGGTACTCAGGGTCGGACTCGTTCTCGTTCAAATGTGTGGATACCTTTATTACGTACTCAAGTTTGCCGATTCTGTCGCAAATATCAATTAGAACTTTATCTTCATCCAGTAAAAAGTACATCGCTAGTTTTTTAGAAAATTGCAGGAGATCATCGAACGTTGACGAGTCTGTAAAGAAAACAAGTTTCAATACGATAAATGTTGGTCTGCATATGAAACCAACTTGGCGATTTTCACTCAGCATCAAGCGTTGATTACAAGATACTTCTTACCAAATTGAATTTGTCTGGTTCCACTTGACTTTCTTTATTAAAGCAATACATAAAGTACGTTCTAGTTCTCATTGTCCACAATACCAAATACCTTGCAAGCGTTGATTACAAGATACTTCTTACCAAATTGAATTTGTCTGGTTTCACTTGACTTTCTTTATTAAAGCAATACATAAAATACTTTTTAGTTCTCATTGTCGACAATACCAAATACCTTGCAAGCGTTTTGAATTTCGAACAAACTTTACCTGTACAATAATATTCTTCAATGTTTTCTATAATGTCATCATATATAGCCTTTCTTCTTTTCACCCTCAGCCAATCGAATATCTTGAATTCCTTTTGAAACATTTTGTTGGCATTATAGACTCCACTGATCACATTGTAGTGTTCTTTGTGGCTCGTTTTCTCATAATCCGTATCAGACATCATCATCAACTTGTCGAATATAAACTTAAGGGAACTGTAGAAGTTGTCTTTAAAGTCCTGTTTGTGATACTGTCAACAAATCATAAATGGTCATTTTTTCCACAATATTTTTCATCAAAACTGTAGTACTAGTACAGCAATCACACATTAATAAACTATTCTGATCTTTCTGAAAGTGTTAAAAATTCGAAGTATTGGAAAGCTGAAGTTCAGCCTTAATACTAAAAGTTTTAATGATTCTAGCTGAAATCCGCAATAAAAAAAGCAAGATGGAGAGTTTGTTTTGTTCCTTCTTCAATTTAGATTAAGATGTATTTGAATTACACTCACCTTTGCAAAGAAAACTGTCTCACAGTGGATTAACATTTTTTTACATACAGCTTTCGTACAATGTTGGGTGAAGATGTACTCCATTTTTTCCATATCACTAAAAAAATAAGATACCCGAACATGAGACTAGTTTCTATGTTTGCTTGTTGAAGATTTATTTAGCATAAATGCTACAATGGCAACTTTGTATAATTATTTGTTTACACATTTTTTTGAATAAATTTACTGAAATTTTACATTCTTGCCTATTCTAATTACATCACTATGCACTTTGAGTACTCATAAAGTGATTTTTTAATTTCACTTATTGAAATAAAAAGAGATATTTTCGTGTGTTTTTGTTTTCCATCTGAACAAATTGAGATATATAATTTTTTTTCTAATTATCTCGAAAACGAATCGACCGATTTAAAAAAATCAAATGTCAAAATAAAGAACTTCAAAAGACCTTTCAAACAAGCTATTACTCGATACCCCTCGTCACTTGAAATTTCAAGGGGAGGACCCTGGGGGGGAGAGGGTGAAAGGGGGTGGAGTAGTTTCTGGTTAAAAAGTTGTCCCCCTTGACAAGTCTTTTGACGTGTCTCGGCGTTTTTTCTTTTAATCAGTGGTTTTCGATTTCGAACTTTAGTTTTTTTTTACTTAATATACTAAGTGACATATAAATCCGAACACCCAGTTTAAATGGTTTTATTTTAATAAAAGTTGAATGTATTTATCTTACTGTAAATAACAAGTGAAAAAATGTTCAGCCTTATCAGTTGGACATTCCGGTTTTTATACTGTTTTTTTTTATTCATTAACGCTCTAAAAATGAATATTTCAGCCGCAGTAAAGAATCAACGTTGGCGGATTTTGGTTCTTGACATCCTTTACGATCGGTTACGATGCCTAGAGTACGGAGACCTGTACGATTTCGTCAACTTAGTGAGTTTGATAGGGGCCGTATAGTGGGACTTCGGGAAGCTGGACTTTCTTTTCGGACAATTGCAGTTAGAGTGCAAAGAAGTGTAGACACTGTGGTTAGGTGTTGTCAGGCATGGCTTCGAGAAGGCCGTACGCAAAGAGCAAGGGGCACTGGACGCCGCCGTAGAACAACAGACCGTGAAGATCGCTGCCTAAGATTATTGGCCTTAAGGGACCGTTTCTCCACTACCAGGTCCATTGCAAATGAATGGTTTGCAGAACACGGAAGACCTATTGGCATACGAAGTGTTTACCGACGAATGAGAAGTTTTGGCTTGTTTTCATACCGGCCACACTGGGTCCTCCCTTTAACTCGAGAACACCGACGTAATCGCCTTGAGTGGTGCAGACAACGGTCACTCTGGGATCAGGAATGGAACAGTATTGTCTTTAGTGACGAGTCTCGATTTTGTTTAGGCATGCACGATGGTCGTGCCAGGGTTAGAAGGCGACGTGGTGAAAGGAGGAATCCACAGTTTTTTGTTGAAAGACATGTTCATCACACTGTTGGAGTTATGGTTTGGGATGCTATAGCTTATGGTTTCAGGTCACCTTTAATCTTCATCAGAGGTAACATGAACGCGCAGCGTTATATCCACGAAGTTCTAGAACCCCATCTTTTACCCTATCTTGACACCCTGGCAGATCCAACTTTCCAACAAGATAATGCCCGACCACATGTTGCAAGAGTCACAATAGACTTCTTTGAACATAATGATGTCACATTGTTACTATGGCCACCAATATCTCCCGACTTATCCCCAATTGAGCACGTGTGGGATATGATGGGTAGGAGATTGCTCAATTTGCAACGTCCTCCTCAGACTCTAGAAGCACTTCGAGAGGAGTTGGTGGTTGCCTGGAATGAGATACCACAGGAGGACATTGACCACCTGATCAGAAGCATGCCTAGGCGCGTTGGAGAATGCGTAGCACATCAGGGTGCATCCACACATTATTAAAGGTCAAAGGGCTTTAAAGCAATGCAATCATTTTGAAATTTTTATCATTACTTATTATGCTTCATTAAGTACTTATACAAAATTTTATTAAAATAAAACCATTTAAACTGGGTGTTCGGATTTATATGTCACTTAGTATAATTTTGTAAAATGTTTAATACTGATCCTTTAAAACCATAGTGATGTAATTTCGTTAACAATTCTTCCCTACCTATAGTCTCAAATGGGCGTCTAATCATCCATCAATACTTACCCAATACCAATATAGTGCTTTAGCAGACAAAATGATGCTCTGTCTCTCAGTTTTCCTGTATTGTATACTTTAAATACATCTTCTATCAGTGTTGGTTCATTTACATATATCATGCGATTAACTATTTGATCTGCCTGAAAGACGGAAATATTTGTAATGAATTTGTGTATACAGTGTATTTATTGAACGTGAAAAAAATTCTATGGATCATTCTCTTGGCTGTTGTACTTTTTATTAAATAACGATGCATATTCCACATTTTGAGCTATGTGGAGTGAAAAATTAAGCTTATGGTCAAAAACTACATCCAAATCCTTAATTGAATTATAACGATTTATGTAACCATCCCCAATATTATAATTAAATTTACAAACAGACGTTCACCTGGAACCTACACCACACTTAGACGCATTAAGAAATAAAGTTTTCTCGTCACACCAAACCACTAAAGCATCAATAAAATCAACCTCATACTCAATAATTTTGAATCATCCGCAAAGATGAGTTTATTACAACTTAAATATTGCAGCAATAAATAAGGAAAACAATAAAGGACCAAGGTTTGAACCGTGAGGCACTCCCGCTTTAGTTGCATATTGGTACGCCTTGAAGTCATTGAAAATAACATATTGCTTCATTTCATGAAGATATCTTTGAATGAGTGCTAAAGCTGATGATCGAATCCATAATCAGAAGGCTTAGGTGCCAACTTCAAGGTGTTGAATGAAATACTTCAATATTTTGATTTAACAACTTACCCTGCCAACATCCTTATGATTGTTCACGTTGATTTCGTACACAGGCTTTTTGAGCACAATGAATCCAGGCTCTTCTTCCAGCATACTGATTATTTCTTCAGCCATATAATGATTACAATGGACCACCGCACTCAATGCTATCCTTTTTGTAACGTCCATCCAAGGCACTGGTGCGGTAATAAGGATATCTTTCACTGCTTGTAGCTTTACTGTCATCGAGTCGATGTATTTAATGATAGTTTCTATCATTGCCATCCACGTGTTGCCGTATTCCAAGAGTTGCTAAAAAATCATAGTTGTTAGTTGGGATTTGTCGTGGATGAATTTAAGTTACTTTTGATGAATCCAGATTGAGTACATAATAGTCAAACTACCAATTCAATGCCTTACCTTAATTTTCTCATAAATAATTTTATTTGGGTCGAACTGATTCTGAATGATGTAACTGTAGAGAAATTCTTCGAAAAATATATCGTACTTTTCAGGTTTCATCACTATACCTAACAGAGTGGTAATCAAGTCTTTTGGACCCTGTAATAAATTAGAATAAAACGTACCCACGGAAGACAACGATACTAAACTTCAAAAATACGAGTACGCTGTTAGTGTTTACTAGTAATATCGCTATCGCGTTATTCCACAAAAACGCCTAAAAACTAAAGATGACACGTCACCTATGAGTAGTTTCGCTGGAGAAACAACTCACAGGTGCGCCTTTGTTTTTCGCACAACAACCCATATTATATTTATTTTCATTCACAGAAACAGCTTTCCAGTTGGTAACTGAGAATTGGAGAAGAGCCATAGACTGAGAAGAAGCTGTCATAGCAATATTTTTGGATTTGAAGAGGGCATTTGAAACGATTGATAGAGATATTTTGTTAGGTAAATTGAAGGCATATGGTATAACAGGAAGTGTTTTAGATTGGTTTAGAAATTATTTGTCTAAAAGGATGCAAGTTACAAAAGTTAATGACACTATTTCATCAAAAATTGAAAATACGTTGGGTGTTCCACAGGGCAGTATCCTGGGACCACTTCTTTTTATTTTATACATAAATGATTTACCTGCCATAGTAAAAAAATGCAAAATTCAGATTTTCGCCGATGACACTATGATTTATATAAGTAGTAGTAGTAGTAGTAGAAAGATTTATTTAGCACATTTGGCTACATAAACAGAACAATTGTAAACAACTTAGAACTAGTAAATTCAAGCCATATGGTGTATGATGTGAATGCTGGGCAACCTAAAATTGTAGATTTAACAAGTGATTTCTCAATTTTACTTTAAATTTTGTCAAAGTTTTCTGGTCTTTTATCTCCGAGTATAATTTATTATATTCAATCAACCCTTGATGGAATACAGATTTGTAGCATATGTTATACTTTTTGGTCATTAAATGGAAGTCATCTTTATTTCTGGTATTATGTAAATGATGGTCGACATTTGATGATGTTAAATTAGTTAGACTTGATGGAAATATATTATTTTTTACTTTATAAATGAATATCATTACAAGATATTTGATAAAATTTTTTACATTGAGCCATTTTAATTTGCTAAGCATTTGCCTAATTGGAGTATATTTATCTTTATTTAGTATTATTCTCATGCACTTATTTTGTAAAATTTGCAGTCTTTCAAAAATGGAATTATTTGCTAAATATAGAATAGTCGAACAGTACAAGAAATTTGGAAGAATGATGGTATTATAGATAATTTTTCTGCTATATGAACTCAGACATCCAGAAACTCTCGATAAATATCCCACTTTACTACTAATCTTATTTATAACTTTTTCATAATGAATATCAAAAATTAATCGAGAGTCAACAAAAACTCCCAGGTATTTAAAATTTTCTACGAATTCAATATCTTCACCATCAATATTCAGTTGAACATTTGTACATTGTTTTTTTCCGATTAACAAGGCTTTCGTTTTACTTGCATTTAATTTTAGTCTGTTAGATGCTAACCATTTTGAGACAAGCTTCAAGTCTTCATTTATATAAGAGATACCAGACTGAATATTTTTAGTACTTATATAAATCATAGTGTCATCGGCGAAAATTTGAATTTTGCATTTTTTGACTATGGCAGGTAAATCATTTATGTATAAAATAAAAAGAAGTGGTCCCAGGATACTGCCCTGTGGAACACCCAATGTATTTTCAATTTTTGATGAAATAGTGTCATTAACTTTTGTAACTTGCATCCTTTGAGACAAATAATTTCCAAACCAATCTAAAACACTTCCTGTTATACCATATGCCTTCAATTTACCTAACAAAATATCTCTATCAATCGTTTCAAATGCCCTCTTCAAATCCAAAAATACTGCTATGACAACTTCTTCTGAGTCTATGGCTCTTCTCCAATTCTCAGTTACCAACTGGAAAGCTGTTTCTGTGGAATATTTTTTTCGAAAGCCTGCTTGCGCCTCCACTAAAATTTTGTTTTCTTCTATAAACTGCATTAATTGGTCATGCACTATGGACTCTAATAATTTTTCAATGTCTGGTAACACATTTACTGGTCTCATATCGCTGCATCTTTTAGAATTTTTTATCTTGGGAACTGGTGTTATTGTAGAGCATTTCAAATTTTCAGGAAAAGAACTGCTTCTCAGTGAACAATTGATCCAATTTAATACAGGATATCCCAAAATTTCGAAACAGTTTTTCAGCACGTTTTTAGTAATCATTTCGGCACAGTTGTTATTTGATTTTAAACTGTTTACTTTTTTTCTTAGATAATTCAATGATACGCTGTGAAATTTTGAAAGTGTATGCAACATTAAGTACTAAAAATATTCAGTCTGGTATCTCTTATACGTAGTCATGCCATAAGTTCTGTCCCTCGTTTTCAAACAAGTGTAGACCTGTTAATACTTGTCCGATTGTTTACATTGTGGTGTCAGTTGATTAAGCGCTTTTCGGGTAATTACATATACCTCAGTTTGTATTGATCTCTCGAAGCATAACGATGGAGTGGGGCAAGGCAGAGAACCGTATTGCAGTGATAGCTTTACATAAGTGTAATCACAGTGCTAGTCAGATTTTTGAACTCTTACGCGGCCTTCAAATATCGCGTAAATTTGTGTCTAGGACCATTCAGCGGTACAATGAGACGTCCTCTGTTGATGACAGGCCAAAGCGGAAGACCTCGTCAAGTAAGGACTCCAGCAGCCATCAAAGCCGTAAAAGCCAGGATTCAAAGGAATCCACTCCGGAAGCAGAAGATCCTATCCAGGGAAATGAAGATTCCTGTCCGGACGATGTCGCGCATAATTAAACAAGACCTAGGGCTAGGGGCTTACCGGAGACGTACGGGCCAGCGACTTACGGCCACCTTGCGACACATCAGGGCGACAAGATCCAAGAAGCTCTTGGAGAGGTACGCAGCTGGGGGATTCCGAAAGATTTTGTTCACGGATGAGAAAATCTTCACCATAGAAGAAAAATTCAACCGACAAAATGACAAAGTGTATGCAAGGAGTTCACAGGAAGCTTCGGAGATCATTCCGAGAGTTGAGAGAGGCCACCACCCTGCGTCAGTCATGGTTTGGTGGGGGGTGTCCTACGAAGGGGTCACTCAGCTCCATTTCTGTAAACAGGGCGTGAAAACAAAAGCGGCAAACTATCAGAGCGACATACTGGATCCTATCGTCAAGCCTTTAAGTGGTACATTGTTTGCCAACCAACACTGGGTCTACCAGCAGGATTCCGCCCCCGCTCACAAGGCTAAGAGTACGCAGCGCTGGCTGGAAAGCAATGTGCCAGAGTTCATTGCTGCGGAAGATTGGCCCTCAGGGAGTCCGGACCTCAATCCTTTAGACTACAAGTTGTGGGACCTGCTAGAGCAGTTGGCCTGCTCCAAAGCCCACCGTAATATCGAGTCCCTGAAAGCGGATTTGATCCGATCAGCGGCAGCTATTCCTTTGGAAGCTGTGCGTGCAGTGATAGATGAGTGGCCCGCGAGATTGAAGCAGTGTGTGAAGGCCAAGGGGGGACATTTTGAATAAAACTGTTTGATTATGAATTCTAAAAATGTTGTCGAATAAATAATATCTTTCATATAAATATATCTTATCTTGTTTCATTTTTATCATGAGATTATCATGGGACAGAACTTATGGCACGACTACGTATAAATGAAGACTTGAAGCTTGTCTCAAAATGGTTAGCATCTAACAGACTAAAATTAAATGCAAGTAAAACGAAAGCCTTGTTAATCGGAAAAAACAATGTACAAACGTTCAACTGAATATTGATGGTGAAGATATTGAATTCGTAGAAAATTTTAAATACCTGGGGGTTTTTGTTGACTCTCGATTAATTTTTGATATTCATTATGAAAAAGTTATAAATAAGATTAGTAGTAAAGTGGGATATTGATCGAGAGTTTCTGGATGTTTGAGTTCATATAGCAGAAAAATTATCTATAATACCATCATTCTTCCAAATTTCTTGTACTGTTCGACTATTCTATATTTAGCAAATAATTCCATTTTTGAAAGACTGCAAATTTTACAAAATAAGTGCATGAGAATAATACTAAATAAAGATAAATATACTCCAATTAGGCAAATGCTTAGCAAATTAAAATGGCTCAATGTAAAAATTTTTATTAAATACCTTGTAATGATATTCATTTATAAAGTAAAAAATAATATATTTCCATCAAGTCTAACTAATTTAACATCATCAAATGTCGACCATCATCTACATAATACCAGAAATAAAGATGACTTCCATTTAATGACCAAAAAGTATAACATATGCTACAAATCTGTATTCCATCAAGGGCTGATTGAATATAATAAATTATACTCAGAGATAAAAGACCAGAAAACTTTGACAAAATTTAAAGTAAAATTGAGAAATCACTTGTTAAATCTACAATTATAGGTTGCCCAGCATTTACATCATACACCATATGGCTTGAATTTACTAGTTCTAAGTTGTTTACAATTGTTCTGTTTATGTAGCCAAATGTGCTAAATAAATCTTTCTACTACTACTACTACATATTGTTTTCCATCATCTGTCTAAAATCACTAGACCTATATCGGACTGATGATTGCTAAAACGCATAAAACAAGGTTGCATACAGTTGGTTACAGTCACAGAGATAGATGCTATTCATTCGAGATATTGTGATAGCTACAGACCTGTAAGTATGTCACTAGAGACACTTTGATACCATACGAATTCTTGAGATTCTGCAATATCTTCAATCCATCTATCAATTTACGAAGATCATTTATAGGTTTCTGATACAGAGTGCATTGCCACTGAAACAGTATTGAGTTTTTCTCGTCTACCCTCAGTAATTTAAAAATAATGTTGGCAAAATCAATCCCATTCTCTGGGAAGTGTTCGGCGTCTCTTTCCTCGAAGTGTACGATCTTGTTCCGCAACCAATCCACAAAAATCGGTAGTGCAGACGGTCTATGTGACATAGTCACTGGGATGAATGTTGATAAAAACTGAGTGCACTTAGTCGTGGGTAGCTAAAACAGGATTTAATTGATTGCTCTTTTGAACGCAAAATAAGAGAACTGATAAAGACAAGTATTTCAACACCGGAACTGTAAAATAAGTTAGAAGCAGACCATTTTTTGTACGCAATTGGACCATTAATTAAAAACTGTAAAGTCGCAACAATTCTACAAATCAAATGAGAATTAATATGATATTATGGTTGGACCAAGATTGTTGAATCTTTTTGAAGTATGAATCAGAGAATGTTTGTTGCTGTTCGATCATATGTTTACAAAATGTTACAAGAAATATATTTATTTTAGTGCTTATGTGCAATGAAATAATATACTTACATTATTGATTATCGTTACTATGTCTTCAATGTTCTCTTCCGTCATATCTTTTCCTATTGTGTCTTGATTTAATCTGCTATAAACAATTATTGCGTCTTCAACGATGTGCTGAAACAGTTAACTTATTAAATAACTCGTAGGATTGTCGGAAAAATGAATTTCTGAACTATGTACAGATAAAATCAAAGGACTAGTTGAAAGATCTCAAAAAATTCACAATGAAATAATACTGAATCGATGTTTCATATTTAAAAAAGACTATAGTGGATGAGAAGGATGCGCCCATATAAAAATATGAGTCACAAAATGTTAACGAAAATCCCGAATATCTAATATTCGTCTAATCATATACACCACTTATTCGACAACAAAGAATGAGACAACGTGTTTTTTGGGATTCAATCAAAAGTGTTGGCAGGAACGAAAAAACTCTTCGAGTAAGGTTTTTAGTTATTTATGAGAACTACCGAAAGAGACCACTCGTAAAAAAAAAAGTTGTGGGCGAAAACTGAGGCAAGACATACCGATATTTAAGGGGGGTATTTTTCAGCTATTTTTATCGACAAATAGACCCCCCTACAATGTCCTACCTCACCCCCCTTGAAATGGCAGCCATTTTTATTTTTACGTTACGATTACACTAGTGCGTGTATGGAAATTGTAATAACTGAGAAAATAAGAGTCATAGAATGATAAATTTGGTGCCATTTGAACGATAACATGTTGTTCTAGCGATTATTGAGAAACTTGTATTGATACTAACCGTCAAACATACTTAAAAACAGACAAAAACAGAAAAAAATATGCAAGAAAATTGATTATTTTGTGCATTTCCGCACACCATTCAAAAACTAGTTTGTGAAGTTGTACTTTTTTGTGCTAATTCTACAAATAGCTATATTATTTGATACTGTTTTTTTTTATTGAAATTCAACTGTTATCCTTCTTTTAATCTTTCCATATGTGTAGCATGCAGAAAAAATCTTACCTGCTTGAGGAAGTATTTCACTTTATTGATAAGATTGCAAGTGGCAAACTCGTTCCAAGAATTGATCGTATGTTTGCAAGAGAGAGCCATGAAAGTATCAAATTTGAAGAGTAACTCCGAGAGAAGTTGTCTTTGTAATTCCGCATCCTCATCCTAGAAAATGCAGTTATGACAAATTGATACTACACGATTGTAACAACAAACATCGGATTTTAAATAGCAGGTACATATTTAAGATTACCAGCCTGGAAGGTAACAGTTATCAGTTGAAGGCAAAATTGTTTTTAAAGTTCTGTCTAAATAACCGATAATTGTTGTTGTTGTTTTAAGACGCGTGACATTGGAGAGTTCGATTCCAGCATTAAGCTAGTGTATTATGGTATTTATCATTATTACATATAATAGAGGAGTTCAGCAAAGGCTATGAGCTCCAAAGATAAGAAATGGAACATAAGAAAAAATAATAAAGACGACATAAGAAAACTGTGGACCCATTTCAGGCAGCAGCGGTGGCCGCAGTAGTAGACTCTTCGGTCTCCTGATCAGTCGCCGTGCGCTGTGCGGGTTCGAATCCCGTCCCAGGAGAAATTTTTCTCTTGGCTATGGATTTTGTGATTGTCCGTAGGTGGTAGACGGTCTCTGACTGTCGAACGCGGAGGTACCACCCGGCGGATCTCGTAGGCGGGGCCAGAATGTGTGCATGTTGCATGCACACGTGTTCCCTCGCCAGAGTCCGTTCCCGCTTTCGCCTGTATCCCCCTATAGCCCCACGGTATCCCATGGGTGTTTAGGCCTTAGGCCTTCGTGGTGGTTGGAGTATAAAAAAAAACAATGTCGTAGAGCAGCCTGTTCCAATACGAGGGATGTCTTTTAATTTTTGCATATAGAAACATAGTAGGCCGCGCGGATCGAACGTCAGTACTGAATCTTAACCTCACTCTTTAGTAAACTTAAATTCAAAGTTTCACAACAATACGTGCAGTGTTCTCACTACAGTGAATTTTTAAGTGTGACCAAGTCATTAGAAAAATAGAACTCAACCGAGAACATTTTCGCGCCGTAATTTATTAGAACTTTCAGAGACAAGTATCGCAACAAGAATGCCTTGCTGAGTTACTGTCTGTTTTCGGCAACGAAGCGCCACATCAGTCGACCATTTCCCGTTGGTATGGAGAATTCAAACGTGGACGGGTGAGTCTTAGCGACGATCCCAGGGTGGGTACTCCAAAAACGGCAGTCACCCAGGAAAACGTCGATGCTGTGCAGAAACTCATCATTGAAGATAGACATGTGACATATCGCGAGATTGAGGCGTCCTTGAAGATCTCAAAGACCTCAAATCAAAAAAAATTACATGAAGAATTAGGAGTAAGAACATTAGTTTCTCGTTGGATGCCCCACCTATTGACTGAAGAGCAGAAAGCAGCCAAGGTTAATTGGTGTCAGCATTGTTAGTGGTGATGAATCGTGGATTTGCTGTTATGAACCAGAAAATAAACGACAGTCGGCTGTTTGGGTGTTCCCAGGTGAAGAAAAGCCAACAAAGGTCATCCGTTCTCGAAGTGTTTCGAAAACGACATTTGTGTCAAAAGCGGGTCATATTGCAACAATTCCTCAGCATTTGTTTGCCAAAAATCATCACCGAGCTTCGAAAAATCAACCCCAAAAGAAGAATCATCCTCCACCAAGACAATGCAAGCTCGCACACAGCCCAAAAAACAAATCAGTATTTAACGGAAGAAAACGTGGAATTATTGAACGATCCTCCACATAGTCCCGATCTAAGTCCTAACGATTTCTTTACTTTCCGAAAATTAAAAACAGACTGCGTGGTCAAAGGTTCCAGTCGCCAGAAGAAGCAGTTGACGCATTCCAAAATGCCGTTTTGGATCTGCCAGCAAACGAGTGGAATAAGTGCTTCGAAAATCGGTTCGAGCGCATGCAGATCTGTATTAATCTTCGTGGAGAATACTTCGAAAAATAATAAAGTCTTTTAAAACTACCTACCGTGTTGTTTTATTTCCATATGCAAAACTTAAAAGGCATACCTCGTAATAAGCATTACTGGCACATATATTTACCAACAGTTTTTCAATACTGAACCTGCAATTGAAAAACCGGCTTTAAAAATACTGATCCAAAATACCTTTTTTTCTAACGAAATACTGGATCCGTACTTATACAACTTTCTAAGATCAGCTAATTGCCTGCAATCAACTTTATTGCACACGCACAATTTAAACAGATCGTCTTGTATTCCATCTAACAGTACAAGTAAATGTTCAATGTCGTCGGTATCACAATCCGTTTTCTCGATTATTTGTTCTACTTTTGCCTTCAAAACAATTTCGTTGCTGATATTGAAAGTTTTAGCGAACTGTTCGGCTTCTTGAAACCTCTGCCTACGCACGAGTTTTTTGAGCCTTAATTCGGGTTCCACCTCGTAGATATATTGGAACCGCAACTCCAATCCAGTATCATTGTGAGCTTTCGATATTAGGTACATTTCGTCTGACACTATGCATGGCACCAGGTAGACAGGATGAAACAGCTGAACAGAAAATACTTGCGAGAAATCTGCAATAAAATTAGCAACAAATAGCACAATAGCATTGATCAACATATACTAAGTGACATATAAATCCGAACACCCAGTTTAAATGATTTTATTTTAATAAAAGTTGGTGAATGTATTTATCTTACTGTAAATAAGAAGTGAAAAAATTGTCAGCCTTATCAGTTGGACATTCCGGTTTTTATACTGCTTTTTTTTAATTCACTAACGCTCTAAAAATGAATATTTCAGCCGCAGTAAAGAATCAACGTTGGCGGATTTAGGTTCTTGACAGCCTTTACGATCGGTTACGATGCCTAGAGTACGGAGACCTGTACGATTTCGTCAACTTTGTGAGTTTGATAGGGGCCGTATAGTGGGACTTCGGGAAGCTGGACTTTCTTTTCGGGCAATTGCAATTAGAGTGCAAAGAAGTGTAGACACTGTGGTTAGGTGTTGTCAGGCATGGCTTCGAGAAGGCCGTACGCAAAGAGCAAGGGGCACTGGACGCCGCCGTAGAACAACAGACCGTGAAGATCGCCGCCTAAGATTATTGGCCTTAAGGGACCGTTTCTCCACTACCAGGTCCATTGCAAATGAATGGTTTGCAGAACACGGAAGACCTATTGGCATGCGAAGTGTTTACCGACGAATGAGAAGTTTTGGCTTGTTTTCATACCGGCCACACCGGGTCCTCCCTTTAACTCGAGAACACCGACGTAATCGCGTTGAGTGGTGCAGACAACGGTCTCGATTTTGTTTAGGCATGCACGATGGTCGTGCCAGGGTTAGAAGGCGACGTGGTGAAAGGAGGAATCCACAGTTTTTTGTTGAAAAACATGTTCATCACACTGTTGGAGTTATGGTTTGGGGTGCTATAGCTTATGGTTCCAGGCCACCTTTAATATTCATCAGAGGTAACATGAACGCGCAGCGTTATATCCACGAAGTTCTAGAACCCCATCTTTTACCCTATCTTGACACCCTGGCAGATCCAACTTTCCAACAAGATAAAGCCCGACCACATGTTGCAAGAGTCACAATAGACTTCTTTCAACATAATGATGTCACATTGTTACCATGGCCACCAAGGTCTCCCGCCTTATCCCCAATTGAGCACATGTGGGATATGATGGGTAGGAGATTGCTCAATTTGCAACGTCCTCCTCAGACTCTAGAAGCACTTCGAGAGGAGTTGGTGGTTGCCTGGAATGAGATACCACAGGAGGACATTGACCACCTGATCAGAAGCATGCCTAGGCGCGTTGGAGAATGCGTAGCACATCAGGGTGCATCCACACATGATTAAAGGTCAAAGGGCTTTAAAGCAGTGCAATCATTTTGAAATTTTTATCATTTACTTATTATGCTTCATTAAGTACTTATACAAAATTTTATTAAAATAAAACCATTTAAACTGGGTGTTCGGATTTATATGTCACTTAGTATATTTTACAACTATACATTTATAGGGTGTTTTAGTTAGGTGAGGGAGATATTTTAACCTTGGATAAAGCCACTGTGGTGATAAGTTGATGGGTCTGTAGCATCTTCTAACCGAGATACAGCGAGTTTAGTAGGTTTTGGCCATTTCTTTATGGCCTAACAACTTTTAAACCAACGATTAAATTTCTCGAACACTCTATGTACCAACATACAGGGTGATTCACAAGTCGTGACCAAAAATTAAACATCATACGCAGGACCGCATTTTAAGGGGGTCTTCTATGTAACATTTTTTCTTCAAGGGCTTCATTGAAAAGATACGTTGTATTGAAGTTTGAAAATAAAATAACAATTTTTTGTAATATCTTCAAAACTGTCAACGGGAATGAACTAAAATTTGGTGTGTGAATTTACCTAAGTATTGACCACATTCAAAAGGCTTTACTTAAAATTAACGTGCATCAGTGGCGGAGATGCAGGGGATTAGTGACATTATTTTTCCAAATAAAAATAGTACGCGCAATTTTTCGATTTTTACCTTGAATTTGCTACAAATAAGTACTCTTGTGTTTTTTTCCTAGAGTGAATTGTCTTCGTAAAAAAAAACAAATTGGACCATTCATGATACAAATAGTTTCATAATAAAATAGGAGACCTTGATACCAACTTGACATTTCTTGGGAGACAGCTTGTCAAAGCTATGTGTTATACGGTTGCTACGAGGGATGTCTTTTAAGTTTTGCATATAGAAACATATTAGGCCGCGCGGATCGAACGTCAGTACTGAATCTTAACTTCACTCCTTAGTAAACTTAAATTCAAAGTTTGGATACCCCACCTGTTGGCCGAAGAGCAGAAAGCAGGTTAATTGGTGTCAAAAAACGCTTGACCGTTTCAAATCCGTAAACTCAAAAAAGTGTACAGCATTGTTAGTGGTGATGAATCGTGGATTTGCTGTTATGAACCAGAAAATAAACGACAGTCGGCTGTTTGGGTGTTCCAAGGTGAAGAAAAGCCAACAAAAGTCATCCGTTCTCGAAGTGTGTCAAAAGCGGGTCATATTGCAACAATTCCTCTTAATAAGCGAATAACTGTTACTGCGGATTGGTATACCACCATTTGTTTGCCAAAAGTCATCACAGAGCATCGAAAAATCAACCTCAAACAAGGCAGTAAATAACTGAAGAAAACGTGGAATTATTGGACCATCCTCCATATAGTCTCGATCTAAGTCCTAACGATTTCTTTACTTTCCCGAAAATTAAAAACAGACTGTGTGGTCAAAGGTTCCAGTCACCAGAAGAAGCAGTTGACGCATTCAAAAATGCCGTTTTGGATCTGCTAGCAAACGAGTGGAATAAGTGTTTCGAAAATTGGTTCGAGCGCATGCAAACGTGTATTAATCTTCGTGGAGAATACTTCGAAAAACAATAAAGTCATTTAAAACTACCTACCGTGTTGTTTTATTTCGATATGCAAAACTTAAAAGACATCCCTCGTATAGTTACTAGTACGATTCTTTTTTTTTGTAAAAGTCAAGTCAAAAGTTTATTTTTTCCATTTTTCCATATCACATATATGATTACTAGATTTCAACTAACTTGGTTGCAGAAGTTTTATGAACATTTCGCCTTTCTCATTCTTTCTTGTAACGACAAATATCGATTCTTTTCCATTTTCCTCTAACACCAGTAAATCCTCCAATAAAGCATCATATTCAAGCTCAAAAGCAAGTGCTGTCAAACAGCATACTTTATAAAGATGCCCGTCATCACCTAAGCAGAGGAATTTGCTGAAATAACGAAATAAATAATGGAAAACTTGTCATATTTAAAACGTATGCTTTACTTTTTATCGTAAAAAAATCAGCGAATTCGCAATACTTGGTTTTTAGTCATTGCTGATGTTATGACTTTAGTTACTGGCATTAATATATTTGAAATTCTTATAAAATCTGACATACTCATAAAAACCTTATGGATAAAAAAAATCCATCTTTAAGTGACATAGAGTTTTAAAGTTTTACTTAAGAAATCGAGAAAATGTTCCTACAGAGCAGACACCGATTCAAAATCGTTTAACAAGTGGTATTAATGGCAAAGCAAGACAGATAAATATCATTTCCATTAACTAAAAGAGAGGCGTAGAAGCCGGAATAGTTCAAATATTTTGCAACCTCTGATAAAAGTTCGTTACTTCTAAACAAACATTGTTTTGGATATTTCATATAAGCTTAAATCAGAAAACACGTTGAAACTGAATAAGGGCTATACAATTGCCAAGCATGAAATCAAAGCTGAGTCATTACTTCAAAAATAATTCATGTAGTCATACATACTTCTCCAATGGGCATACACTTTTGATATGATAAGGCCCATCCGCTAGAACCGTATTTGTTTCTGTATTCACAATGGCGGATTTTGATCCATCTAACAGTACAAATGGATAACTATAACTGGCCGTATTCGTTTCAAAATCCAAGTCGAACATCTCGTCGACAGATGTATTTGACCGATCTCCTGTTTCTAGTTTTATTCTAAAAAAATAAAAATAAAAATAAAGGCATGGATCAATTAGGACGAATTATGATATAGAATGAGCTATTGTAACTACGAGGGATGTCTTTTAAGTTTTGCATATAGAAACATAGTAGTCCGCGCGGATCGAACGTCAGTACTGAATCTTAACCTCACTCTTTAATAAACGTAAAAAAAGACGCTATCTTTGAGTCCGATGTCCGGGCTTTCTCACGCAAAAATCGTCAGGTTCGTAGCTCCTTTATCTTCGGAGGAGATCTAAAAAGCGCGTCGAACGGCACGAAAATCTACCAATTTTTCAACTTTACCGGCCATTTTCGATAGCGTTCGTTCCTCCTACCGCGACAACTCTCGCTCCCCCGTAAAGCGCCGAGTTTCTAGTTTCCGAAACGGTATCGCTTTCCTTCCGAACGTTTCGCGAATCGGGAAAAAAACCGGAAAAACCGCGTCGACGTCATACGACAATTTCCGAACGCCTACCAATTATACCAATTCGAACAAAAGATCACCGCTTAATATCGTCGAATTCAAAGTTTCACAACAGTCTCACTACAGTGAATTTTTAAGTGTCACCAAGTCATTAGAAAAATGGAACTCAACCAGAAACATTTTCGCGCCATAATTTATTACAACTTTCAGATACAATTATCGCAACAAGAATGCCTTGCTGAGTTACTCTCTGTTTTCGGCAACGAAGCGCCGCATCAGTCGACAATTTCCCGTTGATATGGAGAATTCAAACTTGGACGGGTGAGTCTTAGCGACGATCCCAGGGTGGGTACACATGAAACGGCAGTCACCCAGGAAAACGTCGATGCTGTGCGCAAACTCATCATTGAAGATAGACATGTGACATATCGCGAGATTGAGGCGTCCTTGAAGATCTCAAACACCTCAATTCAAAAAAATTTACATGAAGAATTAGGAGTACAAAAATTAGTTTCTCGTTGGATACCCCACTTGTTGACTGAAGAGCAGAAAGCTGCCAGCGTGAATTGGTGTGAAAAAAAACCGTTTCAATTCCGGAAAGTAAAAAAATGTGTACAGCATTGTTAGTGGTGACGAATCGTGGATTTACTGTTATGAACCAGAAAATAAACGACAGTCGGCTGTTTGCGTGTTCCAAGGTGAAGAAAAGCCAACAAAAGTAATCCGTTCTCGAAGTGTTTAGAAAAAGATGCTCGCGACATTTGCGCAAAAAGCGGGTCATATTGCAACAATTCCTCTTAATGAGCAAAGAACTGTTACTGTGGATTGGTATACCACCATTTGTTTGCCAGAAGTCATCACCGAGCTTCGAAAAATCAACCCCGAAAGAAGAATCATCCTCCACCAAGACAATGCAACCTCGCACACAGCCCAAAAAACAAGGCAGTATTTAACGGAAGCAAACGTGGAATTATTGGACCATCCTCCATATATTCCCGATCTAAGTCCTACCGATTTCTTTACTTTCCCGAAAATTAAAACCAGACTGCGTGGTCAAAGGTTCCAGTCACCAGAAGATGCAGTTGACGCATTCAAAAATGCCGTTTTGGATCTGCCAGCAAACGAGTAGAATAAGTGCTTCGAAAATTGGTTCGAGCGCATGCAGATGTGTATTAATCTTCGTGGAGAATACGTCGAAAAACAATAAAGTCTTTTAAAACTACCTACCGTGTTGTTTTATTTCCATATGCAAAACTTAAAAGACATCCTTCGTATTGTAACAACTAATCAAAACATGAAAAATTCACAGAAGGTAACATGCCCCACTGTGTGAACAAATTGAGAAATAAAAAATGACGCGTTAGAAAAAATAGGATTTAGGATAAGCAAATTGAATTAAGGATATTAGAAATGGTTCTACTGAAAATAAAGCACTAGATATGCATTTCTTTCATGTTCATGTACCCTAAGCATAGCATGTTCAATTTCTCTCCTCTAGCGAAAGATATCTTCTTTAGACTCAGCGATATTCCTCGGAGTATTAACGTAAAATTTTCTCTTGGATACTACCCCAAGAAGAGTCAACAGATGCCAAATGTGCTGATCGCGGTGACCATGCAATATCGCCAAAGCATATAATCGGGTAATTTTCTTTCAAAAGTAATGCTTAAAAGACATTTTGTGTATGGGTTACGGACATGGTTTAAGCTAGATGACCTATACTGCAAGTGTTACTATGGACCTAGTTTCTGAGCTCTTTACACAGAAAAAACAGATTCCATGAGTACTTGCTGTGAAATGGACGACATCTATCTAAAGTGAAATATTTGAAAAATAATATCATCAAATATGTGCTTCATTCAAAAACATTTTTCTTAAATGTGTAGTATTTTCCCAATTTGATTTGGAAGTCCTACATGTTCTTTGGGACACTCTGTAAGTGAAATCTAAACTGAATCCTTGTTCTTAGACCATACCTTCCATATTTACAGCTTACCTGAAAATTTTCCCATTTCTCAGAATAACTAAAAAGCTAATGATTTCATCAAAACGAAGTTCAGTAAAAACTTTAAGGCATTCCTTATCGACACCATCACCAGAACTGCCGTCTACAATAGATCTGAAATGTATCAAATTATGGATCATCTACTGATATTGACGTGTACGTGGCGTGGTAATTAAATTTCGGGAATTTAGAAATACCTCGGGAACCAGTAATGAGTCGATATCACATTTGATTCAAGTTTAAAGCATATCTTTTAAAGTAACCTTATAGTAACGTCTCGTGAAATGATGTGAGTGACATGTTGCGATTCGTTTTTACATCTATCACAAAGGAGATCAAAGAAGCTGTAAATGAGGTGTAACAAGGGCACTTTTAACCGTAGGGGCAACTTTGGAGTCATTGTTAATGATAAAATTTTACACTAAACTCATTTGCTTATTTTTTTACTGATACATTCTCAGAACTTAATTGCCGCACCACGTACATATATCAAATTTGATGATTTCCCGTATTGAGAAGGATTCCAATAAAGCTTGTCATGTTTTTGCATTACGGGAATACTTACCCAGCTGTGACTAGTTTCACGTCATTAAAGTCTTGGATGTTAAAAACCTTGAAATTTGCATTGCTCAAGCAAACGATGAGAAACGCATCACCCCAAATGCTAATTCCAACAATTGGAAAGCTGAATGTTGCAGCAAATGCAATATTATTTAATGTTGTATCTTTAAATAATTTTAAAGAGGTGTTTGCACAAAATATGACTCTATTATTATTTATTATACAGTTGAGATTAACATCTGATACCTAAAACATTTATAAATATATAGTAATTGTGAAGGGGATTTGTTTAAAACTAGAAGCTAGTGTTGATACAGGGTTACCATATATCAATTTTTATAATGATATATTTGTTTGTTGGCTTGTAAAAAAATATTATCTACTTCATTGTTGGATGCCTTGTGGCTCACTTTCACCAAAACTATTAACAGGCTGGATCATTGGAAAGGTTAGAAAATAAAGAAAACAACTGTTTAAAATATGTGGTCAAATGGCAAATTGAGACTTATTTTCATCACTATGTAACTTGTTTTTTCAGCAGCTTCAAAAATATTTAGCAAATTCAACAATTTGAAGGAGCAGCAAGGGTATGCAGGAAAATTTTAATACAAATAAAGTCGGGTGATTTTGAGGTAAAAAAACTATAATGCACGTTTCTCCCGAGGTGTGTGGCCCATGAAAATCACATGGTAAGTTTCAGATGGTACACTTACATAAAATCATGTATCACACACTGAGAAAGGTGGTTTTTTCTCCTTATAATTTTGTTAACTTTGAAAACGCTGTATTAAATGTACATGGTCGCTTCAAAACGAGAACTACAATGAATCAGGCAGACAGAGCATGTGGTATGCAGTGGTGACAACTGTCTCATAAGCAATTTGTTTTAGGAAAGACAAGATTAGGCCTGTAGGGCAACAATGAACACAACAAAGGCTCATGAAGAAATGTGAGGCCCTTGAGATGATGGTGATAAAAATGTGAATATTTTTACTAAAATGATACTGTTCATGATTCTCATAAAAGAAATACATATTGCCAGTGTGGCAAACCAGAGTTGTCAATTCAACTGGGATTTTTATAGAAATAAAAATATCAAGTTACAAAAGTTAATGACACTATTTCATCAAAAATTGAAAATACGTTGGGTGTTCCACAGGGCAGTATCCTGGGACCACTTCTTTTTATTTTATACATAAATGATTTACCAGCCATAGTCAAAAAATGCAAAATTCAAATTTTCGCCGATGACACTATCATTTATATAAGTACTAAAAATATTCAGTCTGGTATCTCTTATATAAATGAAGACTTGAAGCTTGTCTCAAAATGGTTAGCATCTAACAGACTAAAATTAAATGCAAGTAAAACGAAAGCCTTGTTAATCGGAAAAAACAATGTACAAATGTTCAACTGAATATTGATGGTGAAGATATTGAATTCGTAGAAAATTTTAAATACCTGGGAGTTTTTGTTGACTCTCGATTAATTTTTGATATTCATTATGAAAAAGTTATAAATAAGATTAGTAGTAAAGTGGGATATTTATCGAGAATTTCTGGATGTCTGAGTTCATATAGCAGAAAAATTATCTATAATACCATCATTCTTCCAAATTTCTTGTACTGTTCGACTATTCTATATTTAGCAACTAATTCCATTTTTGAAAGTCTGCAAATTTTACAAAATAAGTACATGAGAATAATACTAAATAAAGATAAATATACTCCAATTAGGCAAATGCTTAGCAAATTAAAATGGCTCAATGTAAAAATTTTTATCAAATATCTTGTAATGATATTCATTTATAAAGTAAAAAATAATATATTTCCATCAAGTCTAACTAATTTAACATCATCAAATGTTGACCATCATTTACATAATACCAGAAATAAAGATGACTTCCATTTAATGACCAAAAAGTATAACATATGCTACAAATCTGTATTCCATCAAGGGTTGATTGAATATAATAAATTATACTCGGAGATAAAAGACCAGAAAACTTTGACAAAATTTGAAGTAAAATTGAGAAATCACTTGTTAAATCTACAATTATAGGTTGCCCAGCATTTACATCATACACCATATAGCTTGAATTCACTAGTTCTAAGTTGTTTATAATTATTCTGTTTATGTAGCCAAATGTGCTAAATAAATCTTTCTACTACTACTACTAATAAAATATTTTTGTCCAATTTTGTTTCATATATTGTATGGTAACCCTAGTCAAAATTTAACATGTAAAAGGTATACACACTTGAACAGTGTATTAAAATTATTACCTGGTTCGCCCCAGTAGTTTTGATACAGGCTACTGTGGCAGTTTCATACAAACTATCCATCCCCATACATCTTGTTCCAAAATTGATGGTTTCATCAGCAGAAACAAACCCAGTCTCTATTTCAAAGTCACCCATATTGGACAATGAGGACCAAAATATTCTGGTGCTCTTATTCTGCTTTCAAAATTAATAAACATACCATAAGTAAAGATCCTATTATAGTAAAACTAGGTTAAAAAAAATAACATCCATATAATTATGTTACTCTCAAAAAACCTCAACGATAATGAAACGAAGATGAAAGTACTGGTCTGATAGCCAGAATAGGTTTATTAGTCGCAGAGGAGGATGGTGATTGACCCACTGGTCTCTGTCAGAATACAATTAATTCTAGTTGCTCTTATTTGGTGAAGATCTTATGAACATCAATAAGTAGAATTTAATCTGCAACATACTACAGCAGAACACAGGGGATGTCTAATCTCCCATGTTATCCTGATCATTGAATGAAGGTACAATGTACAACTGTAGATGAGAAAAAAAAAACACCTTGTACTTTCAAGCCGAAAGAGCAGGAAAATTTTCCAAATGCACAGATGATTTTGTTCAATCGCCAGGATAACATGGAAATTAGTCAGAGATCCAAGTGCAATATAAATTTCAGTTGTTACATTGACTTCTGTATTCTACTGTGGAACTTTGTGAAAGAAATTGTACTACTTGATCATAAACATATTCATTTCTGAAATTCTAAGCAGTGTCGCCTTGCAGTTTCCGTGGATTAAAAAGGAAAACTACCCACATAGTCCATGACAAAATCTTTAAATTGCATTGACACTGATGAGAATAGAGCAACTGTTATAATTTAAACAAATTAATCACGTGAATTTTTAAATTGGTATGTGTTGTATTCTTACCTCTTCTTGTGTAAGATGAAAATTGAAAACGACAAAAAACAGGTCTTGAAAGTTTATTTACGTGCGTTAACCAACCGGCACAATTTGAATTTGAGCACCTGTCAAAGTGACAGGAAAATATGCTGACATTTGTCAACGTCAACATGACATGTGTAATTCGGGTCCCACACGATGCTTCCAACGTTGTTTACAGCGTTCGACACCCCACAATTGGCAAGTGTGTCTCCTACAAGATAGGAGGAACTTTTTAGTCTCAGACGTTCGATGCATGGTGGTGCGAACATCTAATATCGGTGTCAGTGTCGCACTTGAACCTTAACAACTGAAGGAAAAATTATACAAAATAAAAGATGAAACAATTTTTTCGAGAGCCGAAAAATAATTTCAGATCTGTCCTCAGCGATCAAGACTTAAGTCTGTCAGAAGCCTCAAAAATGTCGAGAAACGAAGTTTGACCGTTTTTTGTTTGTTTTTAGACGATAGCCACTGTACCGATTTTCAAAAACTGCATACCCTCTTCATTTTCATAGTAGTAACCTAGGGTCAAAATTGTATTAAAATCGTGATAGTATTTTTGGAGTTACGATCTTTTTCGTTTGTTATGAAATGCAAGACAAATATTTCTCAACTAGTCTTGCATTGCAACAGGACGTTACAATGAAACAACTGTAAGCACTTGATAATTAATAATTTACTAAAATACATATTCTTAGGCCAGCCATAACTTATCTGCGAAACGTACAAAATATTAGCAATATGAAAAAAGTGCTGTTACGACAGCCTATGTTTTGTATATATACTAATTTAATTCGTTCTTCTCAAAAGTTAGTTACGGAGCATACATTATTATGAATAGGTAGGTATTCAAATCAAAATACTTCCCACACCACAATCACAGCAAACAAATAAATAATGTTTGTCGCCGCTACTGGTTCTGACCTAAAACCATCAAACACATGATATCTCGTGTGGGAGCGTAACGAACCATGCTTCAACGTTGTAACGTCCTTTGACGCGGGTCAAATTTACCGACAAGAGTCCGAACGTGCCATGTGGTGAACGTTGGACACATCCAATCCGTCAGCGCTTTCCCACACGATGTGCTTTGTAAGGCATTCGCCACATCTTGAGGGAGCGGTTAAGATGTCTTATGGTATGAAGACGAAGTGTAATCAAAAAAAGGAATCCACGAATTTAAAAAACTATCCGCCATTTTCCTGTCCGTACGTATTTTCCTGTCTGTATATTTTTTTTAGGTATTACAGTCCACCACTCTGTAATTATAGGTGGTTCTTAGCACCTTCTTATAAAAAACCTGCATCCTATGAACCTGCAGGATGACTAACTAGCTGTAAAGAGAAAGATGGCAGATAGGGATATTGGTTTGTCATGTATTTGTCGCTCTTTAATTTCAGTGTTATTGGTTCTGTGACTTGGACAATTTATGTAACTGACATTGACATATTGACTGTGGCAAATAGTCCGTCCATATGTTTTGTGGCAAATAGTTTAGTTTATAGTTTAGATTTTACAATTCATTAGTTAAGGCAATAAGTCAAAATTTTGTGAGTAAAAAATGGGTGAGCCAACTGTTCCAATATGCGATGCAGAAGCTTTGAAATTATGCAACGAGAACAAAATACCAGAAGACACAAATGTGAGTTGTAAAGTTCTTTGTTTTTTTGTAATTTGCGTTTAACCCCTCATTAACCTTGTTTTATTTATATTTCTCTTGTATATTTCTCTCGTATCGCCGATTAACTAGAAGTGCTGCTAAAAATCTTAAATTATCTTCATCGAGTGATTGTAGTATTCTTATATACAGGGCTTGGTCGAGAAGTTCTGCTTCTTATTCCAGCAGTGATGATTATAAAATGGGCAATGGGTAATTTTCAGTTGCTTTTTGGATTGCTATCTCTCGAGACCAATGATCGGTTGTGTTTTATTTATTTATTTTATTTATTTATTTATTTATTTTATTTATTTATTTATTTAATTTATTTATTTATTTTATTTATTTATTTTTAAAATATATATATATATATAAGAAATACAAAATTGTCGATTTCCAAAAAAAAAAATCTAGATTGTATTTCTCACTCAACTAGACCTTGACGACTATGTTCTATGGGCGCAAGTTAAAATACAACGCCAAAATTACACAATTACCCCTTCTAATTGTCGCTGCGTTTTCTTTTACTTTTTTCGCGGATCAGTTTATAGTCAGTATATGATGTGGCAGACGTACTCGCGAGAGGGAATACCTCTAGAATATGCATCAAATTTCATTTAGTTGAATCATCCATTGCCTGTATATAGGGTGCTCTGAAAGTTGGCACATTCCTTTTCAGAAACAAGTACACATGAAATATCAAAGGTAATTTGAGGTGAAAACAACTTACATTTAACGAGGAATATGGTATATGTGTTACTAGGAAAACTATTCTTGCATGGCCTATATGCTCTGAAAATGAGAGTCCCAACTTTGGAGACACTTTGTATTCACTGTATTTTGGTGAAATCCTGGTTCATATTTTAGTGAACATGGAGAAGTGGTTACAATTGTTTCATTGTCTAAATGTTTCAGGAATTCATTATGCAACAAACAATGTATAGGATAAAAGATCCTAGGAAGTCATTGCCATTTTATAATCAAGTACTTGGTATGAAGTTGTTAACTAAATTGGACTTCCCTGAAATGAAATTCTCCTTGTACTTCATGGGCTTTGAAGATGATATTGGAACAATTGAACTTTCATGCCAGGAAAGGGTAGCCTGGGCATTAGGCAGGAAAGCTACTATAGAGCTAACACAGTAAGTCTTGATATTGATTTTAATGCACATAACCAGTAATAATATTTATTTGTATCTTAGCAACTGGGGTACAGAAAATGATTGTAATTACAAGCCACATAATGGAAATCAAGAACCTAAAGGATTTGGTGAGTATAAACTGAATATGAGGGGAGTCAAGGACATCAGTTGGATTAGGCATTTCAATTAAGATTTTGAGGTTGAGGTGTCAACTCTGGAGAATTAAATAAGGATTAGGTGAATTCAAAGCTGATATTCTTAAACGTTTTATTTGAACAAATGATGCAATATATCATTCCAGCTATGCCTGTTTGCCAAGAGTGCAGTGGATAAAAAGGGACTGTGAGTGTAGGCTTTGTGGCGAAATCTGTGCTGCACGCCCAGCAAATTGTTGCCTATGCTTCATTATTATTACATATCTATCGATGTTCAATATTTCTGTTCCCGGACCTGCAATCACTAACGATATTACCAGATTATATTTTTATTCGCGAGATCGTAAATGCATGCAAAACAGATATATAGAAATGATAAGATAAATTTCGAATATTTTAGCAAGATAAAGCAATATGAGCTTGCTAATTAAGTATATACAATATATCTAATATAATGGAGTACCTAGACAAGAATGTGACCAAATCAACGTCAACGAATAAAGCTTATTTTCCCCACATTTGACGAACGCCTAACTTGTAACTTGTAATTCTATAATTTGCATTAGATAATGATTTGTCTAATTTTAAAATTACCTTAGCTGGAGATTTAGGACTATCAGGTGCTCATATTTTATATTCAATCTACAGGACATATAGGAATCGCAGTACCAGACGTCTATGCAGCATGCGAACGTTTTGAAAAGCTTGGAGTAAATTTCGTGAAAAAACCAGACGACGGCAAGATGAAGGGGATTGCTTTCATCACAGATCCGGATGGCTACTGGATAGAAATTTTTAACGGCAAAACTGTTGCAACCATGGACAAAACGAAGCTCTGAAACAAATTATGCAAATGATGATTTTGAGTGATTGCTGATAACAGCTGTGAAGCCACCATATAGATCCGGGAAAAACGAATTGAAATAGAATTTTCTCCAAATAAATTACTCTTATCATACTACGGATTCTATCCTGTAAAATGAGAGCAAAAATAAAAATGTCTACAGCTTTCCTGTTTCCTTCTTTTGTTGCTTAGAATTTTAGGAACATTCATTGCTTTGTGTTATTGTATAAGATTTCGTTATTACGTCAAGTAAACCTATGAAAGCATCTACATGTTTTTGTTTGCAATAAAACATCAGATGTGCACATCTAACGATTAAAATACGATATAATACAGATAAAAATAGAGACTAATAGACAGTTTTTAGTGCAACAAAAATAACGAATCATTTAAGCCTTCCGCTACGTTAATTTTGACAGCGACAGCAAAAAACGAATATCGACGAAAAATAGTTTTCATGACCACTAAAGTGAACCCTGGTAATTTGACAAGTTGCTTATTTTTTTCGTTTTTGCCGAAGCTAACACCACAAAATCTTTGTAGATATTTTCACATTGCACATATAACAAACATTAGGACAATTGAATTTATTTAGAACACTGCCTATTTCTTGCTTTCATTTTTATCTGTGATCTAAAACTCGTATTTATATTTTGACCAATATGTTATTATAAGTTGAAATTATTTCAATTAAGCTCATCCAACTTTACACATTCCGACAACAGCGCTGAATAAGGAAAATATAACATTACGAAATAAGCTCACCCCTATTTTCGGTAACTAACGGTGCTTTTTATCAAACGGATAAGGGAGGATTGTCTCGCTACTGCGCAAAATCGAAATATGTACATCATAATGAAGCAGCAAAACTATAGTACTTAAAACTACCATCTGCAATAAAACTTCCAAAATCCTTTTAGGGGACTCGTAGATGTAAATTGGTCCATGTCGAAAACGAAATTTTCCAAAAGTGTTGAAAAATAATGGCTACAGCAATAAAATTTGGTATCTTAATTACGCCTGAAATTTGTACCTGTTCATAATCACATTAACGTATAGTCATATTTTAGGAAAGATACACAGAAAATAATGACCGACCCCTGTAAGCAGAACCACAATCTCTTACCTCTTCCGATGTGTTCTCTGTGATTCATGTGTTCTGTGATTCTCGTCAAACGTCATGTGTGAGTGGTGAAACGTCATGTTTGTTTGGTGTTGTCGTTTTAAAGGGAATGTAGGTTATGTTATTAGGCGCGATGAAATGTGAAAAAGTTGAACTTTTGATCTGTTTAATATTAATGCCAATATGAATATTCCCTCAATTGTGGTGATTTCTAGCATTTTTCATGATTACCCAATACTTAGAATTCCGATTTGGGTACGTTGATTCGGATTTTCTATCTGGGATGGTTCGTGGATAGTGTTTAGTTAGCATAGTTCTTCGGTTTGTTGACAAAATTGGGAATATTTTTGGTAAGTACCTAATATTGAAGCGTTTTATACTTCTGTATTTCACTCAAGAGATAAGTGCATGGTAATGTCCCATTGTTAATAAAGTATTTTAAATCAGAACCGCGCTTTGATGCTTTCTGAAAAAAAAAAAACAGTTACAGATAACAAATAAGCGATTGTGTTATCTGTATATTTGAAGATGAGATGAAAAAAGTCCAGCACCATTGAGTTATATTCATTATACAATAAATCCTACCTGTCCTTTTGCATATTGCTTGATATACAGTAATGGACAAAAGTCTATAGACAAATTAATATTGTGCTGTATTTCTTTTTTAACTTGTTTTACTAATACACCAACCTGAATACATAATTCGTTATAGCATAATACTCACTTATACATAAATAAATTCATTAGACTCCCTTCAATAAAAAATTAATTGAAAAAAACTTGAACTATGAAGGACAAAAATATATAGACAAAGCAAAACAATTATAGAAAAAAGAAGCAAAGTTCATTGAATTATAGAAAAACAACCATGTTTGTGTTGATATTTTGTAGCATAACCCTTATTATCAATCACCGCCTGGCATCGTCTTGGCATAGATTGTAGAAGTTTCTTGATATATGATTCATCAATCTGTCTCAACTTTTGCTCTAAAGCAGCAAAAAGTTCATCCTTGTTTGAATAATTTTTATCTCGTATTTGCTTATCTAAGTATTCCCATTGATTTTCAATGGGGTTTATATCGGGAGACTGTGAAGGCCATTTGAGAACTGGTATTTTTTCATCCAGAAAGAATTTCTTTGCGAGATTTGAAGTGTGCTTCAGGTCATTATCTTGCTGGAAGATTAATCTTAAGGGCATATTGTCTTCCAGATAGGGTAACATGACATGTTTTAGTATGTCTGTGTATACAAACTTATCCATAATGCTATCTATTCTATGTAACAGTCCCATCCCAAACAACGAAAAGCACCCCCAAAACCATAACAGACCTGCCTCCATGTTTGACAGTGGTCAAAGTGTACTTGGGGTTCAATCTTTGTCCACTAGGATGTCTAACGTAATAAACACCATCTGATCCAACTTAGATTCGTCACTGAAACATACCCTCTTCCAGTCACAGATGCTCCAATCAAGATGCAACCATGCAAATTGTAATTGGTCCTTACGGTTTTTCCTCGAGATTAGCGGCAAAAGGTGGAAGCTTTATTTTTCATCTATATATATATATATACTTATTAAACTTAGCATTTTCAGCTGGAACTGCAAATATTACAATATGCAACAATGTTACAGTATAAATAATAATAATAATAATAATAATGCCTTTATTAACTGCAGTGAGGCGAAGTTTAGCCAGACGGCTACTCTTACACTCAACCCCACAACAGGAAAAAAATAATACTTAAACACATAGCAAAATAACATACCAAAAAAAATATATTGTGAGGAGGCATGTTAAAATTAGCATTAAATCTAAGAGCTCTGGTAACAAAACTACCTCGGTGAACTAATTTGCTAGCGAGGTAAGCTGGTCTGTTAGATAGTAGAACTTTATGTGTGAAGACGGTCAAAAGATATAAAAATAACTTATCAATTCGCAACCAGTTGAGTTCTTTGATTTTATCTGAGACGCGACTAAACTTGCGCAATCCAAAAATAAACCTACAACAGCTGTTCTGAATTTTCTGGAGTTTTCTTTTGTGAACGTAGTCTAAACATGGGTAATACAGAACAAGAGAGTAAGAAATGACAGACAACACAAGACTTTCAGCGAGCTTTTTTCGGGTTTTAAAATTCAAGATGTATCGATTAGAATAGAGGAGTTTCAAACGCAAATACGTTACTCTAGATAAGAAAGAGACATGCCGATCGAATCTCATATTTAAGTCATGGGTAACACCGAGATTCTTGGCGTAATCCACAAAAGGGATGAGTGTCTCATCCAAAAAAACACAAATCCTCTGCTTCATTTCACGGTAGGAGTTCTTCGAACAGTACAACATTGCAGTAGTTTTATTAGGATTGATCTTCAAGCAGTGTTTGTTACAGTAATCACCGATGTTAGCCAAATCTAAATTAACTTTAAAAGAAACTTCATCAACCTTTGATGGATCGAAACCAAACACTAACTGAGTATCATCTGCATAAGTTTGCATACTACAGTGGACTAAAAGGAAAAATTCCACTATATTGGAGGTGCTTCACCTCTGATATTAATTTATTCATGATAACATTGACATAAAAAATGTAATCTTTATTAATTTGTTATTAATGCTTGATATTGTTTTTTTTCTGATATGAATTATGTAATTTCGGTTATTTCGAGTGACAAAGGGAGGTGGGTTATTTCTTTTCATTGCTGCGCGTTAGTGAAACTTGGAATGCTGACGGCGGACTTCTGGTGTCACCGTAAGTTATTTGCATGTTTATGCTTAATGTATGTTTTGCGTATTTAAAGTCTAGAAGTGAAAATCAGTAATGTTATTATTCTATTCGTCATCTGTCCGTAATCTTTCGGTTAAAATGTTGTAAGTCAGCAGGTAACTGTCACGTCTGGTTGCTCAGATACCAGACAAATTTTTGGTCGAAAAACATGGTAAAACGATGGAAAATCTGACCGTTTCTGGGTTAACCTCACATGTCCTTGGTTGCTTTTTGGAAGTATTTCTCGTAATCTAATGGTGGAAAAATGAAAATTGTTGGTGGAAAAACGTGGTAAAACGATGAAGAAACGAAGTTTATTGATCGTTTTAAATAGTCTGGAAAAACTGCTACGTGAACTTATCCCAGAATTTTTATTCCAATGCTGGAAAGACGGAAATTTTTGATGGAAAAATGTGGTAAAACGAAATCGTATGGCACATCGTTCTCTAACAGCCCAGATTTTTAAATCCATTTTTTCTTTATCCTGTTTACTTTGCGACAGACTTTGTAATTCTCCTGTTCGACAGAAATTAGATAATCCAGTCTAACAAGAATCGCGTACTTAGATGTAGCTCTTGGTAGACTTGATTGAAAAAGTCGAATGTAGCTGTCTCTACAAAACGCGAAGCTCTATATCCATGCTATCTGAGATGCTTTCTTACTCAATAAATGTGTGACGCAAATTCAGATCTGTAATTAATCTGTGATGTCAGAAACCGCACTGATTGTTGATAATCAAACGGTGGTGCCAGAAGCTCTTTTTTACAGGAAAGTTAGAACTTTTGTGTTGTTTGTATCAATCTTCGCTCCTTTCTTTGGGATGGAATGTGTGGGAAAATACAGTGTAAGACTTGAAATAGGCGTGATACACTAATCACTATTACAATGATAATTGTTGGTGTACTTGGATTTGGAAATTATGTCTTTTTATTTTTTACTTTCGATGTAATAAACCAAATCTGTTTGTGAACAGCAAAAAACAGCTCTAGTGTCTACAAGAAATCAGAGTGTTGTTATATTCTTTTAATTTCCCTTTCATTTCGCCACTGGAAACACACGAAAAACATCGAGTAAATTACTACGAAGTTTTGGATTCAATGAATAACGAATTGGAAGAACGTGCTGAAGGATTTCGTGAAGTGAATTATGAGTTTGGTTTTTTACTACAGATCTAAAGTATGAATTAATAAAGTTTTACGAGCATGTATTTTTCAGAAAATCGTATTTTACTAATGAAAGCCCGCTAGATTAGTTCCTAATTGCAAACAATTTTATAGACAGTTTTTCAGAGAGCTGCAGTTTATTCAGATCGCTTTTGACTTTGCCTATCGGTTCAGCTAGTGCTGAACGTGTCACGAGCTCTTTGAAAATTATTAAAGAATACCGTCGAGCTTCTTTGGCTGAAGACACACTCAACAACTTCTCTATCCGCTATATCGAAAGATCAGTAGCTAATACACTCAATTTGGATTCTGCGATGGAAGTTTTTGCTGAACGAAAAGCAAGACGCAGATTCAAATTGAAAAAATTCTGTTGTTTTGTATTGAATAAACAATGTTTTATCTCACAGTCTCTTCTTGATTCAGGTTATATAGACATATATTAAAAAAAACAGAGGTAACAGTGCGCAGCAGCTACTATTGTGCATATTATTGTAAGCCCCTGTTAATATGTGACATCCTTATTGCGACCAAAATCTGTAGTTCGAACTTTATCTGAACAATTTAGATGGATTTTACGTTATCGAAAAAGTTTAGATACGCGTCAATATTGAAACAGTTGAATTAGCTGTTTTATTGGCATGTTGAAGCAGCATCAGATTAACTATTAAGAAACCTTTTGCTCTATCCATGAGCTTGTTTCGGTTACTTGTGCAGGTCTTTCTAATTTTTTTATTTTCAGTTGCCGTCATTAATTTGCATATAGCGATAAATGTGGAGAATATCACTTTCGCAAATAGTGCCCAGTATACAGTGTGAGTCTTCATAAACTGCACATATCAAAATCTGGGAAACTACACTCTATTTCATCGACGGATAAATCATCAAAAAAAAAATTAAAAACAACAATTGATTTTCTATGAATATTTTAAAATTTTTAGAGTCAGCTGCTAACCCTATTTAAATAAATCGTTACAACTTTTAAACTGAATGTCCTATCATATTGGAATAAATTTTGTAGTGATTGCAAATAATAGGCCGTACCAGTAACGTGAAAATTTCCACGAAATTAAATGCTATAAATTTAAAATAAAGAGGAATATGCTG